ATTTGCCACCTCCGACAATGCGATATGCATGACTTACTGCTCTCAGGTGGGCATCGGCCCGAATTCAATGGGGGATGCCCTGATGGTGTCCTGGACAAACACGTTCTTCTGTGCATTCCCCCCGATAACTCTCATCATGAAAACATTAGCCAAAATTACTCAAGACAATGCCCGAGGGATCCTTATCACACCCTGGTGGCCTCGTCAACTGTGGTTTCCCACCGTTCTTCGCCTCTCTAGAAGAACATTCTTCTGTCTTCCATGAATTCCTCACCTCCTTGCCCAGGAGAAAGGTGCAATTCGACATCCAGACCTCAACTCCCTGAATCTTACAGCATGGCTCATTCAGTGACTAATGCTACATCTTCAGTACCAGTAACTTCAACCCAATGCTGCCTCTACAGCCTTCCATCCCAAGGGTACCATTGCTATCGATGCAGGTCTCGGATCCGTCTTCAAATCCAAGCACTTTCCATCCAGACATTCAGTTTATTCTTCAGTCTGCTCTAAGACCAGCGACTCGCCTTTCTTATGAGGCAAAATGGAAGCACTTCTCCTCCTCCACGTCAGCTAAGCAATTTCTACCACACTCAGCTTCAATTGAGAATATCTTGCTTTTTCTGCTATCCCTGCATCAACATGGACTTAAGTCCACTTCTATCAAGGTTTATGTTGCTATCTCTCGTCATCGCGGACTGATCTCCGGCTCCTCTGTATTTTCACACGTCTTCGTCCGTCATTTTTTGAAGGGACTACAAATCTCCAGTCTCCAATCTCCAGTGGTAGTGACGTGGAGCCCCTCAGAGGTTCTACAAGCCCTCACTAAGCCTCCTTTTGAACCACCAGCTACCACTGATTTGTGCCTCTTATCCTAGAAAACGGCCTTTCTTGTGGCCATTACTTGAGCCAGGGGGGCTAGTGAGCTCTGTGCCTATGTGTCGACCCTACTTGCTCCAATTTTCATAAGGAAAAGGTGGTCCTTCTCACTGACCCAGCTTTCCTCCCTAAAGTTGCAATGCCATTCCACATTAATCAGGATATTGTCTTACTGGCATTCTTTCCTACGCCCTCGACACCGATAGAGAGCTCTCTACATTCGCTGGATGTTCGAGGCTGTCTAGCCTCCTTCCGATCCCATTCAGAGTCTTTCAGAAAAACCAAGCGTCTCTTTATAAAATACTCTGAGCATGATACGGGCTCTTTGTTTTCATCTCAGAGACTCTCTAGATGGATTGTCCAGACCATTGAACTGGCTTACAACCTGTCAAAATTGGATCTTCCTGTGATACCCAAAGGACATTCCGGTAGAGCTGTTGCAGCACTTTCTGCCTGCCTTTTCTGCAGGCATCCCGTTGCCTGATATCTGCAAGGCGGCGACTTGGACGATCCCTTGTACATTTACTAAACACTACAGACTGGATGTTCGCGCCAGACAGGACTGCTCCTTTGGTCATGCGGTCCTTTCTTCCATTCTTCAGTGATGACACCGTCCCGTCTCTGGGTGTGGTAAGCTTACTAGTCACCCATATGTGTGATGCACAGAGGCCACGACGAAGAAAGGCAGGTTGCTTACCTGCAACTGTCGTTCTTCAAGTGGCCATCTGTGCATTCACACAACCCACCTGCCGGCCCCGCTTGGTGTCAGTGATTGGGTTCTAAATTTTTCTTTCTCTCCCACCTACTGTTAACACATCAGTAGGTCATGGCTACTTTGCGTGTTTTTCCTTTCCGTATGCTCACTGAGCATCCTCATAGTTTAATGTTTCCATCTGTTGTCCATTCCATTAGGGGGCGATAGAACAGTCTCCATTAGACTGGGGGAAATGGCGGGCACTCCGCTCTTTATAGTACAGTGGGGGAGGGGCATGGAGTTCTGCCAAAATCTGTTAAAGCTTTGAATCTTTCCCGGCTGCAAGCACTGCGCAGGCGCAGCACCCATCATGTGCGAATGCACAGATGGCCACTCAAAGAACGACATTTGCAGGTACGCCACCTGCCTTAATGGCATGTATTTTATGAAACCCGCTTCTGTTGATGGAACAGCATGAAGCTTTTGAATTATCCAGAAAAGAAAGACAGCTGCTTCTCAGTTATCTGTAGAGCAAGGCTGCAGTGCTTTTTGGAAGGTCATCTAATCGCGAAGCCATTGGACTTTAAGAATACATAATGGCTGGAATGTGGGTCACTGAGTCAAGACACCCAGATGTGGTTCGTATGTGACTGGTTGCGGATTCTAGTTCCCCACCAAGTTGTCCCAGTCAGTGCAAGACTTTTTGAGATGAAGAGGGTACGTATTCATGGATGGATGGCAGATATTTACAGCTGATCATTTTAAGCTTTTTAGAGTTCCAACAACTCTTACTTGGGAATCTGACTTTCCAAAGCCCACAGATTATGTGCATTTGAAGTAATGTCACTTTGGTTCGTTTGTAATTATTAGCAACTGTGATCTCTCTTGTGCTGAGGATTTGCTGCTTTCCTTTCATCAGCAAGGACTTTAACTAGAAAGCATGCATGCCCTTACGTCGGGTAGTTCAGTCATATTATTCCTAGAGAGAAGAGTCTTGCATGACAAGCTGGTCACATAGCATCCTTCGCTTATTTTTGTGTGTGCGCTTAATATCCGGACCCTTCAGATGGCTAAAGCCGTGTGGCCTGTGGGAAAATGGGGCCATTGCGCTCAACGTCGAAATGCCTCGGCCGTCACAGAATCGGCTCCCCAGGCACACCGATTCTGTGCACTTCGGCAGCACTGCTTGGCTGTTCATTCCTTTCAGTGTGGCCTCTCTCCGATGCACATTTTGTGAACCTCAAAGCATGTCACTCGTTATTAACTGCTTTGCCAGACTGATGCTAACAGGTTTTGTTTATTTTATTCTGCATGCCTTCCAGTGGATCGTAAAGGTGGGGATGCCCATACCATTGCACCCTCTTCAGTTAATAGCCGAACCCTTAACTTTAGCCATGCTGGTCCAATAGGTCACCTGTGCAAGCACAAAACAGCCTTTCCTGCTGCGAAAATCTGCACTACTAAAACTCTCCAGCCCAAATTAAAACCCACGCTGACTACTTCACGTATTTCTGGGCAGGACAGAAAAAATCTTCTGCCTCACGAGAAAACACAAAGCTGTGAAAACCTCTGTAGCTCATTTGCCTTCTTTGATAGCAAGGAAGACGTCACGGTAGATTTAGGCATAGATTGTGGCAACGACCGAACCAAATGCAAGCAAGAGTTTACTGGAAGGTCCAGGAGTGCTCACAGCCTGCAAGAGTATGGCATTTCCAGCTTCAGGAAGGATGATACGCTCAACTCCCCAAAGAACGGGGTAGAGTTCCTCATGCTGTATAAAAACATGCACCATATCAACCGTTCTGAAATCCAGGCGGGTGCAATTTCATCTTGCAGCGTGAAGGAACTCGCATCCCTGTTCGAGAGTGAACTACAGGACCAGAGGAAGCCCAACTCCAGCCGGGAGATGGTGGAGCAGATCCCCCACCACACGGTCTCGTCTCGCGTCACGGCCTACGAGCTGCTGAGCCGCAGGTGCTCGTCTGTGCCCACGCTCAGCTTTTCCAGTGGCCTCCTCAGAGCTCCAGCCCCAAGCCTTTCTAACAGCTGCCTGGGTTCAGTGCGTTCCCCTGGACACTTGGTGGATTTCCGCAGGACAGCTCTGGAGGAGCAGGACAGCACCAGCCAAGCGGGTGCCTCGGCCCATTCCTGCAGCAACACGGACCTGACCTCAGAGAGCAGTGATGGGCCCCCCGCAGAGGCCCCTTTGGCCTGCGCCAGCGGGGCAGATCCGTTGGAGGCGTCCAGCGATAGTGATGGTGACGGCGGCGGTGGCCGCTCCCGGAAGCACGATGGCAAGCGGTGCAAAGGACCCTGTCCCGCCTCCTACACAAGGTTCACAACCATCCGGAGGCACGAACAGCAGCGGTCTTCCAGGAGGGCCCCTCGCGCGGACGTGCCCCTGCAGCGCAGCAGGGCCCACCTGATGAGCCCGCTTCCCTTCCGGCCGAAAAGGCCCGTCCCGCGCCCTTCCAGGGGGTGCCCGCCCCCGCGGTGCCACGGAGACCTGCCCGCATCCAGCCACGAAGGCCAGAGTAACCTTGCTAACGCCAGAGGAAAGCCGGAGGACGCGGGTGGTCCCCGGTGCCACGAGTTATTTATCAGACAGACGCCTGCCACCCCGAAACGCCTCTCCTCCCGGGACTCTGTCAAGCGGTTGAGCCACTGCCTGGATCTGGAGACTTGGCCAAGCGCTCCTTCCCCCGCCACGGACGTGCCTGATGCCTTTCATAAGGAAAGTGCTCCTTGTGTTTTGCACCGCAGCTTGGACACAAACAACAACCCCCATAGGGACCTTGGGACAGACTTCGGAGGTGGCTTTTTTAATGTACTTTACTAGTGTCCCTTCATCTGTGTTCCACTTTGCTTTTCCTTTCTGGAGTGTTTTTAATTTCTTCCCTCATATTTCATCTTTTCCTTGTCACGTCTTGAAATGCAACCAGGATATGGCAGGATCTGTGAATTTCTTCTGCCTTTCTGATTACCAATCAAGCAGTTGTCTTGAAAGTTGTGTGGATTCTTTATAGAGACCAGCCTAAATCCTCCAGGAAACTAAATGAGGGCAGCCCAGTCCTTTTCAGGGCCGGTCTTTCGAGGTGCTCGTTGACTGTGTGTGCATGCATGCGTGTCTGCATTTCTGTGCTCCTGTGGGTTTGTGCCTTTGCATGCAGTAATGCAACTTTCCTTGATGGTGCTACTGAAATCATATTTGGTGAGCAGGCAATTTTTGATCTGTCACATTTGTTGCTGCTTCCTTCAGCATTATTATTTCCTTCAGACGGTAGAGCTTGCAGAGATCCAAAATTTTACCAAGCTTTCTTTGTAAATTCATGCACAGAACGGAAGATTTCTCTCCTTTCTCCTTTCCCCTTTTCTGTTTATCCTGGTCGAACCAGTTTATTTTTAATGACATTGTATTGTTTCCAAGTAGATTCAGAATCCCCGAGACATTTTGTGCCACTTGATTGCATGGAGAATCCTGAAGACATTTTCCACAGGCATCACAGTGATAAAGAGGTAATAATTCCTGTAATCGTTTTCTCCCCAGAATTGATGCCACAGCCCTGGGGGTGTGGGGGGTGGGGGGCGTGTTTGCATGCAACCAGTGCGGAGGCTTTGGAGGTAAGATTTCTGTTAGCTGCCCCGGGGATTTCGTTGAAAGGTGGGATAGAAATCACTTGGATAAAATACAATAATGTTTTGTTCTCATTTCCGGAGACTGTTTGCAAGTTAAGCGAAAGAGTGGTTATGGAAGGGAAGGCACAGTGTGCCGAGCACCAGACAGCTGACTGTGCTTACGAGGCTCTGTGGATCTTGCCTGTCCTGGACAGCCGGGCCCGCATGCAGGGCTACCTGGAATGGATCTGCAGCATGGTCCAGGGCAGAGGCTCGCAGCTGGGCCAGGGGCGTGAGCATGATGGGACTTCATTCTGAGGAGTCAAGCACAGGGTTGGGACGCTGAAGCCTGGCCCTGTTCCCCAGAGCTGGAGAGGCCGGGCCGGGTTCTTCCATCTGCACCTGGGCTAAAACTGTTTAAAATGGCAGGGAGAGCAACCACGTTCGGCTTCTTGTAGCGCTGGGCAGCCCAAGCAGGGCGCTTCCTCCCTGGCCTGGGAAGGGCAGACTGGGGCACCTCTGCACTGCGGGAGCAGACACAGCCTGGAAACCTCGGTCTTGCCCCGGCCCTGAGGGGGTGCAGCTGGGGGGCTGCTGCCCCGGCCCAAAGGTGGCCTGGAACCCCCTTGGCAGGTGACAGGGGTGCTGACCCAGTCATGGTCCTGCCCTCCAGCGTTCACATCAGCGGAGGGGGTATCCCTTCCATCGCTCCCCACCTCCCAGCAGCAGAGGGGGTGGGACTGCATTCCCCCCCCCCCCCCCCCCGGCCCCGGGGGGGGGGGGACCCCCCCCCCCCCCCCCCCCCAGCAGGGCCATGAGGGACTGCTAACCATGCACAGGTTTTACTTCAAGGGAGAAGGTTAAGAAAGATCGGGATCACTGGGCTTCCCTAAAGGGAAAGCTGGCTTGATCACACCTTTACCTTCCAAAAAGGTATATCAAATATAAACAATAGTCTTTCTTAATTTTCCTGTGATCCTTGTGACCCTTTCTTACTGGCTTGTTGTCAAAAAAAAGCAAGTAAGCAATTTGATCATTATGTTCCTCAGTTTAACTTTTCTGGAAATAGGCACAAGAAAGGATGAATTTAAAAGCTCTTCAGTATTGGATGCACATTTTGGAATGTTTAGAGTGGAAAGTTTTAAAATATAATCTTAGGATTGCCCTTTTAAAATTTAAATTATTATATCCAGGCCCATTCATATAGATTCTGGACAGTTTGCAAGAGAATAAAACCAACAACAGTTAAAATTTCAACCAAAACCAAGAATATTAAATAAAACTAGTGTGAGAACTGATCTAGGAAGGCCTTCCAGAAGCGATACATCTTAAAGGTGGCAGTCTGGGATATCAGACACATCTCTCCCAGCAGACCGTTCCACAGTTCAGGGGCAGCCAGTGGGCAAGTCCTCTGGGGAGCTGGCATTCATCTTAAAGAAGGAGACTTCAGAATGATCCCCAGAGGACCCTAGCGGGTGGGGGGGGGTGTGGCAAGGGCGCTCCTGCAGGCATTTTGGGCCCAAGCCATGGAGGGCTTTAAAGTTAATTACCAGCACCTTGAACTGTGTCCAAAGCTGTTGGCAGCTAGCGGAGAAACTTCAGTGTCGGACCAGCCTGGCTGCCGTGCTTTGGACTGGCGGCAGTTTCTGGCGTGGACACCCGGGCCGCCCTACCTAGAGCGCATTGCAGAAATCGCACCTAGAGGTTACCAGCGCATGCACCGTCTGTTGGAATATTTTCTTCTCTTACTGTGGCTTGTTTAAAATCATGGTGTGATTACACAGTCTAAGATCGCAGTCCTGTGTTCTTCCGGCTTTCATTTAGCCATATAGTCAAGTTAGGTCAGAGCTGAAGTGTGGTATTAATCAGATCGGCACCATCGTTGCTTTTGGGTGTGTCCGGATAGCAGAATGAAAATGAGGTGCTGGTTATCTGGAAGCACATTTACGTAGCCAGCATCCAGTCTCCCTGCTCAGCCTGCCTGATGGGCTTGAAGGAAAAGGGCTTTTCCTGTCATCCCTTCCCAGCCCTGGGGGCACAGAGCTGTGCTGTCTTTGAACAGAGATCCCATCTATCTGTCGTGGTTAATAAGCGGGAGCTGCCACAAGACTGTGTTCAGGTTTCTAGCCAGCCATGCCCTCTTCCAGCACGCTCCATTCCGGGGGAGTATTTCACAGTCCCGCCTCCCCGTCTGCTTCCCCCATTCTGGAAGCTTGCGGATGCCAACAGGCAAGCCGTGGGGTCTCCCGGCACCTGAGCCAGGCAGCCACCAGAGCCTTCCCCACAACTCTGGGGCCTGGAAGGTGATGGCGGGCACTGGCCACCTGCCGAGACCACCTCTGTGGCCCCAAAGATGGGGGAAGGCTGGCAAGCGCCTGCCGCTCGGGCCCCGGCACTGTTTGCTCCCGCTGCCAGGAGGCCACTGAGCCTGCTTCTGGAGGGCTCCCTCCCTCGGGGCCTCTTTTCCGAAGGTTTTCCGGCACCCCTGCAAACCTTGGGATTCTGCCAGAGCTGCCTCCGTGTGGGCCGGGGGAGGAGGCTGTTCCAGCAGCGGCGCTTTCAGCCTGAGCTCCATGAGGAGGGAGCAGAGCAGGGCTTGACCCCGAGCACGTTACCATCCCCGCTCGAGGTGGCTGGCGCCGGCTGTGTGAACGCCGCGTGCCTCAGGCTCGCTCTGGCCTTGCGCTTCCCCAGTCTGGGAGTGTCGGCCAGCACTGAGCACGAGGCTCTTCCTCCGTTGGGCCAGGCTGGAGAAAAGTGGGTTTGCAATGTCACTGTTGTTGCTTTGCTGATATTCTGCTGGCCATTTTTGCTTGCCATGGATGATTCATTGCACATTTTATGCAATTTTATGGCAGAAACTGTTAGAGGACCAGAGACGGATTAAGCGTGAGCAAGAAGAGGCTGATATTGCAGCCAGAAGGCACACAGGGGTCATTCCTACGCACCATCAATTTATCACTAATGAGCGGTTTGGGGACCTCCTAATTGTAGACGATTCGGCAAAAAGGAAATCTGGGTCAGAGGTCTGTTGTGGTTGCCCCAGTCTGCTGCTTGACCCAATTCATATTTGCCTCCCATAGCATTGTGCTTTTAGGCCAACTTTAGCTCTCCAAGGTGTTGTTTTTTAATTTTTCCCATTCATGCTTGATGTAGAAACTGCTTTCGACCTTTGACCTTTTAAGATGAATTAATAGCTCTGTTGAAATCTGTGTATGTTCGAGCATGCCTGCTGAGGATTGCTAGTGCACCACTGTGTTGCATGCCTTTAAAATATCGGTTCCTTTTATAACAAACCAGAGGGCATTTGCTTCATTGCGACACAGAATGCTCCATTCTCTCCTTGTCTGTGCCCTCTGCTTACCAACTCCATTCTCTTGTCGATCTTGAGCAGGCGACTCTCTTGTAGTGGACTGAACCCTAGATTGCTCTGCTCCTCCTTTCTTTTGTTGAGATTCTTCATGCCGGCCAAAAAAATGATCTCTCGGTTCATTTTATTTGTTCCTTAGAAAGGCAAAAGAGACAAATGGGGCGTGGAGTCCAGTTCAAGGATTCAGATTTCTCAAGGATTATGGACCCTCAGCAGAACCTTCTTGGCTCGGCTCCGCTGGAGCAAACCCGTACAATGAGATACCTTTATCAGGCCAGCTCGACAACCACAAACGGAGTGCAAGCTTTCATGTTTTCCAGGAAAAAGGGCTGGCCAAATGTCGGGGTGCTTACATCATCCACATCTTAGGCTGATGTGGGGCTGCAGCCATTCAGACTGGACCCTGACAAGTGAAGTGACATTTCCGGTTGAACTGGGAAGATGAAAGTCTCCGCCCAGTGTAGATCCTCCGTCTTTGAAAATATAAAGCCCAGCTGTCAACCCAAAGCTATCGGCATCCAGAGTGAACTGGGCCACCCAGTCCCCTTTCCCCACCCTAGAGCTTGCGGGACTGCAGAACCTCCCTTCTGTCCTTACATGTGATGGCAACTGAAATGTGCAGATGAAATACCTTGTCTGGGAATAAGACGGTGGTCTACTGCTTTTGTCAATTTGGAGCAGAATCTCACAAATTGAGAACTGGGGGCCAGACTAGATGGCCTGGGAGGTCCTTCTGACTCAATCTGTTTCTGTGTTTCTAAGAAGTATTTCTGGAACATTTGAGTAAGTCAATTAGAGTCCAGAAAGTTGTGAGATGCTCCTCATACCCTTTGCCTTAGATCAGGCATCTGGGATGTGGCGCACCAGCGTTCATCTGGAGGATGCGTGTGCCTCCGTCCTCGGGCACGGTCCACGAGATGAATTTGCTGACAACCACCCTTCCCTTCGCCAGACTAAAAATATTCTTCCCCCTCAGACCTGTGTGGAGAGTTCACCTAAAGCTTCAGTTTCTCCTTCGTCCTCCCATTTGTCTCTTTTCTGCCTACTTGTAACAAGCAGTTGATCATTCCTGTACAACTGACTGCCAGAAAGCGCTTCCATACTCCTTGTCTTGCCCTACCACGCTTGCTGATCAAAAGGGAGTTCCATGCTAAGTTTTGTGGGTCACTTCTCTCCCTGGAGTCACTTTTCCTTGTGGCACAGTTGTCAGAGCCGATGCCCATCATGCTAACCTGCTCTGATAACACACCACGATGGATCCGTGGTTTTGCAAACGACCCACGCTGTGGCGTGCGTTGTTCACCCCTTTCCCAAGGGTTTCCTCCTTTTCTTCCCTTTCCTTTTTCCCTGACAGTGCTCGGGGTGTTGGACGGTTTGCACTTCCCCCCACACCCTCGCTCCAGCAGCAAGGGCACAGAAGACGTTAACAGCCAGCTTCGCAGCTCTGGCTCTCCTTTAAAGGCAGGCTTGGACGGAACCCGTTTGGGTCTCCTTGGGACAAGACCCAGCGTTAGTACCTGCTGCACTTGATAGTTGTGTCCAAATTGCCACACTTGGCTAACTGTGATCCTTGAAGAAGTGTGGCTAAAAATAAAATTAAAATAGAATGGTGCGGGTTTTTGCACGCTTTGTGCACACAAAAGTGATTCAGTTTCCCGACTACGGGCAGCCCCTCCAAGGCATTTCTTGGGCACCTTGAAAGAGCGGCCAGTAGCTGTCAAAAGAGAGAGCAAAAGCAGCTGTCCATCTGGACTATTCCATTGTAGAGAAAATAAAATGGGGAAAAGTGAGCCCGAATCTGCAGTGAGCCAAATCCATCCGCCTGCGCGGTGGCACGTGGGTGGGGGCTGCAGCAGCCCCGCGCCAGCTGCCCATCTTTTGGCTTTTATTTATCGCAGAAAGTGGGATTTGACTGAGATGATGCCCCCCGCCCCGGTCTGGACCCCCCAGTTGTTTGAGAGCAACCCCCCTGCATCAGCATCTGGCAAAGCGCTTGCCCACGACTGCGGGGATTTCTGCATCATCTCAGACCATGCGCAGAAGACTCCCTACTTATATTAAATGTGCTTTTCTCAACCCTTAGATGAAAGCTGCCAGAGTGAAGTTTGACTTTAAAGCCCAGACGCTAAAGTGAGTATAAGTTGTCGGTTTTCCTCCTCTGTGGCAGATTTTGTTTGTTAAACCAACAGATGCCTTAATTTGTGGAAAGTATTTATCAGCACTTCTCTGCTTGGTGTGAGTGCAACCAGCAGTCCGGTAATTCCCCCAGCTGCTCAAGCTCATCTGAGCAAGACCATTCCCCCAGTTTCGTCTTAGCTGGGACTTGGGGGCCATGGTTTTTTACTCCTAAAACTTATTTCCAATTAAATGTGTGGGGCATTTCCAGTAAAATGTGTTTAATTCAATCAGACTTTCAACATTCAATGCTAGGCATATCATTTGCATGTTTTTATCTATAGTTTAATATTAAAATACATATTTATTGCAGGCAATTAACACATGATCTGTATACTGTCAACAGGGAACTTCCATTGCAGAAGGGGGATATTGTATATATTTATAAACAAATTGATCAGAATTGGTATGAAGGCGAGCACCATGGCAGAGTGGGCATCTTTCCCCAGTCATACATAGAGGTACTTCTCTTGTTCTGATACAAGATACATCTTGAGACTCAAAACTCTGAGTATTTCTTGGGATCCTTACACCTGCCTTTGATTTTTTGAAGCTACTTCCCCCCACCGAGAAAGCTCAGCCTAAGAAACCGGCACAGTTGCAAGTCCTGGAATATGGAGAGGCAGTAGCCAAGTTCAGTTTCAATGGGGATACTCAGGTGGAACTCTCCTTCCGAAAGGTACCGTTCAAAAAGTGCTTCTAACTTGGTTTTGGAAGGAGACCTTCTGGATGTGCTGTGATAAAATGTATTCAAGTCATGTTTATTATTCTTAAAAGAATTAGACACATCCTTGAAGAATAGTTCTAAGCACAGCTGTTAACGTGATCATTAACTGGAAAGTTCCGATCAGCTCTGGATTCGCACTTCCTGCGTTGTACACAAACTTGCTTGTTTAGCTGCGTGACTGGCTTGTTCTAGGATGGTTAAGGATATGATGATTAGTTATGTTATTCGTTTGTCCCACTCTTTTATTTTCAGAAGCAGTGTGATTTAAGAACAGTGAAAGGCTGGCTATTTTCCCTACCTTTTGTCTGGTTTTTACATATATAGCATATAATAAGGAGAGGACTCCACTTGGAGCAGGGGGAGGCATACAAATGCGAGCATGAATGAATGAAGAGGCACAAGGCGTGTCAGATGCAGCCAGTGGTGGCAGTGGGTCTGGATGACGTCTGCGGGGGGATGGTCGCCCGCCTGTAATCCGCGCCTGCCCTGTGCTCTGAGCCACTGGGCTGTAGGAACTGGGATTTACCGTATCCCAAAGTCTGGCCCCACTACTGCTGAGAATATTTACTCTGTTGCCTCTGAGTAAAGCAAGCCAGGTAGCTTCGCGCTCTGATTGAAACGTGAGCGGACATGTCGAACCGGGCGCACCAGATTCACAGGGCGCAGGCACTGCACAAAGCATCAAACGCAACCTTGGTGCGCGAGCGTGCGGCCGAGGAGGAGAGCTGCTGACCCTGCGGTCCTGTCTTCCTGCAGGGCGAGGGGATCACTCTGATCCGGCAGGTGGATGAGAACTGGTACGAAGGGAGAATCCCCGGCACCAGCTGCCAGGGCATCTTCCCCATCTCCTACGTCGACATACTGAAGCGGCCGGTGCTGAAGCACAGCACGGACTACGCCGGCCTTCCACTCTCTCACTCGCCAGACCGCAGCCTGAAAGCTTCCCCCCAGGTACCTGTGCAAGAGACTCCCAGCAGTGATTCTCGGGTGGGGTTGAGTAGGGCTATTTCAGAGCCAAGCACATTTCTAGAAAATTCAAAACGTACATTTAAATCTAAAAAAATGCAGAAGGAGGAATAGTTTTGTGCTGTGTGATGGTTTAGTTAATTGGGCCCATATCTTCTGAAGTAGTTCTAAAACTGTAAAAGCATGGGTGGAAAATTCTGCAGCGCCCAGTTCAGTGTACGATTTCTATGCATGCAATATAAAAGGAAGTGGGTTTGGAGTTTCAAAAAGTGCTTGTAAAAGCTCTGAATAAGGGGCGGAAGCGCAGCAAAACAGACAAGCAGGTCTGTGTGTCTCTTGAGGAGCCCGTGCTTCAAGAATACTATTCCGACACTTAGCAGTTTGTTTGTTTATTATATTTGTATCCCACCTTTGGAACTCCAGCTGGCCCCGTGCCGTTCCCGGGGTCTCCCCTCCAAGCCCAGGCCAGCCCTGGACCTGCTTGGCTTCAACATGCTGGATGCGGTACGCATAGAGTTAGGGTGCTTCAGTTCACTGGGGGCAATGCAGTTTTGAAGGCTAATTCTGATTAGGTAGCGTGTAACATAGCATCTAACCCTCCCCCTGGCGGAGGTCCCCCACCAGTTTCTGGTCCTGCCTGCCCTACAGAGAGGAGTCACTGAACCCCCCTCCCTTCTCCGCTGCAGTCTTTGGGACTTCACCCCTTTTGCTCCTGACGTGGATCCCCCCCTCTGCCTGTCCCTCCACTTCACCTGCCGCATCCCTCTGGAAGCCGCCCAAAGCACTTCCGTCCATCCGCAGAGGAGGAGGGCAGGCCTGCCGCCGATTCCCCGCAAAGCCAGGAAAGGGAGCGTTGACGTGCCCCTCCGTCCTCTTCTCTGAGCTGTTGCTTTGACTGTTTTTCCCACAAAAGGGCTCCAAGACTAGGAGCGCACCCTTCAAACCCCTACAAGACGCACAGGCCGGCTTGTGGGTAGCTCCTCTCTTGCCCGTCTGCTCTGCAAACCAAACTCCCCCACCTCCCTGCTCTGAGGAAATTGCCTCTCACGCATCCTCCCTCCCTCGTTCCAGGCTGAGCTGCAGAAGGCACGCGCCCCTCGCCATGTGCAGTGGCGGTCACAGGTGCAGTTACTGTACGGAGGTCGTTGGGTTTTTTCGCACAGGCTTCAGTGATGGCATCTTAGTTAATTTTTGGGCCAGCATCTCTGATCGTTTCCCTGTATTCAGGCATTTCCTGGCCTTTTCATTTTCCGTCACATTCTCATGCTACATAACCTTTCAGTTTCTAAATAACCTTTTCTTCTTCTCCCTCCCTCCCTCCCTCCCTCCCTCCCTCTTTCCTTTCCTTTCCTTTCCTTCTCCTTCCTTGTGTCGTGCTCTTCAAGTCTCACAGTCCCGAGCTGCTTTTCACGCCCACGCCTCCGCCACTGCCCCTCCTGCCGCCAGCCCCGTCCCCCGAGCTGCAGGCAGTCACCTTGGAATGGATTTCCCTGACCCTGGGAGCGCCCTGCAGCCGCCCCGGGGCCAGAGCCCCTCCCCTCGCGCCCCTCCCGGCCCCGGGGGCTGCCCCCGGCCCTGCGGGCGACCTCCTTGCCCCGGGGGCGACCAGCCCCTCGCCTCCCCGCAGCCCCCCACGCCCCACCGTCTCCAGCGCCTTGACCCCCGCCCCCGCCACGCCCCCGCCCCCGCCACGCTCCTCCCCCGGCGAGCCGCGGCCGCCTGCTCAGGGGCTGAGCCTGCCAGGGGAGGACGCCGCGGCCCCGGCCCCGGCCCCTTCCCCGCGCGTGAGCGGCTGCGGCTCGCCCTGCTCGGCCGCCGGCAGCCCCAGCAGCTTCCTGCCCGAGGCCAGCGATGCTGCGAGCCCGCGGCCCAGATCCCAGCCCCGCCGAGAGGCCAGCCCGGACGCTGGCAGGGACGGTGGCCTGGTGGCCCCTAAAGATGGAAGTGGCCTTCCCGAGCGCCGTGGGGGGCGGTGCCTGCCCAGGGGGGAGGACGCCGCCAGGCCCCGCAGGAAGCCCCGTCCCCTGCCGGAGGAGGGCGCGCTGCGGCCAGAGCGGGGGGACTGCCTCACGAGGAGGGACAGGGACCCCAGTAAGGAAGGTGGCCGGAGCGAGCAGCACAGCGGGGCTGCTCAGGTACCCCCTGCATGGTTTGCACCCCTGCGGGTTACGATGCGTGCCGGGGGGGGGGGCTGGGGTTTCCCTCCCAAACGCGTCCACAAAAACCGACCCCCACTGGGGCATCAGCTGGAGCACACACAGACGCAAGCATTCACAGATAAAATTGAGCACCTGTAAAGAAGACCTTGGAGTCTGTGGCACAAGACTCTGGCAGGGCTTTGGACGTGCAATGACAGTGCTGGTTTTGTGCCCATGAACTAAGAACCTACATTGCATGAGGGGCCTTCAAAAAGTTTTCACACTTTTCTATTTTATCCATATATTTTATATATTTTTTGCTGATGGCATTAAAAAGTTGGTACGACTCTGGGAAAAATGCATCACAAAGGGAGGTGATCCTATAGAAAAGTGATGCAATTTGTTTTTGAAATTCTTAATAAATAGAGTTTCTAAAAATGCGGAGACTTTTTGAAGAACCCTCGTATGAATCTGTATGCATCTGGAGCACAAAAGACCAGGAAGTATTGGCATCCATTTGGAGTAGATACCAGTTTGTGGGGTGCCTTGTTAACAGAGCTGTAATTCAGCAAAACCAGTGTCTTTATTTCTGCAACTCACCTGGGAAACTGGAGATCCTTTAGGAGAAGTCCAGTGAATAAACTTCAGGAATGCCCTGAAGGGACTTTTTGAAAGACTGGCCTATAAAAAGGTTACACTAATGAGAATGTCAGGGCAAGGAACCAGAGTACCTATTACTTACTGAGAACATCATTAGATTCCATTCCTTAGTCTGCACGTCTGGTACCTCTGCTATGTCCGAGGGCACCCGTGGAATACGTGGTTGGTTAGCACAGGTTGAGAATGAGGGTGACAGGTGTTCCCCAGGAGAAAAAGTGACTGCTGTAAAAGTTTTGAAGGAGCAGTATATTTTCACGCCAGTGAACTGGTCAGGAATTCATTAATTTCTGTCCATTTAGAGAGAATAGAAATGCAAATAGGACTTATTTAAGACCTATGAAGCATCACTTTGCCTAATACTGATTCTAACACTGGGGAAGAATCCTAAAATCAATGAATGGGAAAAGGACTGAACATATGGAGATAGTAATTCAGAATGAGTTTGAGCCTGCAATGGGATGAATTGGAAAAGCATGTCTGTTTGTGAATGGGCATGTTTGCCATTATTATTTTCTGCTTGGTTGGTTTTGGTAATGGTATAACCTGTTATGTCACGATTTTACACTGGCCTTTCTCCAGCAAATTTCAAGACGACGCACTAGCCTGAAATAGCTGACTAGAAGTAGTAAAAAAAGCCCTTGGGTTGCAATGGAAACAGTACTTCCATATGCACTCTCAGAGTAATTATTTCTCGCAGGTAGGAAACCACAGAATCTACCCTCTCTCTCATGGGAAGCCCAGTTTCCTTGTACATGGATGGTTTGAGAGGGTTTCCCTGATTTAAGAAAAGGGTCCTTCAGTTCATTTTGGTTTTTTTATGCATCCCGTGTCTGCTCAGCTTGGCTCAGCCATAAGGAAAGGGCGGACCATGGATGGCAGTTAGATAGGAATCGTGCTCCATGGACTAGAGTTTGCACAATACTTAACCCAACTCTCTGAATTTGATTTCATTGTTGAGTGTTAATTTTAAGGAGTAAAACTTGCCTTGCTCTTTCAAAAGCCCAGTTAGAGCCCACAGTAAACTTTGATTCTATTTATGTCCTTCAGTTAATGACAAGCAAATTTGTCTTTGCCATTCCACATTGCTTTCATGTATTCTTACTGATTTCATTTCTGCACTGATCAGCAAATTTAAAAGGGCTATTTAAATATGTAAACTTAAGAAACGTACAAAAAACCAAATATTCTATATTCTGAAGTCCTATTTTTAAGAGGAAAGCTCTAGATAACTTTTCAAGGAGGGGGTACTCCGGCTAATTTTTCATGGAATGTGTAGACTGATATTTAAATTCTGTTTGTAGTGAAAACAACAATGAGAAGACCTTATTTTCATTGGTAGTAAAGGGAGTGATGATAGTCACCTTACTTCTCCCCCATACCAATGGAGGCCAAACTCTGGGTTTGTAAATGAGAAGAAATCTAAATCTGACACAGGTGCACGCTCTCAGTCACACACACTGTGATCTTGTGGCAACTGCATCATGCTGAAGACATAGGTTAAGAAGATTTCTGTTCCAGTAATCTAGGACTAATCTTTCCCGATCGATCGTGGAGTTGTGCTGCTTGCGGTGCTGTACAGGCATCGCCTCAGGTTGTTGCTGAGAATAATCTCTGTGTGGCTAACCCCTCATTTTGCCAGCTCGCTCCCTGCCTGCCCTCCTGCTCGCCAAGTGACGGGCAGCATGCAGCCCCGTCCGTCGGGAACAACCTGCTACTCTGAATGCAGTGGCAAAATGTCCTTTCCTTTCCGCCTTTACCTTCCACTATGTTTGTAAGGTATGATTCTGACTTGTAAGTATGTGTGTTGAAATGTGTTCTTACTATGTACTTTGGTGCTCTCACAGCCTTCTCATCCTTTATTGAGGCCAGGACCAGATCTCACAGAATCTGAAAAGAACTATGTGGTAAGATCACCTAAGATTGATATCCATAGCCGGTTGATCTCTCTGGCAGTCTAGTGATACCTTTGGCACAGCGCAGGAGCACGAAACTTCTGTCAGCTGCTTTCTGGCACACAGTCGCTCGCAAAGACCGGTGTTACTGGTGAAAGGAGCTGTGTGAGGGATGTCCCGGTGCCAGAGCCAAGCAGCACAATCATTCTTTGGTCGGCCCTCTCGCGCTGATCTCCGTTGTCCAGCCCGTTGTGCTAAACACGGCAGGGCTCCACGTATGTAAGAGGAAGACTCTGCAGGGCAAGCTGGGCCAGGCTGCTGAACACCTGGCTTCTAAGAAGCAAGGGCCAAGGTGTTCCCCACGCATCCCCTCCAGTCACCTGGTGCACAGAGCTTGAAGCTTCTGCGCAGACCTGGGCAGCAAATCTCCCCTGCCTGGAACTGCTGTCACCATTTGAAAGTGCTCTGAAAAAAGAAAGCAGAATAGTTAAATGTGGAATGTTATGGGAGAGCTGAATGCCGTATCTGAGCTGTGCTTTGGTATTTGGGAAGGTGGAGCCTTCGTTGACTCATTTCCATTTCATCTTCTACTGCTGCTTTGTTATCAAATCTAAAATGAAATAGCAAATTCTTCTGTATCTTGCCTCTATTTTCCATGCTTACAATTTGGATTTCCTCTGCACTTCACTACCTGGAATATGTGCCTGGATCTACTCCTCTCTTGTCTTACCGGACCTATTTGCTGCACCTGAATTTTCCCGTCTCTGACTATCCTTCCCCCTGTTTGCTGTCCTCTGTGGGTTTCTTCCCCTCTCGGATGTCAATACTGCCCTGTCTCTGCTGCCCAGGAAACTGTTTGCAATGAGATCTTAAACATTGCTGAAAAGTCCGTCCATTACTGCAGCACAATTTCACAGCCTCTCGCCTCTTGTCGTGCGAGGCCTTTTAGTGACAATAAATCATCTCTCATCATTTCTCAGCAACCGCAAGTCCTCCCACTGGAGAGCAGCTTCGACAGAAATCATACCCCTCAAGACATGTAAGTGGGTGTGGGTCGCCCTGCTGAGCACCTGTTTGCACTGGGAGGGGTTTTGCTGTGCTCTAAAGGCCTCGGCTCCTAGTGTTGTGGGGTCCCCTGGCTTCTAGGTGCAGCTGGGGTGGAAACCTTGCCTCCTGAAAGACTCTGAACTGAAAGTCTTAGGCCAGGCGGAACCCAGCAGGGTGGAGGAATTGCAAGGGGCATATTTATTTATTTATTTATTTATTTACTTACTTACTTACTTACTTACTTACTTACTTACTTACTTACTTACTTATAACATTTTTATGCCGCCCCCATCGCAACAGAGCCTCAGGGCGGCTCACAACAAAAACAAAATATACAAATATAACAATTATACAACAAAAATATTAAAACCCGGTGCTTCTCAGCTTAAAAGATTTAAAATCCTATAAATCCCAGTAAATTAACAATTAAAGTAAGTTTTAAATAAAAAGGCCTTAGCCTGGCGCCGAAAAACAAATAACGACAGCGCCAGGTGGACCTCTCTGGGGAGCGCATTCCACAGATGGGGCGCCACTGCAGAGAAAGCCCTCCTCCGGGTACTCACCCTCCTAATATCATTCACAGAGGGTTCCCGGAGAAGGGCATCTGTTGCTGATCTCAAGGGGTGGGAGGGCATATATGGACGCAGACATTCCTTTAGATACCCAGGACCCTTTAGATACCCAGGACCCTTTAGATACCCAGATACCCTTTGCCTCCGTTCCCCATTTCTGACGATTCTCTCTAGTCCGGACTCCCAGCCTGTCTCGCAAGGGTTCTGGGGCGGCAGGAGGCTGAACGCAACGCAGAGTCAGTCGTGCCTTGACCGCACCTGCAGCCCTGCTCCCTGCTCCCCTTGTCCTTGTCCTCCAAAGCTGCTTTCCTGGAGCCGGCTCTAGGGCAAGGATTTGGATCCCTGATTCCCCTTTTCGAGGCCAGAGTGCTGTCTCCTACCCAGAGGGGTTTTGCAAGCGATCCTGTGGTGCCTGCGATGCACTCTCATTTTCGTATGTATCCCAAAGGATGGCGCATCCTTCTCTCCTCGGTGCAGGACTGGTGCACTAGAGGTCGTGGCAGAAATCCAAGCCTCGTTTGTGATTTCCGACCCCAGAAGGGCACCTGGAGAGCAGGGCGTGCCATGCATTGTGGATGCCTGTAACACCGACAGCAGCGGCTTTCCCGGTCACATGGCCTGGGCGTGTGGTGTTCAGCTTTGCCCAAAGTCAGCTCCTGACATAGGTGCGATGGGCGGATGGCTGCCCAAACAAATAAAAATGGTGGATAATGATGGCAGGACAGAGGTACTTGCGATGCCTGATATTAATGGGGCCGAGTCTTCCTTGAACTGCTGGTCTTAGCTCTGTATGTGGACGAGGTTGATTGGAAAAGGCTTATTTCTAAAGGTGACAGAGGGCACAGGCCTGAGATCAGTGGACACTTTCTGGGGCTGTGAGATTCCCTGCTGGAAAGGGCTACACGGGGAACGACGCTTGCTGCAGGCTCGAGCCCTTTGTGCTCCCAGCCAGCACAGTTCAGGGCGAAGAGCGTCTCTGGGACAGGCCCTTGAGGGGCGTTCTGGACGAGGGCCAGGGGGGCAGGGAGACCACTGGTGCCTCGCTTAGCTAGATGCCTGAAATCTTAGGTGTGCGGAAACCACGTCGGATTGTCTCCTGACTCTCTTGCCCGTCTTTGTGTGTGTGCGTTCCTAGGCTTAGCTACCAGGCACTTTACAGCTATATTCCACAAAACGACGATGAGCTGGAGTTGAGAGATGGGGATATCATAGACGTCATGGAGAAGTGTGATGACGGCTGGTTTGTTGGTGAGCAGATGATCTCTTTTGGCGTGTGCATAAATTAGCAGGCTTTGCCAGGGACTGGGGGTGGGCACAGTATTAATTATGTGCCGAGCAGCACCAGTGCAAGGGAATTTCATGATGACATAGAAAGACTGGTCTCTGCCACAGCCTCAGTGTCGGCGTGAGTATTTTTTGTTCCATCACACGAGTGCTTAGGCTTCATTTCAGCTAAGTCAGCAGAAGAAAGGAAGGTTTGAAAGAAGAGAGGACAAAGGGCCGCCCTTCTTTGCTGCTGCCGGGAGGAGCTCCAGGAGAAAGGACAAGAAATGTTCAGCCAACCTGGCGCACCTTTAACCTTCAGGGCAGCGCACATTATATCTTACGGAAGCAGCAGGGAAAAGCTACATGGGAAGTCATTCCATGTGTCTGCCTGGCTGGGCCTGGCTTATGCAGACGGGCTGGGGCTGCCTTTCCCAGCTACGTCTATTCAGAGAGGCCTGGCTCAGGAGCCTCTTGCATGTAAAGCGTGTGTTTTATCACAGGGGTGCAGCAAATGCGTGATCTGAAAAAGCATGAAGATCACTGGATCCTGGAGTAATGGAGCTGGGAGGGGCCGGAGGGCCACGGAGTCCAACCGCCTGCTCGGGGCAAGACTCCCGGTTGCGTCGTCCTGCTCAGATGGCTGCCCAGGTGCATCCTGAAGGCCTCCTGTGCAGGAGAGCCCACAGCAGGGTCATTGGATCGGGCACGTGAACCTGCCACACAGAGGTTGCAAAGATAGCCGCGCTGGAGCAGAGCAGGCTAGAAGGAATCGCTCCTCCGCGGCTTTCGCACGGCACCCCTCTTGCTAGCCTTGGCTCTTCTGTTTCTCAACAGGCACATCCAGGAGAACGCGACAGTTTGGTACTTTCCCAGGCAACTATGTGAAGCTCGTTTCCTTTTAAAAGTCATTGCAAGCCTTTGATTGCATCAGGAGAGAAGACGAATGGCACGCTTGAATCAAAAATCTTCAGAGAAGATAATTTTATGAATGTAGTCGCCGAAAGATAAGAAATGAACGTGGAATGTGGTAAAAGTGTTTGATGCAAGTTCTTGCCTCCTTCGAAGGTTTACCGGAACATAAAAGACAAACAAGTCATGCCTTTTATAATGCTGCATTTCTATCGATTTTTATTCTCCAGGAAGCAACATCTATTACAGCTTTCATTCAGCATTGCCTATTGCTCCCTGAGATGGGGGAACAGCAGCAGAGCAGAGTGGAATAACGATGTTCGTGGCAGAAAGGAGAAGAAGCGAGAGTCGGGCATCTCGGGACGGCAGAGTCTTTGACGGCACTCTGGCTGGGAGAGCGTGCGCTGGGGCCTCATTCTGCATGCAGCTCCTATTTGCTTCCTTTGGACTGTGCACCTTATCCGGCATAAAAATCAAAGACGGTTTGGAGGAAAGCCCCATATCGAAGAGCACATTGCCAGGATGAACGCGCCTCATCAAACTGCTCCTCAGTACTGCATGGACGATGCGTGTGCAGGCCTTTCTGTATTCCTTCAGAACTGAAGAATTATTACACGAGCACAGCAGTGTACATGTAAGAGTCTGGCACCCTCAAAACCCTCACAAAGAGGAAGGCGCAGCTGCGTCCCAAAGAAAGCGCAGTCGGTGCCCGGGCACCTGCTGGGGCACCGCACCCTTCGCAACAGCAGATTTTCTTGCTGACAGCTGGGGTTGCTTATCTTTATGCATCCTGCCTTTTCTTCTGGAGTGGCTCATTAGGACCCCGTGGGGCAGCTCAGGGGGAGAGCAAGCAAGATTCTCTCTCAGTGCAGTGCCTGGATCGCTTGCTAGCCCCACACTGGCTCTCCGTGACAGCGGGAGCCTCCAGCCACTGCCCCTGCCATTCCCCAGCTGGCCAAGAGCCGGTATTAGGCTGCAAAGCGGGCTGGGGGGCTCTCCTCCACCGCACATCCAGCCACCAAGGGAAAAGAGAGGGGCCCTCGCTCCTGATAAGCTGCAGGGGCCAAGCGAGCCGCAGGGGCCTAGAAGGAGACCGAGCTGGGGCAGGCACCAGAGAGGGTGCCTGTTCGCCAGCAGATTGTCTGGAAAAGCAGCTGCAGTGAAGGGAACCCACCGGGGCTGGTGAGCAAGCTGGAATCATCCTGGGGCCCCATGCACGTGTGAGAAAGAGAGGAAACGAGGGCTTCTCAATGAGCCGGAGCCAGTGGGGATTCGGAAGGGATCCAAAGGGTTTTCCGTGTGATCTGCAATAAAGCTGTGTGTGTGTGTGTGTGTGTGTGTGTGATGCATACCTGGGGTGCTTGTGTGTGTGTGTGTGTGTGAATTAACAGATGGGGCATCCAAGAGATTGTGTGGCTGGTGAGCTGGAGCGTGCAGAAGAGATGGCGGGATGAGCTGGCTGGCTGAGAAAGCAGGAAAGAAAAGGTTTGCTGTCTGTGCAGTGGATTTCTGCGGGCGCAGCAGCCCATGGGTTTCAAAGGACTTCTTTTGTGTGTTTGCGGCCCTGCCTTGTATTCAGCTTGTTTTGGCAGAAAGCTTCACAAGCCGAAGTGAGCCAAGGGTGGTGATAATTTAAGTAACAGTGATTCCAAAAGATGATAAAGGCAAGATGATGGTCGTTTAGTTTAACATGTACAGAAAATTAAGACAGTGAATTTGACAGTGGATTGGGTCTAGTTTAACGAGGCTAGTTAAATCTGCCTGTAGAAAGCACTTTGTCTCTGCATCACAGAACTGCCCCCAAACTTACCTGTACCCAAATTTCAAGGGTCGGTAGAGCATTGAAAGGAAGGAAGCTAAAGACCGAAGCACTCGATTTTGGGTTGCTGAAAGCCGGGAAACCCTTTATCACCTGTTAGACTTTTGGCAGCCAAGTTAGAGGCACTTTAGCTACAGCGCTCCTTCACGTGCTGCCAAAAAAGGGTCGCATGGTGGCGCGAGAGCCCGTTCACCGCAATTTGGGCTTTGTGAACATTCAGAAAACAGGCATTACGAAACAGGCGCTTCCACAACATTCTGGAGGGAAAGTAACAGCAGCATCTTCTCATCTTGCCAATTCAAGCAAAAGGAGTTAAATTATTTCCACTTGTTCTAAGGCCGAGATGAATTGTGCACAGCCCGTTGCACCCAGAGACTGCCTCCAGTCTGCTCCTTCCCCCCCTCTCCAGTCTCCCATTCTTGACTTCTGAAAGGTAAGGGCGAAGGAGGTTTTCAGAGGGAGTGAGAATTATTAGTCCAAAGTGCATTTTGAAGCAAAATGGTTTATTTTCAGATGCCAGGTGTACCTATTCCATGCATAGCTTCATTTTCTTTATCGACTTCCATTGCCCCAAATGAGTGACGTAAGGCGAAGAATTCCACAAACCTCAGCTCCCCCTGCCCCACTCTTTCTTGGCATAGATGGCAAATGTGATTTCTGCCTCTTTTTAAAAAAGTAGAAAGTACAATTGAGTGTCCATTTCTTTAGTTCCCAAAGCAACACTTACCTGGGAATAAATGCCACTGAGTTTCTTCATGGTCATTTCATTTAAAATAGTGTCTGACTATTAAATATAAAATGCCTTTTTTGCAGCTGCTGCAGTTTTTAGAGTAACCATAACTCATCAGCATGATTTGCAATTTATTTTGCTATATTATCCATGCTACAGAACAACAGAATTTCTTTTGCTGACTCCCTGCCCCCATCAGCCAAAAAAGTCAGCTGAAGCGATTGTATGACTGTACATATGTATATTTGCCTTTGTATAAACTTACAAATCTTAGATTGAAAAATAAGAAATTATTGAAATCTTTTTTCAGTAAGGCAAACGTAAGGGCTTTTATTTATATGAAGTAATTATTCCATTTATGGTCACACTAAATAAAAGGGGTTAGCAAAATATAAATCACCTAAGCTACAAAATATTATTTTCATCAGAATGGAGAATTAACATTTTCACACTGAAAGATTATTATTACTTAAGTTCCACTGAAATCATTTAACTTATATTCTTTTGGGAATGTGTGGAAACGGAATAATAAACACATTGATGTGCTTTGTCCCCAGAGTGTTTGATTTGCATTCTTATTTCCTGCAGCACTGTTCAGATTTGGCATTAAAATGAAAGGATTGGATACGACTGAATTAACCCGGTCTGCAAAAGAGCTTAACCACACTGGCAACATGTAACCAGCTTAATGCCATTTTAGTCAATACACATTTGCGTTCACATGCACTTCACAACAAGAACTCACCCTTGTGTTTAATTCTTCATTGCAGTGTATTATGATTTGGCAATTGATAAACTGAAATATTATATGAAAAGCATGTTTCTTTTAATCAATATTTAATAAACATTAGGCCAATCTGATGTGTGGGACTTCTTTGTTGAATGCTGCTCAGAGGACAACCTCGCAGCACAGCAGCACCGGGACGCATGTGTGAGAGCGCCCCAAGGAGGTGGCCATCCTGGGCACACCGCTTGCCAGAAAAGACCTCGGTGTGTTGGATACCCAACCACAGTGCCAACAAAGGAGTGCGATTCCTGCTGCCGCTCCACGGTGCGGCTCTTTAAATAAGCAACTGCAGGACCGACGGCGTTATGCTGGTAGGGCTCGCTCACGGGGCGTGTCCGTTGACGATGGTGTGCCTCCCAGTTTCTTCTACCAATGCCGTTTGCCCCAGCCATATCGCAAGGCAGCAAGGAGGGCCCGTGCCGTGTCCAGGTACGCACTGCAGAAGCCATCGCTGAGCAAACGCAGGGTTAGAAGCAGGCCTAAGGCAGTAAACGGTGGCAAAATCTTGCCTGGTAAGATTTCACACCTTTCATTTTATTTCACACCTTGCATTTTGGCAAGGCCTCTCCAATACCTCCTTCCACCCCACTTTTATAATTCAAATGTATAATACAATGAAAAATATAATTGTTCTACAAACTAATGGGTGTTAAATTCAATGGAATCTAGGTATGGAAAGTAACTTTCATACGTCCCCTCCCCCACAGCTTTTCAACACCTATAATTTAGCTTAACAACACACTTGTTTACATATTTCTTCAGAAGTAACTCATTCAGCTCATTTCCAGAAATAGAAATCTAGGATTACAGAGGGAAATGCCTGCTATGATCATGTTGACAAGACCGGTGGTTCTGCAGCTTTCCTTTTTCAGGGCTAGAATTCCCTTTTCTTTGGGAAATGGGCATTTCTGGATGGCCATACAGGAATGACTGACGGCCATGTTGTGCTGCATGTGAGAGAGCACGGTGCCCTGCAGACTAAGTAATCTAAAGGGGTTTTGGTCTAAAGCAGGGGTCCTCCAACTTTTTCCACGGGGGGCCAGCTGAAAGGTGCCGGCAGTGGTGCGCCCACCAAGGTGGTGCCGGCAGGGGGAAGGGGGCGTGGGCCAGCGAAGGGGCAAGACACATGTGTGGGGAGGCAGTGGTCTGCTTGCACGGAGATCGTTTTCTCTGGGTGAGTCCAAACTGATCTCTGCTTGCTTGCGGACGTGGGGCGAGTGCAAAACTTCTGGGGCGGGCCGGATCCGGTCCGCGGGCCATAGTTCGAGGACCCATGGTCTAAAGTTCCTCCAAAGAATTGCTGTGGGTGACAATACCAGGCTTCAGAAGTCATGCGTTAAGATACGCTGCCGTCGCCTAGCTAGCCCAAATGTCTCAGAATAATCTTGAGTGGGAAAACAAAATTGGAACAAGACCACAAAGACACCACCATGAGCCCATGAAGGAGAGGCAGACTCTTCCCTCTGCTCTTCCAGTGGCCCCCTGTGCACTCACGCATGCGGGCAGCCTGCACCCCACGCAGCCCGCCGATGGGGTTTTGGTGGGAGCCCCTTGCTTGCCCTCGGAGTTCAGCATATCGGGAGAGCTCCTGCCTGCTTCCTCAGTCCCCTCACTACTGTGGCCGCGGGACAGAGGGAGGATCTGATAGACTGACCTTGACCTCCGTCAGCTCTGATCTCTACGCAATAAGCATGTTAGCCCGTGACCCCAGAGGAGACACCAGGTGGGCTGCACACATACACAGGCGCCTGCCCGAAGAGCCAGAGCTGAGCAGCCTGCCCTTCTTCTCGTCGTCTCTGCAGCACACAGAGCTGAACGGCAAGTGTACCTTGCCCGCCAAAGGTGAGTGTCATCGCAAACGCCCAGCCTGCTCTGGCATGGACAGGGAGCCCGCAGCTCCATGATCTTCCCAAAAGCGATGGGGCAGGCGACGAGACCGACCAACGGCGGTCAAAGAGAATACGGGTAGAGGGCAGGACTTCTCCTGTGCATACACGGATGCCAGGACGGGGAGGGGTTTCTGCCAACACGCTCTCAGCTGCAGGGTCTTCCCAGCAGCACAGCTCCAGGCAGGTGCAGCGCCCATCCACGTGATGGAGACCATGAAGAAGAACAGTGTGGAGGATCTTGGCCTTGGTCTCGGTCTCCAGCGACGTGCCCTGATGCTTGAGGATCTTTTCTAGTTTCACTGACGCGTTTCCAAGACTTGGTTTCCTTCCAATTTCTTGGCTGCCGTCTCCCTTTGAATTGATGACCAAGCCAAAGCTATGCAGAATCTTTCAGAGTTTCATTGATGGCATTTAGGTTGTATAATTCTTCTGCAGTCATGATCATAGTTTCCTTAATGTTCAGTCCTATTTACCACATTCCTTCTATGACCAGGTCATTTCTTAATGAATCCAATTGCTTCCAAAGTAGACAAAATAAACTAGCCCAAGATAAGAAAGCAACTTTTTATTTAAAAGGAAAAAAATCAAAACAGGAACATCAGATTATATAAAGAATTTTAAATTATATACACAATTATGTAAATACTTGAAACTATACAGTTTTGTATGTCTGCAATTAGCAAAGACATTGTATACACATCAAAGACAAACAGAAAAGAATGACCGAATTAATGAAAGCAAAATGACTCTTGTAATATTTCCAATGTATTTAATCTCAGCAACTTTAAAATTTACAGTTAATTACAGTCCCTTACCCCCGCCACACACACACACACACAATCGTGAAGATGACTTTTCACTTGAAGTATAATTAGGAATTGGATTTCTGCAAAATAAGTTATCGCAAAACTCCCTTCTGCTCCAGGCCATGGCCAAATCTACAAAATTATTTTCAATTTCTAAATGATAATTATTGCTTGTGTGTAGGCCGCAGTGTGGATGCTCCACCCCAGTCGTGCACATGGAAGCTGCAGCCAACTGTGACCTCCCAGCGCACGGCCGCCCCACACACAGGGCCCCCCACGTCTTCACTTCCCTGGGCAACAGGTAAGGCAGCTTTTCTCTCCAGGCGCCCGCTGTTGCACCAATCCGTTCAGGTCTGGCACTCTGACTGTGTTCCTCACCCATATCCACCTACCCCTTTATATTATATTTCCAAGTATCCAAAAGTCTTTGGCTCAGTCCTGCCTTTGTAGTGTCATTCAAGATATTCTTAGATCCCTACTTTTTAAATTCAGGACTTTCCGTTTCCTTTTCAGTACATCTTTTCCACTGATATTAGAATGAAAGTAAAAGCTGTTTGCACCAAGTTTTTGCTGACTTGAAATAAATGTTCTTCTGTCCTTCCTGCCTGACCCAAAATTGGAGGAGGTTTCTCAAATAACAGACTATTTTGTTATTGACAAAAGGAGGTTTACCTGAAAGACAAAAGTGTTTAATTTAGAGTTTGGGGGTGGGGGTGTCTCAAAACTAAAAAAGGTTAAAGGGGCAGAAAGATAAAGGGCTACATTACAGACCTGTTCCATTGAAGGGCAAGCTATAATCTGGACATCTTCATTACTAAATTCTTCTTTCAATAGAGCGTGCAGTTTCTGAAACACCTGCTGAATATTGTTCTTGAAAAGAAAAAGAAATCCTGTCATTCAAAAATCAGCTTGCAGACATGAATGCATGCAGTGGGGCAGACAGCACCCATGCACTCCCACACAAGGCGCTCGCCTCTTCTCCAGGGCAAGAAACATACTGTCTTTAGCGGCAGCTGGAGCAGCTTCAAAGCAGAGCAAGTGCCCCCAGGCTCCTGCCTCCTTCACTTCCCAAGGACGCTCTGGAATATGTGCAGGGTTCAAGGACATTCCCAAGAAATGAGGATGGCGAATGACTGCAGGCTAATAGTTTCTTCTGCAGCATGCCCAGCTGTCAAGAGGAGGGGAGGGGAGGGGAGGACTCCACTCCTGTCTGGCAGCTGCGGACTGGCAGCCAGGGGGAGCAGCAGGCTCCGGCAGGGTCCGGCCAAGCCAGCTGCAAGCGACCCAGAAGGCTGGTGAGGGATGCGCACTGCCGTGTCTTGATGGAAGGCGTCTGCATGTGTGAGAAAAGGAGGGGCAGATCGAGGATTGCCTGCCCCTTGTGATTAACTGTGCCTCCTACGGACAGTTTTTCAAATTGCTGAACGTGCCCGCCAGGTCAGAAAATGCACCTACCCCAGGGCACGGGGATGCACCATGTTTCACCCTGGTTGAAGTCAACAGGATGAATTAGCACCAACCAGCTGGAGTTCCACTGATTTCAATGGGACTGTGGCATAACTGGCCCACTCAGCCCACTGTTGTCCTATCTGGGGCTGGGGGCTGCCAAAGATGCAGGTGCGGTTAGGCTGAGCTGCTCATCTCTGCATGATGCCAACAGGCACTAAAATCTTGTACAGAGATGCCCCCATACAGGAGAGCTTAATCACATGAGGAGCTGGTGTGTTCTGCACAACAGAAATCCTGCAGATGCCACGCCTGCAGGAATGCGGAAGAGTCGCTTGCACACCTTTAAGACCCTGGTAGCTTAAGAAAGAGAAAAGCAACTAATTTAAGAGCATGGGTTATCTCATCCTGAAATGTGTGCTGGGGCTGCGGACTTTTACCTCCCACCAAATCATCTTTGCAAGGCATATGCAGACGCTGCAAGGGCACAACCTCCTTGGTCCTGTAGGATGGAGCAGGGAGAAAGCAGAAGGATAGGGGAAAGAATAGGAAGGAGGCCAGCACGCGGGAGACGGTGGCGGCAGCAGCAGGCCTGGCTTTTAGCTGCGGGAACATTTTGCATGATGCTTTGAGACGAAAGAACTGCAGGGCGCGCCACAGAAAAGCATCGCATGTCTATTTCAGAGAATGTACATAGTTTCACAGAAATTATGAAAGCGATTGTGCAGCAGGACTTAAAAACCCGATTAGATGTTTATTCTTCTGCAGACAGAGGAACAGTGCTGCCAACAACACTTACCCGAACTGGCTTGAACAAAATGAATTCTGTGTCCTTGTTGGACAAGTAGAGTGACATGCTCTGTAATGTTGATGGGAGTTTTGTCTTTATCGTCTTGTATGTTGAAGACACCAAGTCACCGACCTTTGCTAGAAATAAAATTCAAACAAATATTAATGCCAAAGAACTTGTCCTTCTGAAATGCTTTTGCAGCCAGGGTTTCTCCCCCCCTTTCTCAATTTCTTCCTAAAGAGGACAATCACGTAAAGCTGTGAGTGTTGCCTTTGCTCTGACATTCATTTCACACATGAAAATGTTGGAGTTAACACTCCGATTCCTTTTTGGTAAGAATACAACTGCACATTATTGCAAGCCACCTTCTGGAAAAATTAAGATAAATGTCTAAAGAAATAAGGCATGTATGTATTCATTCATTCCATTTATATGCCAACCATTATCCCAGGAACTCACAGATACCTATCTAGCACACACACCTCAGCTTATGTAACTTAACAAAGTGGCTGAAATCCTTGCTCACTGCTGGAAATTCCTTACTCATTGAATGAAATGGCTGCCAGTCTAGTCAGCAAGTTCAATAAATATATAAAGTTCACGGGAAACTTCCCTAAAAATTGACATCACTGGGCGCGATTGGTGACCCATCTGTGGATCCACCTAACAGTACTGCCTTCTAGACAAAATGCTATCTTCCTGTCAGCGTATAACAGAGACTTTGCCAAATGTTTTGCTCCTTTGATCTCGCGAGCTAATAATTAGCAATGGCAGAGAGAAAGACGCTTGGCATGTCTTATTTTTGAGAAAGTCATAGTGGCTCCAACCCTCACCGCATTCTTTTTCTAGATGCTTGCAGCCTGATTGCTTGATCACCTTTCCCCTCATCTTTACGACTGAGATACTCGTTCATCTTCCTCAAAGAGTAATTCCCCAAGAATTCTCACAGTTTAAAGGCAGTGGCTCAATACAGCAAGCTCAGTCCTTGTATGCACAGTCTGCTGAATCAAACTGGTATACGGGTGTATTGGTCTAAAGCAGGGTCCTCAAACTACGGTCCGTGGGCCGAATCTGGCCCGCCACAGAGGTTCTGGACTTGCCGCGTGTGCATGCGTGCGTGCTGAGGCTTGCTCGTGCGGAGATCGTTTCGGACTCGCTCGGAGAAAAGGATCTCTGCACGCGCCCCCCACCCTGGCCTGCGCCCCCCGCCCACACCGCCCTGGCGGCCAGCGCCCACCGCCGGCACCTTTCACCTGGCCCCCTGGTCTAAAGTATCCAGAACAACCGAGTCTGCAGTCCAAGACCCACTGTGTGTGCAGGAGCCGTGCGAGCGTCACACTACCTGGCTGTGCCCAGGGCTGCTGCAAGAGGTTGTACGTGGGTCCACTCTGCATGGCCATCGTCTTCAAAGCAGAGACCTAAAGTAACGAGATAGAGAGAACACGGAACATATTGCACAAACGCTCAGTATTTATAAACACATGTGACCTTTATTCTGTAACACTTAACTGAAGCACACTGATTAAGACAAGGATGGAGAGGCCCAAGGGTTGCAGAATCACTTTACTCTGACCCCAAGTTCTACCAATGGAAGATATGCAATAGCGGCTCAGGAAAGCAGACAAAAATGTGGAAGAGGAATCTGATTTCAGTACCAGAATTGCTCCACATGCACAAATGTTTTTGCAAGTCTGGTCCTGCTGCCTCAGCCTAAGACCCCAGCAGAGTCTATAGTATCTCAGTACCTTTGTGAGAAATTCCTCCAGAGGCCCTGCAAGCTGCTTGGTTTGCTGCTGAATGAACTGCTCACAGGCAAGCTTCAGGTGCCGATCCACATCCTTCTTGGAGTCAATGTAATGTTCCCTGATCTCTGGAGTGCCCTGGAACACAGAGACAGTGGTTATGCTCTTCTGCAGAGATTCCCACATTCTAAAAATAGTTTTTTTTCCATGCAGAGTAAAGGGAAGCTTTTTACCTCCAGTAAGAACTGTATCAGTGCATTGTTGCTACTTAGTTTAAAAAAATGTGGAACAGTCATAGGATTCAGTATCTTAAATGCAGCATCTATGAAAGCAAAATCATTTAAACAAGTATTTAACTTTTGCACTTATATTTTAATGTACTATTTTTATTTACTGTACCATTAAACTGCTGAATATCTGAAATCGCATGGATCATATACATTAAAATATACAAATATTAAAACAAAAAATAAGGAATACAGAATAAAGCCAGGGGCAAAGTATCTGATTGCTGCATTACAGAAACAGTATAAAATCAGCAGCAGCAGAACATACTAAGCGCAGTTCTTAAAATTCAAAGGAAAATCTTCATCTGGCAGGCCTGGGTGAATTCTTCTTTGGAATAGTGGAAGAGGAGCAAGCCTGCTCTGATTGAGAGATCAGCACAGCTCAGTACCTCTAGTTTTCTTAAGATCCAGGGAAATTTCCTTAATGGTGAATTCAGTGTGGAACGGAGCAATTTGTTCCCGAAGAATCAAAAGATGTTTTATTAAGAACAGCTGTCCGTCAATCTGGGTCTAAAGCATAACAAGGAACTAATGTCAAAACAAAAAGGCACTAAGCGAGAAAACACTTGTATGTGCTTTCTGCTCTAGTCTACCCAGATCTACTGCTTCCATTAAAGCATCTGCACACCTTTTAAGCCCTTATGGAGTCTACGACTGGTCTCCTCTCCCCTCTCGCGCCGTTCACAGCATGCACAGCCCCTGCTCAGATACCCTCTTGCGTGAGGAGTGGGAGAGCTGCAGCCACATCTGTACTTGTTGGGGGGCGGGGGGCTGAAGGGGACAGCTGCCCGATCTGTGGAAGCCCTCCACAGAAACCCCCCGGAAAGAGGAAGGGAAGGGCTGGAGGCCTTCCTCTCCTCACGCACCTCTTCCACGTGATCAGAGGAGGCCTGAACAGGGCTAATGACTCCTGCAAATGAATGTGCCCCGCAACCACGTTACACTTGATTAGAATCTGCTACCATTTAATTGCTCTTTTTAGGTATTAAAGAAAATATAAGTGTGTTCTTTAATTTGTAAGAGTTTTAAACTGATTTAGGTTACTTCAACGGAAGTTATCATGGTCCTTTGGAACGTGCTTATTCCTTAGATTCAGGAACAGCAGCTCATAATGTCCCCATTTGCCATTTTATCTCTTGGCAACCTCAATTACATGCACACATGTCCTCCAGAAACTGTCCACTGCTCTTTAAAAAAAAACAGGTTTAAATTTATTGTTGTTATTACTGTTCTGCATGGACTGATTGTCATTATTATACAATTTTATGAGGGCTTTATTGTATCGCCGTTCTGAGAACCCAGGGCTAATGAACAGGATATAAAAACCTCAACAAATATGCCATTTCCTTTTGCATTTGAATGAACAGCAGGTGCCCTTCATGACCTACACCAAAACAAACCAAATGTTTATGGAGCCTACAGACTTTTCCACATATTAGTAGGTAAGATCAGTTATCCAAGCAAAACAAGAAAACTGATCATGGAGCACAGAAGAACACACAGTATGTAATATTTCTCTTTAAATGTTCAGCTTTACTATTTGACTTTTCAGTCAAAAGGGAGCTTAAGTACCTGCCAACAGCCACACCAGATCGTCTGTAAGCACTGAGTGGACATGTAAATGAATACAACCAATGAATCCCTGAATCCAGTGTTTCCAGAGGAGAGCCAAACTTCAAACTCCTGACACACAGTTGGAGTCTCTCTCCCAAGTTCAAATTAAGCTCACTCCATCTTCCAACATCCTCCATCTTATCTATTCCCTCCAGATGGCTTTTTAACTTCTACTTCTTTGTCTGCTGTACAGTAATTTAAATAATATCTTATGTATTTTTTTCTTATATATCCTTTTATTTCTTTCTCTGGTTTTGTCTTCTTTTTCAATATACAGCAGACACTCAAAGCATACAGGTATCATTCTTAGCAGTAATTTTGATATCGCAGTTTAGAAGCAACCCTCCCCTTTCTACAGAGCCCTAATATCATTAATATCCTTTGCATTCAGAAATTAATGCTTTCATTGGCTTTACACTTACTGGGTTTACATTTCACTTTAACACAATGTGGTGTAAAGGGCCTTCTTTTAATGAATATTGTGATCAGGGGGTAAAATCACACATTCAAAACAAGGTCCTGCTTTACCCACAAGCCTTGTTTTAAAATGAAAAGGAAACTTCTTGGCTGCCTCTGATTTTGGGGGGGGGGGGGGGTCAGGGGGGAGTGCTGCCCTCAGTAGGTTCCAGTGGTAGGAAGCTGGATCCCAGACCCTCTGAAGTTGCCAAGCATTGCTATACAGACTCCTTAGGAGGGACCTAAATTTTAAATATTTCTATCATTATCTCTTGCCTCAGAATTCATACTGTGTACTTCCAGAACCAGTTTAAAGAGCTTCCCTATGTTAGCTTCTTTACCCCACAGTTACAGATAGCGAACTACATCCTTCCGAAAGTAATATTACCTGACCTTGGTTTTAGTAATAGAATCTGCAGCTACCAGCAGTGACCGTATGCAGGCAGATAAAGCCTCTTGTGACAATCCCTGGAACACCGCCCTCTGAGGAAGAAACACTTTCATAAATCGACCAGTATGCAGATGATCAGATGTGCATGATACAGGACTCCAAAACACGCACAATAACCATATGTATTGCAACGTTGTATATACTTTAGATTTCACATTTTTAGCAAATGTATACTGAAATATTTCATATTTTAAAAATACCAGCTTCAGTTATAAATAGGGCTGCGTTACAGTAACACTTAAAAGCTGAGCCAAGGTTCAGAAACAAGGCCAAATCTCAGTGAGGGAACATGGATTATTGATCAGCCAATCAAGCTGCACTGATAGACATGAAGTTTGCTTCATCTCATTTTTCAGAATATTATCAGGTTTAGCTGTCCAATAAACAATGCTTCCTTAAAGAGAAAGATTAAGGATGCAAAGTTAATTGGTAATCTGAAACCCCTATTAATTTTTTCTAAATTTTGTAAAGAATTTTTTGATCATAAAAAATATTTAATTTTGAGTATTTTACATTTACGCAAATTTAAATTCATAAAGTGGATGAGCAGTTGGTGGTCCTTGCTTGTTTCTGGAGTAGATTTTGAAAAAATATAGGCCCATATGCTTCCAGTTCTCCTCCCTCAGGTTTATTGAAGGTTCACATCTATAACAAGTACTATGTAGTTTAGGGATGAAATACTGATGTTTCATTAGTACTTTTCCCAATTTCTGTTTCATATTAGTGTCTGAGAAAAGAGAATGGATTGGCTCCATATTAAATTGAACTCAACGGGGTAAGTCGGTCATGATTTAACGTCAGTTGCATTACTTTAAATAGAAAACTAGTTTCGATCCAGCCTATTCTGTACATCAGCTGTAATTTGTGCTCAAGATAAACAATGAACTAGAAAGTTATTCAAGAACTCCTGAATTTCTTAATATACATTCTTCCACAGAAAAAGGTATTTAAACGCATATGGAGCCAGATCTCCATTTAGAGGTGTACAACTGGGCTGGCAGAGGCGTCCTTCCCCATCCTCTCTTCTCATTTCGCTGAATGGGTTTGGTTGCCGCGTGGGTAAAAGTGCGGCACCCCCATATATCAGGGGTGCTTAAACAGTAGGCTGCCTGCATCTCCGCCGTGCTCCCAGAACTCGTCCATTTACAGCGACCCTACAAATGACTGCCCTCCAAAATGCCCATGGCAGCGCCATTCAGTTCCTTCACGTTCAAAGCCTTGAGGGGCTTCCTTGAGGGGTCCAATCCATCTCCTTCCCTTTGATCTGCCGCCTTCAGCTTTTTTAGCACGACCGTTCCCTCCTGTGCATGTTGCTTTCTCATGATGCATCCAAAGCATGGCAGCCTAGTTTTGTCATTTCTGCTCCCAGGGAAAGCTCTTGCTTTCTGACCCTAGGCAAAATTTTGCCTCAACATTTGATTCTGCTGTGTTTTCTACTTCTGCCTTCCAGTCACCAAGGATTATTTTGTTTTGTTCTGGTGCATTACTGATCCCACCTTGTTAAAGTTTCTTTCTTCTTCAACATCTGTTGTTGGCACACAGACTTGAACGATGGTTGTGTTGATGGGTTTTCCACTAGTTCTGATAGTATTTGGTTTGATTTTGCTTTCTGGCCCCGTACTGCTTGTGCTGTGCCTTGCCTCAGTACTAGAGACATTCAACTGTTTCCAAGTTTGTCATTTCCCTAGTAAAACACCCTGGGATTGACTCCCAGCCACAGGGGCTGATAGGATGGGCACTGCCATTTGGAAGGAAGATGAGGGCACGTGGGAACGTGAGCATGTGAAACCAGAGCACCACGCAAGGCAGCATTAGGTGTGAACATGATGTCTGACTCTGAACAGTCTAAACAACAAAGCAGCTTTTGTTTGTTTTTAACACTGCTGAAACTCCCACTGCAGCTCTAACGTTCATATATGGGCTTTTGGATGCTTTTCAAAATTAAAAGACTTAATGTCAGAGGCAAGACAACGCATTATACATACATCAATACATCGGTAAAGTTTCGAGAGACAAACAAGCGTCCTTCTGACAGTAGGGTACCACATTCCGTGGAGATCTGCAGGTGAAATTGTGCTGTGAAGTCTAAGACTACTGGATTCCAGTGGATCTGTAATACGGAAGACACACAGAAGGTTTGATACTGCCTTGCATTTAAGAGTATTCATAGTAATATACAGCATCTTTGTTAACCAATTAAATATTCATTACATGACTGTGTATGATCCAGAAATTCAAAATGGCACAAAGCTTAGATTGGTATACTTGCATCTAGCGATACAGCAAGACTCTTCTCCCCCAAGAACTGTTCATTTTTGCTGTAAAATATCGATTGTAAAGCAGTGTCTCCCAGTGTTTAAGGGGCTGATTTCTTACGCAGAATAACATCTGCAGAACCAGCTTCCTCAATCCTGCCACTGCAGGGCATGAGCTGAAGCATTGCCCCCAAGGGTGGGGGCCACGCCCGGCCAGCAAAGAGGACAGAGAGGGGTTTTCCTGGAGAGGCGGGTACGGAGTTGGAAGGGGCCAGAAGGCCATCGGGTCCAATGCCCTGCTCAGTGCAGGACACCCCCCCAGCAGGTGGCTGTGCAGCTGCATCGGTATGCCTCTCGTGTGGGAGAGCCCACCCCCTCCCTAGGTCACTGGTTCCATTGCTGTACTACCCTGCCAGGAATTTTTTCCTGCTATCTAGCTGGAATCTGTCTTCCTGTAACTTGAGCCCATTTTTCTGTGTCCTGTACTCTGGGAAGATGGAGAAGGGATCCTGGCCTCCCTCTTTGTGACAGCCTTTCAGGTAGTTGCACAGTGCTATTAGCTCTCCCCTCAGTCTTCTCTTCTTGAGGCTAAATGTACCCGGTTCTTTCCATCTCTCCCTGCGGGGCCTTGTTTACAGCCCCTGGATCTTCCTTGTTGCCCTCCTCTGAGCCCTTTCTAGCTTGTCCGCATCTTTCTTGAAGTGTGGTGCCCAGAACTGGACACAGGACTCCAGCTGAGGTCTAATTAGTGCTGTGTAAAAGGGAGCTGGGCCTTCACTTGATTTGGAAGTGATACTTCTGTTAACAGCCCTTTTTGTAGCTGTATCACATTGTTGACTCAGACTCAGCCTGTGATCTACAACAATTCCAAGACCCTTCTCATTGGCAGCATTGTTGAGCCAAGTATTCCCCATCTTGTAACAAAGTATCTGCTTCCCTTTTCCAAGGTGCAGAACTTGGCATTTGTCCCTATTGAATTTCATTCTGCTGATTTCAAGTCAGTGCTCCAATCTATGGAAGTTAACCTTCTTTGTGTCTTCCAAGGTATTAGTTATCCCATTCAGTTTGGTATCATTTGCCAGTCTGATAATTGTTTGCTGCACTTCTTCATCCAAACCATTAACATGTATTGAAAACCTTTTTAATACTGTCTACTAGCGAGGTCTCGGGATGGTTTGACAGAAAAGCAGAATAAAACAAAATAAAACACAGCATCCTGATTTCTGGCAATAAAACCTAAATTAAAATGATAGTAAAATCTTAAAATATTGGTAAAATAAAATGGTTTTAGCCTGGCACCAAAAAGAATAGTGACGGTGCCAGGCAAACCTCTCTGGGGAGCATGTTCCGTAATATAATATGGAATTCAACATAAGAAAAATGCTGAAGAGCACTGGGCCCAGAAGGTGCCACTGAAGAGCACTCCCTGGGTCCAGTTCTGTCACCAACGGGCAGAAGAAGTAGATTTAAAACGGTATGAAACAGCTTGCCCATGAATGAGGCCAGGACCCCGATGCCCCGCTGTGGGGTGACCTGTTCACTTGGTGATGGTCTTACTAGGGATATTTTCTTGGTGGTGCTTCTGTCAATCAGAGGAGACATTTTCTGAAACCGCTGGAAAATGCCTTGAGGATTTGAGTGCGGCTCCCTGATATACCATTGTAATGGAAGTCATATCAAGAAAAACCTTTCGGAATGTAACAGCCATAAGCAGTAACAGCTATAGCTCCATGTGGATGAAATTAAGCATTTAAATACATCAACAAGCTGGTGCCAATTCATATGCTGAATATCTCATTTTATTTATTAACTTTTTATACAGCCTGACAACTGAAACTGTTTTTGGCTTTCTTTCTTCTCTTCTGAGCTCTCTCCAAAACCCAAAAAGGTATACATAGTCAAATACAGTTAAAATTAGTATGTATTTACCATTACAAATTACTTCATAGAAATGAAAACACACAGCTCACCAGGTTTTACCGCACTGGAGTTCTCTGGCTCTTCTAGCTTGAGGGTTGAAAATGAAGCATCTGTGGGTAACCTTTTATCTTCATCCTTTAAGCTTTGTGCAATTTGCTGCCAGAAAAAGTAAAATTTGGGGGGAAACCCCACAATAATTATGCTTCCAGTGCAGCAGTTAAGTAAGCAAGGGTGTCTTGAAAATTCCTCCCCAGCTGCTCTCAGTAACCAAGAAGCTTCATACCAAGATCGACCTCTCTGAGGGACTGCCTCAGTCAAGCAGAGATTTAAAGGGTAAAACCAACACCTTGAATTCAGTCCAGAAAGCAACTGGCAACCAGTGCAGCTCTTTCACTTTAGGAATGAAGGGATCCCCCTACTGTTCACTGGTTAGCAACCCAGCTGCAACCTTTGGACTAAAGGATGCTTCCAAAGGCTCTGTGCAGGTACTTATCGTTCAACATGGGTAGGTGGGTGTCCATTCGAAAGCAAACGAAGGCAAAGCCCTCACCTTCATCATTTCCAGCTTATCAGGATAAGCGAGGTCCCCTGGGGCAGGCTTGTAACCAGCGATGTCTGTCTGAATGTAAATGTGCGTCCGGTAGACCAGGCGCTCCTGGACATCCTCCAGCATCTGCTTAACTCCAGCGGCAAAAGCAGCCAGTTGTTCCGCTACCAGAAAAAGCCACACATCTAAAACCATTCTTCAGTATTTGCTTAAACTTTACCGTCCATGTCAGGCAACCACCACACACGAGAATAATGCCCAGCCAGATCAAAACAATCGATTGTGAGCCTTCAGTTTTACAGCACATGATACTGATGTTAAAGCTCTTTATTTTTGCTGCTGCAGCACCGGACCCACTGGTATTTCAAAAGAGGCAGCAGACTCTACTTGCTAATCAAGATACCCAAGACAAAGTGTATCAAGATGTTCTCTCCTCTACAGTGGCTCGCAGAACCAGCCACAGGCATCCCTTTGACTCCCGCATTTGTTGTGTTACAGCCTGGAAGGGAAATGGACTGAACTGGGATTGTTGCCACTTTAGGGACACAAGGTGCTCAGCACTGCCGATGCACGAAATATTTTACTGGGCACAAAAGTGAAGTACCTGAAAACAAAGTGGCACCTTCTGGATACATGAAGCTCCCCCAGTCTCCCTCCCTCCCACTCTGAAGCGCCCTTGCTAGATGGGCCAAAAAGCCCACTTGACATAAAAGCGAAGCAGAAAAGCAAAAAGCCCACTTGGGCATCAAAGACCGCCCCTGGCCCTCCTCCCACTCTGCCAGCTTCAATCTGGTATGGGGTGTGTGTGCGGGGGGGGGGGAGGATATTTAACATAGCCCGTTATCTGAAGGAAAGAGGAACGTTAAAAATATCCAGAACCACAATAATCAAATAATTTGGGGAAAATATCTGTGTGAAAAACATAATACTAATGATTGCAAACTATCTATGTGACTTCCAAAACCAATGTTGATAGAAACACTGTGCGGCTTATCACCTAAACTCAACTTAATTCCTGCAGAGGATAACATCTGGCTAAAATGAAATAAAAGTCAGTGCATGTAAGTAATGTGGAACAGGTATCACGCAGCAAACACAGGCTGCTGACAAGATAATGTTCTCCCTCTGCAGTCATCTTTGTCTTTATGCTTGTTGGAGAAAGCAAAGAAGGGAGCTCATCCCCAAGCCCTGCTTCTCATCTGGGCAAAATTAGTCTTCCAACTTTGCCTTACATCCCCTTGTCTTCCAGGGAGTCAGTGACAGCTCCCTCATCACTTAAACGTTGTATAATGAACCCTCCTCTGGGCAACATGAAATAATACTTGAGGGAACCGGTCATCAGCCAACTAAGAGAACCAAAGATTGCAGAGTCAAAAGAGGAGGCGGTGCTTTAACACAATAAGCATCCTTCTATATTCATTTCGGTTTGAGAGAGAGGTCCATCTTGAAAATGACAGAGATGTTAAATTCAGTCGTCTCTGAGCAGAGAACATCCCAGCATGTTTAAAAGATACATTCTCACTGTGATCAAGTGTTTGATTTTAAAACCTTATTTTCACTCTTACCGTTGTTTTGCACATGATCTTCAAGCATCTCATTTTTGAGAATCCCACAGAGCTCAGACAAGGTTTCTAAATGAATTACGTGAATGATCAACGGCCGAAAGACGTCATATAACGATAGGCAGAGTTTCTCCAAAAGTTCACTGGAAAAAAGAAAAACAAGCCCAGCTTGATTTGGGTCTAGCCCTGTATGGAAGGAGCAGCTTCTACGTCCATTAAACCTGGGGTGGCGACTTCTGGGCACTGGGGGGGCCTCTCTCTAAGCAGCCACTAGGGCTGCCGGAAGTAGCCGCTCCTGGAATTGCAGCACTCCTGGTGGAGGACCAAAGCGCCCAGGGAGCTTTCCCGGCAGCATTCCAGTTCCGACGGGCTACCACACACTTGTTTCCACAGGCTCTTGGGGGACCCATTCTACAAAAGCAGGACCCACGAGAGCAGCCATTCCCGTTTCTCTGAGGATCAGAGCTCCTCCCAGGAAAGGAGGTCTGTGGGGAGCACGTGTCTGGCTGGCTGTTGAGGAGAGTCACCTTCCTGGCAGCCCACCAAACAGCACGCTGGCAGGTGCTCAGTTCTTCCCTAACACACTGCAATGAACTGCTTGCCCCTGGATTATACTAACAGCACTTCCAGCCTGAACTCGTTATAATGGATTATAATGATGTCTGGTGCATTCAGTCTTACCGACCTTACCACATAAGATTTGCCCATTAAAAATAATTAGCATTCTGTTTGCACCCGCTTGTATACTTCTAAAAACTTGACCTATCAGCCAATTAAAGAAATCTTAGGCTACCATACACGTAAACGTTCATCATCTTTTGCCTGGGTCTAATAAAGGTACTGCCCAACTCTTGATATTGATTTTTTTTCCCCTCATGGACCAGCATGGCTATGGGGGGCAGGTTGATAATAACCTATTTATTTAAGGCAATTTCTACCACCTGGTTGACTTCAATATACTTTTTAACCTCACTCACCATCTAAAATTAATCACTACCTGTGCTAACACAGAGATGATCATATTGCTCTTTATTTCTGCTCTCTGCCAGATCCAAGTTGAAGCTGGCTTTTGTCAAATTCAGCTATTATGGTTCCCGAAATCTTAGCTGGAATCCAGTCCCCAAGTCAGTAAATGCTGATGAGCAATGGCTGCCATGCTTGACCACCCGCATCCAAGCAATGCCGTAAGCATTTGGTGCAACAAAGGGCCATGCCAAACGCACCACTTACTCCAGTCTGGGTGTTGTTTTGGTGAAGAACTCATCATACAACTGATGCTCATCCTGGCACACGTGGACCATAAAGGCACAGCCGCTTCGGACCTGAAAGCAGAAAAGAAATGCACAGGCCGAACAGCCATTTCTGTGCACTTAGAAACAGATACGACTGATCCTTATCCCTGCACATCTTAAGGACTGGTATTCTGGTGCTATTCTGAGCTGTCCCAAAATAATCTGATGAAAAAGATGCAACTGCAAAGTTTGGCCAGTAAGATCCAAGTTCCTTAGGCAATCTGAATTTCATTACTTTTGGAAATTTGTGGACTTTAAAAAAAAAAGATTGCTTTTCTGTTGCAAAAAATAATGCAATGCAGATTTGTTTCTAGCATAAGAAAAAAGAAAATCTGTACAAAAAGCTGAAGACAGAAATAGAAGAAGGGGAAGACTAAATAGGAGACGGATCAATTACATAAAGGAAATCGCCGCTGTGAGATTTCAAGGGCTGAGCAAGGCTGTCAAGCACAGAACAGTTTAGAAGACATTCATTCATAGGGTCACCATAAGTCAGAGACAACTTGATGGTACAAGAAAGACAACTAAAAGCTCAACATTAAACATCATTTAACACTCAGCAAAAATGCTGCTTTCTAATAAATTCAACTTGAGCTCGTGTTCCAAAAACCAACCATACAGTTACAGCAACAGTTACCTTACCAGAGCACAATGATCTCTGTTGTTCTGATTTGTTAACTCTCTCACAGTGCTAGTAATGCTAGGCCCCAGTAAGTGCTCCCTCTGATCAAGGTAACATTGATGGATCTCATTCAACAGCTGCTGGTACCTAGACAAAGAAAAAGATAACGAGGAATCTATTTCACAGGAGAATGGAATTTTAGGGCATGATTGTCAAAGAGATGGCAAGCCCGTGTTCTGTGTGAGTTGTGGCCCAACTCCGTGCTGCAGGGGGAGTTATAGTTTACAGCCAGTATCTGATCAGAAGAGCTTGGAGTGTCAGAATCAGTGTGAACAGAACTGCCAGTGCTCTCAAAGGAAGCTAGGTGGGGGTGAGGTTGCTCCAATTCAGCTGCAGATTTGACCTTGACAGGGAACTAAGCTGTCAGCTTCTCTATGAGAGCGTAGCAGACAAGGTGGGTGGTTGTCAGAGGTCCCAGGCAGGCTGGGGCATAAACTGACGAGGGAAGAGTGGAGGCGCCGTGTTTGAGCAAGGGACTCATTAAAGGGCCAAGCCCCCTTGTCAGTTAATTGTCCAGCAGGAGGGGTACTGCAGCCACACCTTCACTTTTAAACGGATGCCCAGTGTGGGGCCCTTTGCTAGGAACATGCTGTGTGTGTTGCCCAAAGTCCTCTCTGCCTAGGCAGCCGGGACAGAGGGAGGGGCAGCAACTGTACAGTGATGACACCTGCAAAGGGAGGCAGGGAGGAAAGGGCATCTAGTGACACCAACAGAGGCACGGAGGAAAGCGCACGGTGGTGCAACTGGGAAGCACTGGGCTGCAGTTCAGCTGGGTGTGGCAGACACACCTGGGGGTCTCGGAGAGCCCTTTTGTAGGGCAACTGGATGCAATGCCAGACAGGCCTTTTTGTACCTGTGACTATTATATGGAAGAGACATTTGTCATACCTGCAGCCTGTCAGACGAGGGTCGGGAAGGTTGTATATGAGGAAGCACCCCTCATTGGTAAGGCAAGAGACAGGAGGGCTGTCCACTTTTGCCTCTCCATCTTTCCACCACAAAAAGTTAGAGAGAACCCCTTCAGCAAAAATGAACGGAACTTACTTACTCTGGCATTTTCTCAGACCGCTGTTCTATTTGCTCAATGAGTGTCTGGGGAAACAGAGAGAAAGGAGTCGAGAGCGTTCAGTCACGTCCTGCACAGGAGCATCAGATGCAGGAAGCAGCCACTGCCGCAGCTCCGGGGCAAAGCCCGGGCAGGTGCAAGAGTCCTTGCCGTGGACGTGCCCGGCAGGGACACTGTGGCCCTCAGTGCTCTTAGGGCAGGTGCGCCAAGGGAGACCCAGAGCCTCAAAGGCTCTGCTGGGCAGCAGAGAGAGGACTGAGTCTTTGCCGAATCACACAGCCATCTCTTTGCCTCCCTCACTGCCCCGAGTGGCCCGATTCTGGGCACACACCAGGGCTGGATTATCTTACTGTACTTCTCTCTGAAGGTTGTGAGCCACCCAGAGGTGCTCTGGCACAACTGGGCAGCATACAAATGTTTCACATACATACATGCATGCATGCATCTCTCACCGCCAGGAGTTTTCCTCCATTTGCACTCAAGCCCTCTCCTCTCTCGGTTCATCACTCTCAGCTCCAGGGTGCACCATGGAGAGGGCACTTGGAGAGCCAGGTGAACTGCCAGGGTCAGTTCTGCATCCCATAAAGCCACTGGGGTTTCAGCAGGCCCACCAGCTGGGTCAGCTGAAGAAATCCCCAGAGACCTTGGGAAACCGTCCAGATCCATCGCCTCCAAGGACAAGCCACGGGACAATGGGTGCCCACCTCTGCAGAAGGGGAAAAGCCGCCATCGGGTTAAACCTCGGCAGGCGGCGATCCAAAATCAGCAAAGGGGCCAAATCAGATGCCCTCACATTCAGATCACGACCCCCAGGTCCAGCTGAAACACAGATTGGGGGCATGGCCCACTCCCATGCGTTGGCCAATGGCGCGCTGGGACAGTCCCCTGGCTGTCATGGAGACTGTGCGTACACAGCCACCCCATGAATGCTGGCATCACCCGAGACTTCCCCCATTTGCCACGGAGGTCATCAAGTCAAAGGCCCTAGACTTCAGAGCGCTGACCTCCTGGAGAGTATTTCAAAACACTTTCTGAAGAAGTATTAAGACCATGGATGGATGGCTCCCAGTCTGTTTCTGGGCACAACTCAAGGTGCTGGTGACGACTTATAGACAGGCTATCTGAAAGACTGTATTCTTGATCCCAAACCCTCACAGGCATGCTTGGTGGGAACACAGGAGAGGACCTTCTCTGTGGCTGCCCGAAGGCTACGCTGGTGCTTTCCCTGTCAAGTCTCACCGGCGGTCCAAAACCATTTTACTCCAGAAGGCACTGGGGAAAGGCCTGCATGCCTGAACCGGATTAGATTTACTCTTTACATGGCTTGTACTGTTTTAATCATCTCTCCTGTCTTACTTACTCTGACTTTTGGTGCTGCAGCTCTGAATTTCACATAAAATAAAGTAAAGGCATTGTCTGAAGTTGGCACAACCGAAGGGTCCTATAAGACAGACAGATAGATGCATCTAAATGTTGCTTGTGAGATGAGCTAAGTACAAGCAGCTAAGTCATGGCAACAGAGACTTCAACAGAAGACATATTCTGAAATACTTATGTATTTATGTGGGAAGGAGATATGTGAAAAGCCAAGAAAGTGAATGAGCATGCAAGCAAAATACAGTTATTATGCAATCCTGTTCAGATGTACTAAGAATTCTGTAGACTCACACCTGGGACATTCTTTAAAACAAGAACTCCATGAGCAACATTTTAAAAGTATGTGCAAATGCACATGAATCTTGCCTCAAACATCTCATTTCTAGGAGTAACATCCTTCTTAAATTGTTACACCGCCAAAGGTCTCAAAATGGGAGGCGGTTTATAACACCGGCACCTTCCTACTAGGATGACTAGAAATTTGCACCCTCCGAAAGAGGACACTTCTTTGGCCAAAGACCACCTCACTATAGTCCCCTTTTGTATATCTTGTCGAGAGCTGCCTTCCACCAGTCCCAAACCCACCCACCATGCTTTTTGCAGGCCTGTCAACTAGGTCACACAATGTCCCCGCAGGTTAGTTAACTATTTGCTGAGCTGCAGCTCGCTTTTAGGTCAGCTACATGCAAGACTGCATCCCGGTTGGATTGTCAAGGACAACACGACCCCCCAAATTCACACACTGTAATAGCCCACACATGGGAGGAACACACATGCTGAGCAAGCCTACCGTCAACTTTCTCAAGTAACTACTATGCTAGTTCAGAACAGCCTGAGGCCAAGATAACTGTAAAGTATAAATGAACAGCCAAAGTCAGGCAGATAAATGATTTGGGAGATATCACTAGAGGCTTTGATGGAGCACAAGTTTCACACACAGTTGATATAAATTAATTCAGCAGTAGATCTTCAAAAGCTTACCCTTTTAATTAACTGGTTTGTGAGGTTCTGTAGTATATTCACAGTGTATGTTTTCATGAGGTGCACAGCTTTAGAAAGACATTGCTTAAACTTTGTCAAATATATAGGATAGTCCCTAAAGTTTGGCTGAAAGAGAAAGACAGTAGTTTAGACAAGAGCTGGTATCCCCTGTAACCAGGCCTGCAGCAAATAAAGTAACAAAATTTATAATCTGTACCAAAAGATCTGCACTTGGAACTTGGCTGACTGTACAATTTTGCATGCTACCCTTTAATGTATATATTTATTTTTGTGACAATATACTGATTGCCTCTGCATGTCCTCAAGCTGCCCATTGCCATGCAGGTGGAAACTTAATAAAATTTTAGTTGGAAGAAAAGACAGGTACTTTAACCCAACCTGTTACAACTAGGCAGGGCCGCTCACCTACCAATGCATCCTACCACCCTTCTCCATCCAACGCAGGTTATGGTGGGCTATTAGCAAAGAGGCTGCTACATGCAGTATTCTTATGTGTTTTATAATTAAGGCTGAGCTTCCCAAGAAACCAAGCCTTGCATCTGGGAGATGCTAACAAGATTTGGCAACCTGAGTGTCAAATCTGTGTGCAGTGCCTAAAGGTGGCATAGCAATGAGGCATCAGGACTCCTGCTCAGAACCTTTCCCACGATGAGGACTTCTGGTCTCTTCTGTCTATCAGCCAAGTTCTATGGCATCACTCTCTCAACTCATTGTCTCTCCTACCCCAAGAGGAGCCAAAGCATATTTTGAAAAGCAAAGCAGGCTGTACAGTTATTTTGTCTGGATATAAGATGTGGATTTCTTTGACAAGAAATAATATGCAAAGTACATGCATCAGTGGATGGATGGATACATGTTTCCAATTGGCATCTCTTTTTAGACATGAACAAGAAAGAAATCAGGAGAAACTCCAGACCATGAGCCAAGACACTGAAGAAAAAAAGATCTCCAGCTTTGATAAGGAAGTAGCAAGAGACAGCAGGGGAACATCGAGACTGCCCTGGAAGGCGTGAATTTGCCATCTTGCTGTCACTAGTCCTCCTCCAGGAAGAAATCAATTGAAATGCAAGACTATGTACTATAGAACATAAATGGACAAAACTGGGCAAGACTTACGTGTGATGAAATATACATAATACAGTCATCAAGTTTAGCCAGCATAGGGATGAAAACATCACTGTTCACAGATAATGTAGGGGAATTCAGTTTCTTGGGAGAGAAAAAACATGTTACAGAAGTATTAGTAAATCACAGCAAATACCTCTCGGTTCAATATAGTTCACTACATAGCTTATCATCTAGTTATTCAGGAATAAAGGAAATCGACTTTAAAACACAGTGCCTGATTATTCTGCTCAGACTACGTCCACATTCTGGAGTCCTGAAGGGGGAAGATGCCACGCTGCAGCGCTCAGTTGCGAATCCCAGCTGTAGCCTTTGCTTGAGAGAGGAACCTCCTTCCCCTCCACACCTATAAAATCAGTAGCCGTTTTTCCTGGGATACAAAGGTTCGCACTAGGCTTACTCTTGGGCATCCCCTTGCCACAACAGAGAGGAAACAGAGAAAGCACCTGTATTTTACCAGATTCTGCTTGTTTCATATTTAACACCAGGAAGCTGGAGGAGACTCAGAGGGGACCTGTTGGTGACATGCAGGTATGTGAGGGGGTGTCACACGGAGGTGGGCAGAGACCTGTTCTCCCCTGCAGAGGAAGGCAGGACGCGCGCCAACGGAGCAAAGCTCAGAGAACCAAGGTTGCATTTAGATGCCAGGAAGCACTTCCTGACAGTCAGGACCCCCAGGGTATGGGATAGGCTTCCACGGGACGTGGTTGAGGCCCCATCGGTGCGGATGTTCGAAGACAGGCTGGACATGCACATGGTGCGCATGTGGTGAGCGGAGCCGGCTGGAGCCGGGGGTTAGACTAGATGGCCCGGGAGGTCCCTCCGGACTTGCTCTGTTTCTAAGTTTCTAAGCTAAGAGTTTGCCAACTCCGTTTGTATGAGAGAGATGGCAAGGGGCAGAGAAACATATTTCAGCAGCAGGCAGCTTTGGGTTTGTTTCACAGCGTGCGCTTGGGAAGGTGGGCCAAGATTTTATTTAAGAGACAGCATGTGCCTCATGGGGATCTGCAACTTGGCTGCCCACGTCCCAGTCCAACACTCTACCCATGACCACTGATTTTGGCTGATATTAATTATTGCAATTTAAAGATAACTTTATTCATATCAGAATAATACTACTTTCAGTTAGTTTACCTATCATTATTAAAGCTTTTGAAAACTTGAATATTTTTACAAGTATTTAAATTATTTGGATGGATAAAAATGATTTTATTTTTCATAATGCCTCACCAATGTCTTCCCTTGAAATGTGCTTGGCTTAACAAAAGCTGCCTTAGAATGTTAGTTATTCATCATTAATGATGACATACAACTCTTTAAAGTGCTTCTGAAAAAACACGATAACTCTTACATGAAAGAAAACTAGGTGTCAACAATACTTACTGTATTTATATTTTCCAATTCATTAAAATATGACAGTTTCTGATGGATATTTTCGGCCAACTCCACAAGCTCTGACTAGTTAAAAAGAAATTAAAAGATTACTAGGAGGCAGCTAAGAACAGGCTCACACATACTGCCGGGTCCTGAGCTGATCTACCGAGAGGACAAATGTAGACGCAACAGTGCAATCCTGTAATCACCAAGCGTTTAATTGCTGGAGTGCTCAAAGTGCCGCTCTGCACGATCATGCCATAATCCTTACCCCAAAAAAATATTATCTCAATATTGCTGACATGGTGGCAGGGATGACAAAGCTGCCTAGTGAGTAAAGGACAGACATGGGATGTGAACCGTGGAGTTCCTAATCCACTGCTCAGCCTCAGCCACCATGTTATACTATCTCTACATAATACCAACCCTCGGCTCAATTGTACATGGCATCAAGTTTCATCACATGGGAGATCAGTATTAAAAGGTCCTTCAAAAAACTCAATCCAATCCAATCCACTGGCAAACAACGATGTATGAAGGGAAACAAACCAACAGCCTAAAAACCTGCTCCTGTTATTTAGAGATCTGAAATATTAATTGAGGCATAAACAGGACTGGGACATCCATAAATACGTAGTTAAGAAATTAAAGTATGTTTTCCAGAGAAGGCTGAAGTTACCTGCTCTTTCAACAGCTGTTCGCAAGCTTCGTGGAGGGTCCCAGTTTTGGTTGAAACAAAGAGATATTGCTTCTGCAGTGACTCCAGATGCTGAAGAGCGCTGTTCACATCGCTCAGGATGCCATCACACTGCTCTTCAAATCCAGACAAATAAGCCCTTGTCTGCCTACAGCAATGAAATGAAACAGTTATACATGTTCTGACCTACATGTTCCGTACTGATTCAGCAAGAACTCTGCGTGGTTATACCTATGTGAATGTACCCAGCATTACAGCTGTATGGTCCCACATTTGTCAACAGTCCATGGAAAGTTCAAGTATTGGGGTGGGTGGGGAGTGTGAGAGCAAAAGGAAAAGGGTGAATGAGATTTATTACTTGAACCAAATAAATTTAGGTAAACTTTACATTCAAACTGAAGATGCATTTAATTTAAACTTACATTTATTTAAAATTTAACTTTAAATTCAAAAACATAATGGAGGCTTTCTCGCCAACCAGGATATACTCTGTTGGTGTCACTGATACATTTCGGGAACACCACAGATAAAATGCCAAACACTCGTATTGATGCTTCAGAGCACAACCAGCTCTGTCAGTCTCCACACTGCTAGTGAAAGGCTCCTAAAGAAGCAGCCAAATAAATACATAAAATACTTTATCAATGCTGGATTCTATACCCTGTCATTCAAAATACAGTTATAGTGGAGGCAAATACCTGTATTTAGCCCCTTCTTCTTGGTCCATTTGGATACGGAGTTGATCAAACCATGAGAAGAACTAGAACAAAGAGGGAAAGAGTTCAGCCACTGCAATGCTCATGCCACATTAAAAAAGAAAATATATCTTAATGCTTCGATGCAACTGTTAACTAGCAGGTACTCTGCACTTTCTCAATGACCGGCCAAAGCAGACTCTTCACTTATCAGACATCCTCACACTACTCATGTTCTCCTCCCCAGTTAAGCTTATGGCTCAACTTCTCCCATTGTTCATAACCTTCAGTTACAATTCTAGATGGGGACAAGGACACAGCCTTCAAGAAAGACAATGCGGAGCAGAAAGGCACAGATCCAGAATTACCAACCAGACTTCTCCCCACCTGGGAGCTGCTGAGGCAAGGACCATCCAAGGAGGAGCATGGCAACCCTGGTGTCCCCCCAGTTCCATGCCTGTGAGCTGGAGATCACTTCCAGCTGCCTGAGCAAAAGGACCCAGACAGCAGGTCCAAGCCCTGCAGACACACCCCCCTAAACATGCACACACTACAACTGGCCTTTCCTATTTCAGAGAAGGAAGGGCTGGCTTAAGAGCACTGGGAATCTGTGTGAAACAGCACACGTTTTCCATCTCACTCATTGTCCCATGGGAAAGACAAGTGCGGATGCGCGCACCGTCGGAGCGCATTTCAAAAGGCGTGCCGAGTGTGTTCAGGCGGCAGCATCCAATGCTTTCCCACCCAGACGGAAGTGCCAGCTGTCTGGCTCTGTTCCTGTCCAAGTGCAGCTGTTCCTGTCTGTACAGGGCTGGCATGCCGGGAAATGTTCTCTGGTGCCCAACGCATTCATCCGTCCTTCAGTCAAAGCTCTCCGAGAAACTTACAGGATAGAACAGTGTTTTACTTAAAGAATACAGCAAAATAAAACAGCTCCTAACATCTGAAAACACTCAGCCGAGGGTTGTTTTTTCCTAACTATCAAGACCCTAGCAAATTTAACCAAGGAGGGAGAATTATAGGGCAGACAATTTGCTGTACCGAAATTTTGCCAGCTCATGAGATGGGAGAGAAGAGGTGGCTTTCCTTTAGTTCCCCAGCATCTTCTTCCTCCCCACAACTTCTTACTCAAATAAGGGGTTAAATGACTATGCTAACTTCAGGATGGCACATTTTCAGAACCCAACAGAGCACACTTGGGAAATAATGCAGCTTAGGATACAACAAATTCAAGGCATCCTCCAGCCTCCTAAATGCCCCACTCGGCCACACCAGGGCCACTCAACTGCCCATGCTGTCCACTTGCCCAGAGGCACTTCTATCCCAGTCTAACCCTCCTCAGACAGGAATCAGGATTGGTCTGCTGGTTAACAGCCCACATTAGTATCTCTTTATATTGCTTCAAAATGATAGGTTTGCATTTCCATATATATACATATATTTACCTGTTGTGCTGTTTCAATTCTCTCATTTTCCATACCCAAAGTAGAAAAACCTTTCAAGAGGATGTTTTCCATGGATTCTGGCACCGCAGCTGTCAGGGTTACAGCTGATGATGGTTGCCCAAGACTGCTGAAATCCTCAATGGGAAGCTGCCCAAGGAAATTTTAAAAAAATGAATGACACACACAAGAACCAGAATGCATCAGGCAAGATCCAAATGCTGCAGACACAACTAACATTCAGGAATAGGGAAGTCTTTTGTGAGCCGCCCCGAGGCTTCGGCGAATGGGGCGGCATAGAAATGTTGTAACCCCCCTCTTCATCGAACATGCAGCTAGGGCATGGCTCGTCACGGGTAAGAAGCATGATCAGAGTGTCCTGTTCGCGTAAGAACAAGAACCCCAACGAATGTGCACGCTACGCAAGGCTGACCACAAAGCAGCCTTTGTTGCTACGCTCTAGCATAACGTCATGCCCTGTACCCTCGCTTGCTTGCTTTAGCATAAAAAAAATGTGCAAATGTAACTCAGTGGGGTTCCCCATTGTCCACTGTCATTCATGCACCTGCATAGCTGTAAAAGAGTATAAAATTAGCTGCATCCGTCTGCCCGGTACCACACTCTCACGAGTGCATGGTCCCTGCCAGCAGGTAAATAAATCTCTCGGTAATTCCAACCAGTCTCTGGTCTCGTCTGTAAAATCGCACCATACAACAAGAAATTTTCTAAATAAATAAATAAAATAAACTCAAAACAAGCACAGAAGAAAATGTTAACTAATTGGCACGATTAAAGAATTAACATTGTAGTAATACAACAGAGTTTGCGGTATTCATATTCTTGAAGTATTCACCACTAGTTAAGTTTATTACCTATTCCTTCCTTTAGTTACCCTTTCCCACAAGCAGGCTCAGTTCTCCAAAAGACAATACGGCCAGTGCCTCTTTCCCTGGCCACATCTTGAAACCCTAAACCTTTTCGAGGTAAGCCATGTATCTGACCATTTGCTATAGACCGCTTCTACACAGAAGCGATGTACACGTCTTCTGTACGTGACGGCTGCTACCCCGTGGGGAGTGGCCCTACCTCCCACGATATACAAGCATGCAAAGAACCGTCAAGAACGAGAGAGCGGAGCGCTGCACCGGAAGCGCGGCCCCCGACACCTCGGCTCCTTGCCCGAGGCGGCAGCTCCCTTTCGGCAGAACGCCTCGCCCGGGGGGAACAGCCCCGCGCTCCCCTCCCGGGCGGCCCGGCCGAGGGCCCGCGCAACGGGGGCCGCGCCCGCCCAGCCTCGCGCCTACCTCGCCGGGGGCGGGCGGGCAGGGCGCCGCCGCGCGCAGCTCCAGCACCGAGTCGCGCTGCCGCTCGCTGAGGGGCGCCAGCGGCCGCAGCGGGCGGTCCCACGAGCCCAGCCGCTCCCAGGGGTCGCGCGGCCCGCCGGCCAGGCCCGCCATCGCCGGGCCGGTGCTCCGCGCCCAGGCAGCGGCCGGATTTCCCCCGCGCGCCGCGCCACTTCCTGCTCCGCCGGAAGTGCGTGGCCGGCGGGGTTCGGGGGCGCGGGCTGGCGAGCAGCGGCAGTGGCTTGCAGAGCGCCCTGGCCGGGCGGCGCAGCGGCCGCGGTCCTCTCCGCCGCCCCATCGTGCCGCTGCTCGGCGCGCCCGCCCGGCCGCCCGCTGCGGGAGGGGCGCCGCTTGCGACTCGCGGGCCTTGGCCGCCTCGCTCGACGGCCGCGTATCTCCCGGAGCGGCGGCGGGGAGCGAGCAGCACAGCCCCCCTCCCCGCGCATCGCGGCCGCCTGCAGGCGGCCACCAGCTTCCTGCCCCCTTCCGCAGAAGGCGGCCGTTTTGCCATTGTCCCCGCCCGGCCCCCCCCCCGGTGTCCTTCAGGACTTTGGCGTAACACGCACTCTTGTTCTTAGCTTACTATTTACTCACCCGTCTTTGTTTACACCGGTAACCAGCTTGAACCCGCCTACTTTCTTCTAGTTCCTTTCTACTGCTCTTTGCATGGTTCTGTCCTCGGGCCCTTTGGCCTTACAGAGGCTTCAGTGGCCTCACCCCAGCTCCTTTACTTTACGCAGCTCCACGTTTTGATCTTTGTGGGTGTATCCTTGTTGCAGATACCACCTTCCTGCTTAGGAACAGTAATTTTCCTTCCCTCACACTGTGTGCCGGGCGTTAGGAGTCCCGCTCGGCCATGGGGGCAGGGGGGTCTCCCTGGGGTGGTAGTTGGGGGGATAAGAGTGAGACAGCAGGAGGAGCTGGTGGTGCAGTAAGCCGCTTTGATTTGCTGTGTGGACAAAGCAGGGTATAAATCTCATGCATGCACAAGCTGTAAACACTGACCCGGCTTTGAAGGATCCCGCTAAGAGAAGCTGCAGCGGCCTTGGGCTGGTCGGCCGTCCCGTTCGGGGCCAGGAGCCCTTTGCAGGGCCTCGGGCCTGAGCCGCTTGTGCACAGCCACCAGCATTGCAGGGGTGGGGTGGATTCATCCATTCATCTGTCACATGTGTATGCCGCCCCATAATCCAATGCTCTCTGGGTGGCTCACAGTGCAATAGAAAATGGAGATAAAATGCAGATTAAAATCAATAACAATAGCGAATAAACAAATAGGATTAGAATAGAATATAAATACAAAAAATACATAGCACAGGAGGAAATAAGCACAACAACCCAGTAAGAGCTGGCAGTAAAGAAGACAGCAGCAAACAAATCCAATCTAAAAACATGCTGAATAAAAATGTCTTGGCTCCAAAAGCTTTGAAGCCAAGGCTGGAGTTTTGCCTTCTTGGCAACATGCCCAAAGTGAAGTGAGCTCCATCTAGTCATTCTTATTTATGTGTTTGTTTAACATTTTTGTATACAGTTGCAATAGCCTCTTGGCTCTCTGGATGGTTTACATAACAAAATCATAAAACAAAGACTACATAAAACAATCAAAACCTCAATGGCAATAAACAATAAAATGATACAAGATCCTCAGCCTAATAATAGGGATGAATGTTAAGGTAGAAAGTTCTTGGTAATTTTATTTATTTATTTATTGAGAGTTTTTGTATGCCGTCCCTTCACTTAATGCATGTTCTACTACCCATCTCTCAGAACTTAAGCCAAGGTCGTCAATGAACTCTGCATGACCCTTTGACAGCTGAAAGTTTCATGTTAGAACACTGGAAGGTCAATAACCGAATGGGCTGAGGATTTGAAGACATTTTCAGATTTTGAACAGTTGATGTTTAGTGTACTGCACAAACGGATGACTGCTAGGATATCTGGTCTGCTTTTTTGAAGTCTGTGTATAATTCTCTCTAATAATAGTACTAAATTCTGCTATGCATAAAATATGTAGGGATGGCACTCATAATGCATTCACTCAAATTTGAGGTTGGAAAGCTGTAATGCTTTATTTTTTAATTTTGTTTTAGGTTTTGGTTTTGAAAGGCACAAAGAACAATGTCAAAGGAGCTAACACAAAATCTTCCTGCTTAATACCTCTGTTGCTGCACTGATTCTGCTGTGCGTTGAGTCAGTGCCAGGTTGGGATGGCCTGATGAAATCCTGTGCCAACCAGACAACTCATCCCAAGCCACGCTGCTCCACGCTGCCCCCTCAGCTGTGCCAGTGGACTTCTTGCAAGAATTGCACTCTGTGCATGCTCTGCTGAAGGAACAATTGAAGCAGGCTAAGTCCACATACAAAGGGGTTGCTGCCGCTTGCTGCCAGCAGGGCATATATTGGCATGTGGGGGTTGGTTCTTGTTGTTTGCTGAGTGTTCACCTTCCCCCTCCCCCTCCAGGAAATTGGCAGAGCACCATACCAGCTGCTTCCCAACTGCAAATCAGCCCGGTGTGGTGTTCAGACCCGTGTGGCTCCCATTGCTGAAAATACACCCAGTATTTTCACTGTTGCCGCTTGTCCCTGCTCCTGGCCAGGCACCCCCTCTGCTCCCGGAGGCAGCTCTGCCCCACATTCTGTTGCAGGGGAGGAAGAGATTGAAGTGCAAACAGTCTGCATCCATGCCCCACCTTACTTAGATGTGTCCATTCCCGGTTCAGTTCCCTCAGAAGCCGGGGTGAAGCAGCCCTTCCCCGGGGAGCCCTCCTAGGAAGGGGGCTGATGTTGGGCATGAGGACAATGGCTGCTGGACGGTCCCCAGGAGAATCGGAAGACAGGGAGGCGGAGAGGCCTGGGGGCGGGGGGTGAGCATGGGGGCCATGCTGGGGCACTGAGAGGAGAGAAGTGGGGCCGCCCTTCTCGAGGCCAGGCTCTCCACGTGGGCAGGCAGTTGCTGGGAAGGACCAAGTGGTACAGCCAGTGGGAGAGGACTCAGAACGGGCGTTTCTCGGACACGGACGAGCCAGGCCTGGCTCTGGATTCCGTGATGCTTCATCAGCAGAGGAGGGCAGCCTGGTTTGTTGACCGGCGTGCAGGCAGGAGTCATGCCTGCTTTCAGAAGGCCCCACCCGAAGGGGCTTGTTCAGAAGGAGAGTTCCTGGAGGGGAATCCTAGATCCACTCTGCACCTGGAAACACTGGTCAATAAAGAACATTTTACAAGAAGGCTCTGTGGCTTTGAATGTGCGAAGGGAGGGACCCAGCTCACGACAGCTGGTGGGAGAGCAAACCCGTCCCTGCAGTGCCTTCCCTGGCACTTGCTAGATCTGGTTCCTGCCTCGCCTCGCCACGTTGCCACCAAACCTCACTGGCTCCACCTGCTGCTGCTCCAGAATCCCGCTGGTTACACTGCAGCACGCACGTACCGGTTGCTTCCTGAGCACAGTCAGAACAAGCCCTAGTTCTGCATTCACACAAACACCACACTTAGAAAGGAAAATTCCTCCATCAGAAAAATATAGAGCAGGCACAAACTTTTAGCCTTGTGTTGCCCAGACGGTAAATATTCCTGTTGCGTCCCAATTTTACTCTATATTTCAGAGAGAGAGAGAGAGAGAGAACTTCTTGCCATTGGATCCAATGGGCTTCTTGGCCCCTTACAACTTTCCTGTTCTGTGTTTTTCTGAAACCATCATCTGGTTCAGATAATGCACTAGGCCCAGCTGGTTAAGGAAATCCCACAGGAAGCTGCAGTGTGCTAGAATGGCTTACAAGCTGTGACCAACCATCCCGTGAGAATCAAATTTGGACAGCACACTGAGCCACCGTGGCTTCATGTCTGCTCTGGCTAAGTAGATAGTACAAACCAGGTCAATGACGACCGTGCTCAGCTTAAATCAGGAATCGAGTGCTTCTCGTCTCTTCCCCTTTGCATGCCCACAGCTTAATCAGGTTCATTAATGTGCAGCTAAATGGCCTAGCCTTGTGTTCAAGCAGAGCTGACGGCCAGCTCGGACTCAAAGGGTGCGTATATTCAGGAAGCTGAACAAATAACACCAAATAATTAAAAATACGAAGCCAGGACATTTCTAGATCCTTGCTTAAAGATTAGGTGAAGTGCTTTGTAAAGGGAACGTGAGATAATTGTAAACGTTTAAAAAACCCACTGTTTTTCTGATTCCGCAACTGACCTTTATTAGGCTCTACATCACAGGAGAGGTGATGTTGCACATGTGAGCTGCCTGGTATTCAGCCTACCCTCTCTCCCTGTGGCCATGCTGGTTTCAGCAACCCTCAGTCTTCTTCTGACTCTTAGGTGGAAGTAAAAGAGTTCAGTTCCTCTTGCAGGACACCCATCTGAGCAATAATCTTACTGATGGCACCTTTGATGGCATTTTGCTGGAACTTCAGTTTGTTGTTCTCCTCTTGAAGCATCTTGTTTCCTCCTTGAATAGTCAGGAGGTCCAGCTTCTGTTCCATAGCCACACGTTTTTCTCTTAGGAGAAAGAGTACAGTTTGGTTCACTTTCTGGAGAGCATCAAGTGCCTCATTATCGTCTAATGGCAATAAAGAGGTTTTGCTTTTTCCGTGCACTTGCACTGCACCGACCTCCTCTTGGCTTTCTTGGGCAGCTTGTGCTGCTTCGGTCAGTGCCGGTCTGTTTTGAGTTTCCTGGACTATCGTCTGGCTGGTGTCCTGGGAGGGGACGTCCTCCTTTGCTAACAACTGAGTGGACGGCTTTTCCTTCTGTGGGGCTGCAGGAGGTTTCTTTTCCTCGGGGAAGACCTTCAAAACCACATTATTTTCCCGAAGGAGCTGGAGGGCTTTGCTCTCTTCTTGGATAACTGGATGGAGTTTGTTTTCTATACCATCCTGGAGTCCACCCATGACTGGAAGAGCCACCAAGGGCTTCTTCTGGTGCTGGAGGACCTGCTGGAGGCTCTCATCATAGATCACCTGGATGCCTTTGTTCTCCATCCTTAAGCACTGCAGGGCTTTGTTCTCTTCCCGAAGAGCCCGGTTTTCCACTCGGAGAGCCTTGTTCTCCTCCCAGAGGGCCTTGTTCTCCTCCCAGAGGGACCAGTCGTTGTACACCTTATTGGAGTGCTTCTTGTGGGATTCCGCAGAGGAAGGGAACGCTGATTGAATGTAGCTTTCGTTCACCCACTTGCCATCTAGGAAGATGAAGGTGTCATCACTGAGCTTGACCTTTGGTGGGATGTAATCCATCTTCCCCGTCCAGTAGCTGCATGTAAGGGAGACTGTGGTGCTGGATTACTGCAGAAAATGAAAAGAGACACACGGAACAATTTTCTCCTGGTAATAAGCAATGCCGAGCTCTGAGATTCATGCTGTTGAAACAATATACCAAGACCCAAAATACATTGCATTAGTCATGAAGACGTTATTTAAAATTACGCAAGAATGCAAAACTGTTCTCAAGTTAATAGGAAGTAGATTCCCACAGGTCTAGTAGGAGGTCTTTAAGCATGAGCAGATTTCCTCTATGAGAATTCCTTTACTTGTCCTCCGACAAGTTAAGCACGATGGGCTTGTAAAGTCGTTCATAGGAGAATTTCAAGAAAAGTGGTAAGTCTACCTGGAACACCTTAACATGGTGAGGGGATCAAGAGTGTCAAAGACTCTGGGAGCCAGACTGCCTTGGTAGGGTGGTCTCCTACCAGGGTCACCCCAGGCTGAATGATGGAAGCAAAGGCACCAGGCTAACCTGCATCCACCTTCTGTGGGAGCAACACGCACATCTGCAGAAGAGAAGGGGTATCTCTGATGGGAACGGAGCAGAGAAACCCCTGAAGGGCAGCTACGGGGCAGCCAGCACAGTTGAAGGCAACGCTGGCAGAGGATCATTCACAGACAACGGCAGCGACACTCAAACTAACGCTGGTTAGCTCCTGAGCGGAAGAAAGCTATGGGAAACGACTTCTGCATCTTCTCTCCTTGAAACCCCTATGATGAAACAATCCCACATTCAGCAAGAGAGAGTGGCAGGAGAAGAGACTCCCAGGTGGGGAGGCATGCGGGGAGCTCCAGGGGAAGAGCAAGGGACCAGTACAAGCAGCCCTGTTGCTCATGACGCAACTAGGCCAAAGCCGAGGGGAGGTCTAGCGGCTGGCATGCACAGAGGGGAAAGGAACGTCCCACGCTGCCTAACACATGCGTAACACCAAGACTCAGCATGACGGAGGTATGAACCAAAGCAAACTGGAAACCGTAAAGCACAAAAAGGAGTGGCGAAACATCTCGGTACTTGGTGTGGGTGACCTGGAGTGGACATTTCCAATCACACAAAGTGTTTTATTCTGCAAATGACAAACTCAGAAGAAATGGAGTGGCTGCAATGCAGAGGCAAGGTGAGCACAGGCAGTGAGAGGCTCCTATGTGAAATCTGACTGAGCAACATCGATCAGAATTAGTGGAAGCCTATAGACATGGCCACCAATCGGTTCTGTGCTCCAACAACAGTTGCTGAAGAAGAAGCAGCAGAAAATTTTTATGCGGAAAGGAATAATGCACCAAAATGTTTATAAGCCACCCAGAGAACCTTTGGGTTACGGGGCAGCATAGACATGGAATGAAATTAATAAAGTTGGTAATCCTAGCTGAGTGGAACACAAAAGTAGACAACACAGCAGTAGACAGGAAATATTTGCAAAATCTTCGAGCATAAGACTGCTAGACTCGGGACTTAAGCAGCTTCTGCAGTGCAATGTGGTGTGCGGTATTTTTCCTCCCTTCCCGGATGGCAAGCAGGTGGAAAATTGTGACTGGGGAAAAATCATCACAGCATATATAACCCCAGACCTAATTTTACTCCACTTCCAGGCTCCTTTAAACTGTCTCATACTTTGCCCCCTTGTAGGTTGTTCGGCGGATTAGGGGGCAAAGCACTTGCTTCCGGTTCTGATTTGCCCTGATCCCTGAATTCCTTTCACAGCAAAGCAGTCAGAGTCCTTAGCATTATAAAACACCGGATTTAGGAAGGCCAACCATTTTCTTTTAGCACCTAATCACCCTCTAGAACACCACAAACTGAGAAGGGGGCTTAATGAGATCACATCTCTTCATAAATGATTTCTTCAAGGTTTGTGCTCCTGGAAGAGTAATGCTCAGTCCTCACCAGGTGGTTTGGGGATTCTACTTTTTAAATTTTTGAACAAGTGTTATTTTGTGTTTGTCAGGCCTTCCCAGAGTATGTTGAAATCACGAGCTTCTCTCTTCCCCCTGTCCTACTCCACCTTGTGTGTAATATTACAGAGCCCCAATTGGAGCTGGCTGCCACTCTATCTTCTCATCTTCAAACTTCACCATGTGGTCTGCAGAAGGAAGGGTTTTGTTCTTGTTTTTCCTTCTTTGGGATAAAACAGGTTGTACAGGCTTGAAGCTAGGTGTGCCAGTTAGCTGAGGTGGATACGAGAGGCTGGGGAGCGATGCCTGAAGTATGGGGATGCACTTGACAGAATCATTATACTTACTTGTCTTCTTTCTGAAAAATGCTTTTCGTGGTTTCCCGGTGCTTTCGGTTTTTGCGCTGGCCTTACACCTGAGACTGCATAATGAAAGGAGGGCTGCTTACTCCTCTTCTTGCTTTGAGCTGGTTTCTAGTCCTGGGGCAGCCTGTCACGGAGCCATGCAACAGAAGGGTGTGTCAGCACCATTGTGACATGGAAGCTGCATCCAAGGACCTGGCCACAGCCCAGCTCAGTTCTGAATGAAGGAGGTAATTTTTCAAATCCATTTTGGCTTCAGTTGGAGTCCCCATCAAGCGTTCCCAAATAATAGTTTCTGAGAATCATTGTAAAATATTGCAGCTACTGGACGTAGGGTGAAATACCAGTTGTAGGCATTGGCTAACTTTGTAACCGGTGGGGATGCATTATTGCTCCTCCTAGTTTTGCCCTTGTAAATGGATCCCTTACACCACCTGTGTGAGCTGATTGTTTCGAGGAACACGAGTGGTATACCATACGCAATACTGGTGCTCTTCATATTCATGTGTCTTTTCAAGTGGCTCTTGCAGGTTCAGACAGCTGTACGACTCGTTACCGCCAGTGTGGAAATGGCAGAGTTAGACTTGGGCCGGAAAGACCCGTGTTTAAGCTTCCATTCAGCCAGTCTCTCTCCCCAGTGTACTTCACAGAACTGTGAATACGGATTGGGTTAGCCCGCACGTGTGCTGCTGTTAGTTCCTTAGAGGAAGGGATGCAACAGAAACGGGGTAAGGACGGTCATTCCTGGGCCAGGCAAGTTTTTTGTACTGCCAAGCCCTTGGACCACACCATGGAGAGAACGCGGACTCTGACTAGCAAGAAGCAAGCAAAACGGCGCTCACACGCACGTTGCCTTAGATCTTGCCGCTTCTGGGCATGAAGGGCAAGACCGCAGAGGTGCTGTGTGGCCTGCACGCCCGGGCACTCCCTGTTCCATGCAGAAAACAGTTTCAACCTAGCTATGTTAACATGTCCCTAAAATTAGCCCCTGTTCCAGTGAACTGGACAATGGCCAATGTAGCGCCAATTAAAAAAAGAAAAAGGATCCAGGAGAGATCTGAGGAATTACAGTCGACTGCAGCTGCCTGCTAGACATGCATAGCATTGCCAGTGTGGCCCCAGCCCAGTGCATAGCTGTAAGGGACCAGGCTCGGGCTGCAGTCGAGATTTTAAAGCTGTGATTCTGTTCCTTTGGGCTTCTCCTCTTTAATGCATGTTAGCAGGGGGTCTCTACCAGTGTTTCATTCCAAAATAAGGCTAGGCCAGAGTTCAAGCCTGTTTGGGAACATTTTGCACATGCCTGAAGGGATGTTTCTATCAGGTGGGATTCCAGTATAGAGGAGAACGATCTTAGCTAATAATACAGGAACTTTTAGATCTATCGTGAATTTCTGAAACTGATGACTCAAGTATCAACTCAAACTGAACACTGTGGAAGTTTAATGGCAGCAGGGATGGCCATTTCTTTCCACTGGTGATTGAAAGGCTGCAGTGATGATAAACTGCCCTCCCTCCCTTTCAGAGTTCAGTCTACTTTAGGCATTGAAAATATGTCGAATGGACCGAATTCGTCGGAGTCCCCAGCAGAGGAGGGTAAAGTCCAGTCCCAGTTGGAAATAATGCCTTCTGGATGCCAGCTGCTGGAGCTCAAACCTTCCAGCTTGCGTCTCACTGTAGAAAATGTTAAAAAACTGGAAGAGGAATATCCTGTTGCTGGATCTGTTCTCACCAGACTGTCAGTCGAAGCCTTTGTAAAGCAGAGCAATCAGTTTTTAAACAGGAGTGAAACTAGTACTGATGGAAGCAAGAAGCAGAATCTGTCCGAGGAAAAAGATTCAGAGACAGCTTCCATGGTTCCTCACAAAGAAGATAGCTCTGAAGATTGCCCAAAAAAGGTTGAAGCCGTTTCAGAAAAAGGTAGCTGCAGATTGTTTCCCTGATTTATAGTTTGACGTGGTTTTCTTGAAGTATTTTATAGCCTGGGTGGCAGAATATATTATATGCAGAATATCTGTGACTGAATTTCTGAACATCATTTTTAGCTTCTGATATTTTTATTTTAAAATTGCTAATATGACAGGGGGAAGGAAAACAGCAACAATAAAACCAATAAATTTATGCTAAGTGTTCACGACATCATTTTAAAAAGTTTGGTTTGTCTATTTCACATGTACACAATAAGCATAAACAGTAGATACACACCGTTCCTGACACAGGAGAAGAAAGGGACGTTCAGATAGGCAGTTTCTAAGCAAGTCCAAAGTGAACTGATTGAGGATTTGCTTCCTAAAGATATGTGCCTTCTTTTTGCCCAAGTCTTTGCAAGTTTTAAACAATACAAACCCCGCAAAACCTGCTTTGTGGGATGAGTATGTGTAATAGGAAGTGTGTTCCCTATTTGCCATTTTCAGAGCATGTGGATTTACCCTTTTCAAAGTCTGGACCAAAGCACTGATATAGACATTAAAGATTAAACTTGGGGGCCAAAAGGCATTATTATTATTATTATAACATTTCTGGCTGCATCCAACCTTTGAAGCTACTAACCTTGAGAGGAGGCCGATTTTCTTCTGCAGAATCAGCGAATTGCTGTTTCTTAGCTGTGAGTCCTCATCAGTAAAGAGGGACAAGATCTCTCTTTGCTGGGTTTTACTGGGAAAATTAAAGAAAGATGTGGGGACCTGGAGAAGAAGCTATGGAATGATGGGCTACAGAAATGCATTGAGAATATATCTGCTATCAATAAAGCCAGTGAAATGGCAAAAGAAAAAAAATCATCTACTTATTTTCTTCTATTGTTTTGTTCCCTTCCTTCAGATCACCAGACAAGATCTTCTGTACTTGAGACTGCATCTTTGAAGTAAGGGGACTATCATTTACCTTCAGTAACGTTCTTTTCTGCAGCACATTTAGATCAGTGATTGAACTATGTCCAGGTAACCCATTAAGCCAGTTATTAAACTGTTATAGTCTCAGAGCTGTGCTAGATTTCTGAGCAAGGGTCAGGCAAGGTAATGAAACTCTGGGCTATCTTGCTCAGAATGTAAGCGCGAGTCTTCCTCCCAGCACAGGGCTGTCTCCCAACAGTTGCTCCATGGGAAGAGTCTGAGAAAATGTTCTATGTTGGTAATGCTTGTTGTGGTTTTAAAAATGAAATTTGATGTTACTTTGTAAGGTGCCCTGGAAGAGCTTATATGTGGAAAGATGGGATAAGAATACTTGGAATATATAAATAGTCCCCCTGAGACAGCAGCATTTATGTGGAACATCTCCCCCCCCCCCCACAACCCCAGGAAGTCTCCTCTGAAAATTTCTTTTCCCTTTGACAGAAAACACGAAGTTGCTGATTTGGAGACTCAGACAGAATGGAGTTATTCTGATATGTCATCCACAGATTCAAGTGAGCAAAGCACACGCATAAGGCAATTGTGCTGGACTTAATCAAATCACAGGGCCCCAGAAGAGCAGAGTTGGAAGGAACCACAAAGGCTGCCGAGTCCAGCCCCCTGCTGTTGCAGGACACCATGTCACACCATCCCACTCGGGTGGCTGTCCTGAAAGAAATAGTTCTGCCTGCAGAAGAGTATGCTATTTAAAAAGATACAGCCCTGTGTTTGCATTGAAAAATGGTGTGACTGGTATTGGTGTTGTTTGTTTGCATTTAAATAGTTGTTTTACACGCCTGCTTTCTTTGCGTTAAGCTGCTTTACCCTGGACTACTGCAAGATGATAGGCCTTGCATAGTAATAAGGAGAAATGTGAAAACAGGATAGAAAGATATTCCATAAAATCTGTACTATCAATATTTGGGATAAGAGTTAGGTAATGTTTGGTAATGTTTCCAATATTCCTCATATAGGAGGAAAGAAAATGGACCACAGAAGTATGGATAGAAAGCAGAAACATGACCGTGCAGAAACTGAGGGTGAGTTCTAGAATAGCAATGTTTGCTGAACATTATTTGGTAAGCACAACTAAATACTCTCCTGTCAGGATTTATTGATCTTTAGAAACAATCCTTTGGATGAACAATGAACTCTAATGAGTAAAGGTACTTCAGTGAAATCTCAGATACAGGAATGCCAGAGCCATTCCTTGTCCCAATTCAAATGGATCCTTCTAGAATGGAGTCTTACGTTTGCCATCGGATAGTTGCGGCAGTCAAGAGAGGCGTATGTGTGTGTGGATGCACGGCCCACCCCAGATGAATGGGGCTGCATTAGTTTCTCCCAAGATGGAGCCGTCCAAGGCTGTTGCCTCAGGATGTGAACCAGGACTGGACAGGGCGGCAGGGCTGGAACTGTTAGCCCGAAAGCCATGCCCGGCAGGCCAGCTCATGTGGGCTGTCCCTCCTGTCGCCCCTTGCGCCTGAAGAGCGATTTTCCCCATAAGGCCTGGGACGCTGGATGACTTGGACTGCCGCAAGCACCCCGGAAGCAAAGACTGCTCTCGGTTGCACGCAAGTCAGCCTTTGCACGTAACGGGTGCGAGGGTGATGATGCGGGGGGCAGGGTCGGTGCACTCCCCTCCCCTCCCCTCTCTAAACAACAGAGACCCGGAACGCCCGGATAGAATAGTTCCCCAAAGTGCTGTCCCGATACTTCCTGCTCAGAGCTGCCTGATGGCAGAGGTAGCCCTGCCCTGCCTGTGCGTGCTCTGCACCTGATTCCTGGCTCTATGCATAAGCAAATGCATTCGGATGAGTGTGCCTCAGGTAGGTGTTCAAGGACTGAGGTGCTGTTTTCACAGAGAAATCCCACCGCAGAGGAGACGGAAGAGAAGAGGAGCTGGCCAGTAGAGGTACGTCAAATCAGGGGAAGAAGTTGCTGGGTGTCCCATTTGTGTACTGTTCCACAACCGCCTGTGCAGGGCCAGGTGTGAAGGCCCCCTTCCAGGTAACAGTAACAATGGGGCAGACCCCTGCCAGCACCTCTCTGTCACGGGGCACCACACTGGAATTAACACCTCAGTATTCCCAGTGGTTGCTTGTATAGCCTGTTTTGACAACCTGCAAAGCCCAGAGTTTTAGTAGCTCCTGCTGCCCTTTAGCCTACCTTTCGCATTATGATCTGAGTTCGCAAGTCCGCGTCACCACATGCTCGCCGCAGCCGAGGCTTCCAAAGGACGCTGCAGCTTATTTGCAAACTCTGCCACTCCGCAAGTGGCATTCGGTGCTGTGCAAAAGTTCTTGCCGAGGAGCACCTTACAGAACGTTCTTCGGGGCCACGTAGAACCAGGAGCAAAGCGCACGCAGGCACGTTTCGCTATGTGGGCACACACGCGGAGCCCAGCGCGCACACGCCTTCCGACGGCTTGTGCACCTCCAGGGTTCTAGATCTGTGGTTTTCAGCCTTTCCGCAGCTGTGGACCAGCAAAAGCAGGGAAACCACCTCAAGGACCAAAAAGCGTCGTACACGTAACACAGTATTCTGTGTATTGATTTCCAAAGACAATACCCAAAAAATGAAAAATTTCCAAAACGACCAGAAACCCAGCAACAAAAAATGCCAACGAAAGAGCAAAAACCCGAAATCGGTGCCGCGTGGCTCCCATTCGGCTCCCACCCAGCTGTCTCTCCCCTGCCCGGCCCCACCTTGGCCACCGGCACGCCTCCTGCAAACGCCACGCCAGCCAAGGAACAGGTGGGGGAGCATAGCCAGCCCCGTGCCAGTCTGCAGTGAGCGGGGTGCACCCCCCCCCGCCATGGACTGGCAGGAGAGCCCCTGCAGCTGGTGCTGCTCCGCGGACGGGGGGTTGAAACCCCCGTCCTAGAAGCCCCGGGAGACGGGCAGCATCGCAGCCACAGCAAGAGCACTGGGAGCGCAGGGCGGGAACCGGCACGTGGCCCAGCGGTGCCCAGGAGGGCGGCGCTGTGAGTGCTGGACCTGCAGTGCGGTGCTGGCCCACAGCTCTGCTGGGAAGGAGGGCCTCGTTGCCAAGGCTGCTCGCGAGGAGCCCTCCGTGGGCACGGCACTCTTTGCAAAGGGGCCCCGGTGACTGGCAGGAACCTTGGCCTGCCCCTGAGGCAGTGCTCCCTCCCGCAGCAGGGCTGGCCTCGCAGTGAACCCCCGAAGGTCTAGGCAACCCAGGTTCCCCGGCACCAGCTCCTCTTAGAGGGCTCCTCCGCTGGGGGTGGGACAGAGCAGCAATTCGGGAACCTGCGTTTCTTTGACGTCTCCCTTTTCTGCTCCAAACCAACATCTATTCCAGTCTAAATATGGAAACTTCTACATTAGTCTTCTGAGATGGCGTCTTTCTGGTTGTGTCTCGTGATTTTTGGCACAGCTGAGAAGGGCTTGGGGAGGTGTAAGACTGGATTATCTCGAAGGGATGCTGCACGGGTGATGCCTATCCCTCGGGTTTGCAACCAGTGTCTGTTACATTTTGGACAAAGTAGAAAAAAAGATGAAACAGAGTAAAGGGTTGCTCTGCTTTCAGCTCTGTTTTTCCTGCTGAAAGACTTCCAATGCATTTGTCGTGATATTTCAAATTAGGCTTTCTTCCAGTTGAAGAGGAACTTGTAGAGATGACGACCCTGTTCCAAGCTGAGGTGAGGCTAAAAGGTTGGAAGGGGAGGCCTGGAAGGGATCCCGGGAGCTGTGCAAGGAAATTCTACTGAATTAAGTGTAGCCTTCCCTTTCTGAAATGGATAATTTGTTGGTAGCTCTTTCGTCCAGCAATTTAAACAAAGGATGCGACTCCTTTTCTCCATAGAAGACACTTCCATGTAGGAATTAAATGAAACCCACATTATGTTCATCATGCAATGTGGCAAAATGCATGTTGATACCGTTATCACATGGCAGCATCTAGTCAAAATACTGGGGTGCCGCGAGCGGGTGACAGGAACTAAGGATCACCTTGAAGACCTGGAAGCTTAAGGAGCGGAAGAAATTCCTACTCCTCCACAGAAAATGTCTGTTAGCTTTTAAAGCATTTTTTCCAGAGATACAAACATGGATTTCCCATGAAATGAAAACAAAACTTTTCAGCAATCCCTGAAAAGACAGTCTCCTTATAATGGATTAGCCAATAAAAATGTGATTTTTCCAAAAGTATATGAGAAGGTTATTTGACTGTGAGGCTTAACTGCAACCAGCTGCATTTGAAATTTGTCTGTGTGTGTTTGCTTTAACCATTTGTCTTGCTTGTTTGCCTGCTTCTCCCCCTTCGAGGACCACTCCATCACAGATCTGTGCCACCTTGGTTGCTGTGAGTTTTGCAGCAGTCACCTTATGCCTATACCAACAGCAGAGGAACTGAATGAGAAACCAGAAGCAGTAGAAAATGTGCGTAGAACCTCATGATGGGCAATTCGCTGTTCTGACCAATGTCTGAGTCTCAGAATTAGCGTTCCCAGTTGGACAAAGTGTGCTTTAAAATAGCACCAAGGCGCTGGGGTTTACCTGGTTAAGATCTATGTGAGACTCTAAAGAACTGGACTGGCAGAAAATGGAAGCAGGGGAACACTGACCCCAAACATACCCTTTCGGTTTTGCAGTGGAGGCTGTGAGTGCGGTGAGATGGGGGCGGAGGGAACTATAATTAGAAACATGGAAACAGAGCATGACAGAAGGGGCCTCCCGGGCCATCTGGTCTGACCCCCGGCTCCAGCCGGCTCCGCTCACGACATGCCCACCATGTGCGTGTCCAGCCTATCCTTGAACACCCACACCGATGGGGCCTCAACCGCCTCCCATGGAAGCCCATTCCACACCCTCGGGGTCCTAACCATCAGGAAGCACTTCCTGGCATCTAACAGCATCTAATTAACAGCATCTAATCCATCCTGTATCACCCCGCTTTGCTCACAGTAATTACAGGGCAACACAGTTATAGAAATATAAAATTAAGACTTTGCACTGTAACGGCTTGCAACACCAAATCAAAGTTCTGTGTGTCTATGCAAAAATGCAGAGCTATAACCTAAATGGTACTGTATCTGCATCAAGAGCACTGGACTGGGATTCAGGTGTTCTGGGTTTGAGTCCCTGTTCAGCCATGGACCTCCCTGGGTAAGTTTGGGCCAGTCGCAGACTCTCAGCCCAGCCTGTCTCACAGGGTTGTTGTTGTTGTTATGAGGAGAAGATCAAGAAGACAAGAATTATGTAAAGCCACCTTGAGTTCCTTGGAAAGAAAAAGGGTGGGATATAAATATAAGAAATAAAAACCAATCCATAAAATGGCCCTTTAAGGTTCCTTTGTTTTTGTGTTTAGTTTTTAGCTCAAATAACTATGCACAAATGCAAAGAAGTAAAATAATAGAGGCATTTTAATTAAGAGAGGGTGGATTGACAGCTCCTCTTGCCCCTTCACAAAGGAATCTGGCTCCTGGCCTCTCAACCTTCCTGGGGTGAGCCCGGCTGACACCCCCCGCCCCCCTGGTGTGCCTCTGCTCAAAAGCAAATAGGCACAACACACACCTCCTTTGTGGACTTTCCAGAGAGTCTGCACCACTGAAGACTGTGTGACCTACTTGTGAGTAAGGCCACTGAGCATCATCTGATTTAGAGGAACTTGAAAGGCTGTCACAGTGAGGAGAACCAGGAGCAATTCTTGATTACTGCAGAGTGCAAGACATGGAATAACGGGCTGAAATTACGGGAAGCCAGACTCTGGCCGGATATCAGAACACCACTCCTGGCTGTCAGAGCAGAGGGGTGATGGAGCCCGTGCCCGAGGCAGGTGGGGGGCTCTCCCACACGGGGGCATCCAAGGGGCACTGGGACAGCCGCTTGGCAGGGACTTGTGCTCCCGCGAGATGGCCTGACCAGCCCTCCCGACTCCACTCTTCTAAACTGTTGTGCTTTTCCCAGAGGTTATTTTATACTGAAAGACAAATTCCCATCTCAGAGTAGCGCTCCTCTGAGGATTGTGCCTTTTGTAGTTTCTCTGTTGCAGAACATACAAAGAGGTCTTTGAGTGTGTGGTCCAGGAGCTCCTGGAAAGCAATGCCCCTGAAAGCGAAATCGACATCAGTCCTCACCCACGCCTTTCGCAGGCGCTGATGGAGAGCAAGACTAAGAAGCTGATAAAGGACGAGTGAGCGACCTTGGGGTGGATCCCTCCGGAGGGAGGGAGGCCCCTCAGCTGCCGTGCCGAGCACTTCCTGAGCATAGAGTAACTGCTGCCTCCAAGGCCACCCGTGGCAAAAGTGCCTGCCACTGAGAGGAGCCCAAAGAGGCAGAACCCTCCTTAATCTTTAAAGCCTTCCCAGGCATGGATTTGAGCCCCCTGCCCCCACTCTCTCCCTTTCAATGTGCCCTCGTTCAGACAAGGCAATGAAGCCACCCAGAGACTTTTAGTATCGGGACGGCGTATAAAAGCTTTAAATAGATACATCACTCCATTTTGGCTGAGCACTTGGAACTTTTGAAAAACCTAATGCATATTGGCGTTGTATTTTAATTTTACTATGTTTTATGGTTTGTTTGTTGTTATTTATTTTTCCCTGAGTTTTAAATATATTTATATTGCACTGTGAGCCACCCAGAGAGACTTTGGCTATGGGGCGGCATACAAATGGAAAAAAGAAAGAAAGAAATGTAGTGCCACATATGCCTATGTGTGGCTGAGCAGAGAGCAGAGGTGTTTGCCACAAACAACACAATCTGCTTTCTCAACAGCCACACCAGGGCTGCTGCACCGGGGAGGTGACCCAGCTCCTCAGCACTGAGTCCCCTGGCCCAGCTTGGAGTCAAGGGATCTGTGTGGTCCTTCCAGTTGAGGAAAGAGGAGGTGGATCAGGCCCCTGGAGAAAGGGGCCCTCATGAATTGGCGAGCACTTTGCATTCAGACTGGGAGGATGCCCAGACTTCCCATTCTGAACTGGAGCTTCTGCAACACTTTGAGAGGAGATCCAGAGTCAGTCCACTTTGATTTGGGACTGCGCCTGGGCCCAGGTTCTGAAATCCTGTGCGTCATGCTTTCCCCCTGCCTATCGTGGGAAAGCCAAACGCGGCTATTGCTTTCCCCCTCTTGTGCAGAACTGCACGATATTTGCAGGCACAATGGCTCTGGGGGGCAGCTCCACCCCCCACGCGCCAGGGAAAGCACTGTGAAGGTTTTACCTATCTCTGTGGTTTGCTTTAAAAGAAAAATGGGTGGGGTGTCAGTAACTTTTGCTTAATGATGATTGCAGGGCTGGTGGCCCCTCCAGGGGGACCAACCCAAATTTCAGAACAATAGTTGCAGACAGGCAGTGGTGTGCAAAAGGATTTGGTGGTGCGATTTATTTAACTTTCCCTTTTTATTTTTGGTTTTTTTTGGGGGGGCAGTACATATTAGAAAGGTGCACATCGAAGAGGGGCCCCATAAAAGAAATCTGCAAATATGGGTGCAGGTGCTGAGGACTTAGGATGTCTGAAAACCAGCTTTAGGCTTTCTTCATAGCAAAGCTTGGTGTTGTTAGAAGAATAGCCATCTCGTCCCTCCTGGAAAGCAAAGTTTCGAAGCCCCTGGCAGAATGTGCCCTAGGAACAGAAGTGGGGCTCCCTCCCACTCCCACATTCAGAAAAACAAAGGAAAATCATGCTATTTGGGTGCATGAAGCCCAGCTCATCTCGGCAAAGCTTTGGGTTTCCCAGGAAAGTGCACGTATACTCAGGAGCCCAGAGAATGGAGTGAAGTTGCCTCCTCCTGCTCACGGCATGGGCTTTGCTGAATCCAGTCTACTCCCCTGTTCTGATCCAGACATGTGGAATGAAATGTTTGTCACTATAAATTATTTTCAAATATATTTCCCCAGGCTAGAGGAGCGAGGCTTTGAGAGCTACAGAGAAATACTTAAGCAGTTTATGAGGTTTGGCCAATGTGAGTACAAAGCTTGTGTTGGTTTCAGAATCAAGAGCATCCAATTCCCCTTCTACCTCCTTCCAAAATTCCAAAAACGTTTCCTGTCACATTGTTCCTACTTGCATCTAGCAAAGCAGACAGCCCCGGAGGACACTTGGTTGTTATATTTTCCCTGCTGAAATTCCCACCCAGTATGTCCCAACTTCACACTTCAGACAAAGATGACTCATCTTTCCCCCAAAACCAACAGGAAAGATGAGGGCTGGAGCCAAGGGTGCTATGGTACTGCCATCCATTTATCTTGTGGTAATGATGCATTCTATACATCCCTTCCCAGAAGCGTCATCGACGTTACAGGCTTACACTCCAAATGTGCCAATAATCTCCTCTCACAACCCTTTTAGGTACCACAATTAAATTCCGATTATCGGACCATCCGCCAAAGCCTCAAACAGCTGCTAAGAAGCGTCCTCCACAGCCCAAAGAACTACTGAAGATAGATGTGGAATTCAAAGCAGAGCAATTAAAGGTGAATAGATACCCTAATTTATTGTGACGACTCGCACATACTGCGGTGCCCTCTACGAACGTAGGAAAAGCCATGCTGTAATAGGACGGTGGTCCATCTAGTCTAGCCCTCTGTTCTCACAATGGCAAACCAGCTCAAGCACTGGGAGGGGGGAGCACAAGAGATGCACCCTCCCATGGGGCTCAGCAACTGGCCGGCAGCCATTGACCTCCTTCTCCTCCATGAATTTGCCCAATCCCCTCAGATTGGTGGCCATCGCTATTTCCTGTGGCAGCGAAGTCCACCGTTTCCCTACACGCTGTGTTCAGCTGTACTTCCTCTGATCTAGCTTGAATCTCTCACCAGGCAGCCTCATGGGATCACCCCAGGTTCTTGCATTAAATGCCTCCCTTTCCACTCTCTGCACCCCATGCACAATTTTAAGCACCCCTGTCAAGTCACTATTTTCCTAAGCGAAACAATGAGGCTGTTGTAACTGTTCCTCACAATGGAGTTGCTCCAGCTCTGGTCGTTTTAGTTGCCCTTCTCAGCACCTTTCCCAACTCAGTAAGGATCCTTGTCAGGTTCAGGGACCAGAACGCTATGCCTGGAGTTTTTCCTCTTCAGAGCACATTGGGACAACGTTTCCACCACGACCCCAAAATCGGGTTTTGATCAGCACTGCTCCCTCGGCTCCCATCAGATCCCATCAGCCTATACCTGAAGTGGGGTTTTTTGGCCCCAGCATGCGTTACTTTACCCTTGCTTACACTGGACTGCATTGCCATTTGAGGCTCATTCTCCCAGCTTGGAGAGACCCCTCTGGCGCTCCCCACAATCCATTTTGATTTTAGTTGAGTGTTATCAACAAACTTGGCCACTTCACTGCTTAGTTCCAATTCCAGGCTATTTATGGTCAAAAAGCATCAGTCCTAATGCAGAACGCCGGGGGGACCCCACTGCTTCCATCCGTCCATTGGGAACAATGTTTTTCCCATGTTCTGCTTCTGTTCTTCGACCAGTTCCTTAACTGATCCACAGGACAACCCCCTTCCCCACCTTTTCACGAGCGCTAAATTTGCTCGGGAGCCTTGGGGAGGGACTTCGTCAAAAGTCTTTCGGACGTCCAGTGAACAATGACCACATGAGTCGCCCTGTCCACATGCTTATTGATACTCCCAAGTAACTCTAATAGTGAGGCAGGACTTACCTTTGCAGGAGAAGTGTTGATCCTTTCCCAGCTGAGCTTTCCCTCTCTGTGCCGACTGATTCTGCCTTTAGTCCTGCTTTCGAGGAATTTACCCGGAACAGACAGTAAGGCTGTGATTAAGACATTAAAGCTTGTAATTCCCTCACTTGCTCTGGATCCCTTTGTAAAGATTGCTGTTGCTTTGGCCTTTCTCCTGTCCTCTGGTAGAGAGGCTTAATCCTAGGGACACATTATGTTTATCTTTAAGCAAGTCAGCAATTTCTTTAATTTCAACTTTTTAAGAACTCCAGGATGGATTTCATCTTGGTCTAGCCATTTATCAACTTTCAGGTTTGTCAATAGGATTGAGAATTTCATCTTTTGTCACGTTTTTGTCTATCATCATTGTCTTCCTTAATTCCTTAGACTCCTTGAATACATGAGTTCAGGAATAGGTGTCTTCTGTTTCCCTGGCTGTGAAGACAGATTAAAAGAATTCGTCCTGCTTCTCCACAATCTCCTTATCCCCCTTTAGGGCTCCTTTAATTCCATTATCATCCAATGGCCTAAGTGTCCCTCTGGCTGGTTTCTTTGTTCTGATATATTAAAGTATTCTTAATTTTTGGCCTTGATGTTGGCCAATTCATCTGCAGAACTATTTATTAAACTAATAATTAGAACCAATTATTAAACATTCATAAACAGACACATCCTCTGATTTTCATGCTGATATCCATGATTTATTTCCTCCAATATATTCTAGTATTTGTGCAGCATTCCAGAAGGAGTGTAAACTGGCTTGCTCTTATTTTTCATATTTTATTTTGCTTTTCCCTCAGATTTGCCATCCTGAGAAGTTTGTGAAAAGATACTATCCTGATGGAAAGATATTCTTTCTTCTGTTTCCAGATGGAACAGGCCAAATTTAATATCCAGCAGTAACTAGACTTTTAGAGGGATGATGCAGGATTTGAGATGGAAAGACATTTCATCCTGGGACTGTTCTGGGGAAGTATGGGAAACCGTAAGAGGGTTTCGGAGGAAGGGATTAGAGGAAATACAATTATCTTGGGAAAAGGATAGAAGGACATAAAAATAAAATAAAAGGGAACTCTAAGGCTAAGGGGTCTTGCATGGATGTGAAGGTTTCTTTCCTTAGCGCTTAATTTAGCTACCCATCAGGTAATATTGCTGTCCTCATTACCTACCTAAAGGACGTTCAGTACACCTACATACTTCTCAGCGACAGCCCTTCTCATGCAGTTCAGGCTTTCTTCTCCAATCAAGGCTTTGCAGCGTGTTATTATCAAAATGGAAAACTCAGGTAGGTAGGGAGACAGCCTTCAATCGGTCCTTTCAAGTGGCACAGGTGTTTTGTAGCTTCTTTCTAAAGCTTGGATAATTGATTTTGTGAACTGCCCAGAGGCCCATGTAGGTTAATAGAAAATGAAGGCAGGCAGGCAGGCAGGCAGGCAGTGGATTCTGCACAAGGCTTGGCAGTATCTGCAGATTTCCCAACTTTAAATTGTCCAAAATCATTTCAGTACACAGTGGAATGAAGTGTTCTGAACGTTCGGTTTCCATAGGTACCAACTCCTTCACCTGAATGTGGCCCGGACAGATGGCAGCAGCGTGCCTGAGGCCTTCTCTGCCCCAGGGACTGTCCTGCACACACAGCCCAGGATGCGGGAGGACTTGCAACCGCACCGAGTCAGTTGTGCAAGCAGCCTCCAGACTCCAGCAAAGCCATCGAGCACTTCCAGGGCAACCTGAAGCAAGCAGAGATGCTGCTTCCTGGGGGAGGCAGAGCAGCAGGTGTCCCAGAGCGGAGCTCTGCCAACCTGGCTCTTCCAGGTGTCTCTGCTAGAGTTGGGGGTTCCTCTAGGAAGCGATAAATCCCCCTGGAGTCAGTGGTGGGTTCCACCTGTGGGGTGGAATTCCCATTTGCAGCAGGGAATCCGTGGCGTGGAAAGGGCTTTCCCCAAGAGCTCAATGAAAATAATGCCAAACAAGCATTCCTTGGTACTCACGATCAGCCATTCTGCCATGCCAGCTTTTAATCCCAGAGACTTTTCAGTCTTGACATGATCACTAAAACATGCAGCGCTGGGAGTCTGGGCTGAGGTGAAGCGGCTCCATCTGAGTGCAGCTGCTGACGCCGGCCAGCGCCAAAAGGGCCCGCATGTTCCTCAGGCCATTGGCGTCGAGGCAAGGTGGACTGGACGTGACAGACGTGTGCTGTGCGTTGCTCTGCCCGCTAGCCAAGGAGCTCTGCGTGGCAGTGAAGAGCCCCCGCTCCCGCTTCGCCCTCGTAAGACGGTGAGGTTACGCAGAGGGGCAAGCGGCTGGTCCAGGCACATCCAGGCACGTCCATCTGGCAGCGACGGGATTCACACGACGCCGTGCACCCCCGGCTTGCGTGCCTTTTGCCTGAACCACGTGTCATGGGTTGATAACTATCCTGGCTGGATTCAGACAACCTGAAAAACTATCCCAGCTTATCATGCTGTGTAGTCCCAGTCAGTGACTGCATTCACAAGACACTCTAAGCCCTACTGGGAGAATATTTGGGATGCTGTTGGAATGTTGCTGAGCATATTGCTCCCCATTAACAATAATGCACATATTAATATGCATATTGCAATACTGAATGCAAATATTAATACTTCCCTCTAGCCAAAAGCCGTTTCTTTCTGTTCTTTTACCTCTCATTGGATTCCTCTGTCAAATAATGGACTCCTTGTTACAATCTGCCCAGTAATAGACTCCAGAGACGTTAAAATCATGACTTATATCTGCACAGATTCATGCATGAAAGTAAGTGAAGCTGCAATAAACCCCCACAATGAGGGGCCGATGTGTTTTGAGGTGCTCGTGGCTGGGAATTTTACTGCTGTATCTGTTCTCCCTTTACCAAAAATCACAGAATGTAAGTGTTTTAATTTGTTTGCTCTCAACAGGGTTAATCTGGATCTTTGCCTTGGTTCCTACTTTGATCCAAAAGGAGTAAGACTGAAACACTGGAACTGGTGGGACACCGATTGCCATGTTCATGCACCACCTTTCCAGCCCATCTGCATTCAGCTGAATGTTTGCATTCAGGTTAAAATTGAAGCCCAGGATCAGATTTTCCTAACTTTCACTAAGCTTCATGACTGCCTCCAACTGAACGTTGGTGCAAGACTCAAAGTAAGTGCCTGAGGCCCCCCCGGTACAGACGGGAAATCTCAGATGCACTCTTGCGGTGGAAGGATGTGGTTCACTTTGGCTAAATCAAAATGGAAAGCTGAAGAATGAGTATGGATAGCTCATGATCGGCTGTGTATGACTATAGTATTTTACTCCTTTAAATAATAGATATTTATGGAAGGGATCCCTCATCCCATGAGAGGGAATTCAACACTCCCAAAAAAGAACATCTGGTATATACTTTGAGCAAAATCATGTGATTTGTTTTCACTTCTTTGTATATTTTTTGTACTTCATTGTCAACAATCGTAGTTTTCATGTTTCTCTGTGTAAAACCTCTGCAGGTAAACGGGACTTCATCCTGCATAAAAACTGACCATGACTTGTGTCGTGCAAACCTGTAGGCCATGTTAGTATCATGGTGCATTTAATAGAAGCCTTTTCCATGCATCTTTCCAGTAAAATGGTTCAAAATGTTGCCACGTGGCATTGCAAAGGTGCTGCCGCTGCTGGGGTCTTCCCCCACCCCATGAGACCCTGGACCTTTTTCTCCAAGTGCGCTTTCCATGGGAAGTCATGCGCCTTTCAGTAGACTGGCCAACACACTAGTCACCACTTCATTTATGCAATGGATTCCGTGATGGATCCACTGATCGTGGGATCTTGGCTCAACCGGAGCAGCCTGGCCAGGAGGAAAGGGCAGGGCGGACGGAGAAGGAAGCTCAGCAGTGAACTGTCCTGCCCTCCTTTCGCTTCTGGTGCTCCAAAATCACATGGTTTCCCAGTTCCGTGCTGCCCTGCCAGGAGAAAAGGTACCCGAGTTCAGATTGTCCAGGGCTCAACCAAGACCGCACAACTCACGCCGGTGGCTTCAGGAGCAGAGTTTCTGCAGGAAGCGGCAGGTCTCGCGCTGGCTTTGGGTAGGAGGTGCGTGTTGGCCTAGGTGGTTTGCCCTACTTAGAAAGGCAATGCTTAGGGAGGTTCTGTATTTGTGGACTTTAACAGGTGAATGTAGTTGTGTCCAGAGGTGTTTCCAGCTAAATATGCTTCAGCTAAAGCTTGGTCGAATCCTTACGGGGTAAATGCAACTTTCACTTTGTTTGCTTCTGGTGCAAGCTGTATTTTTCTGGCTTGGATTTTTGCAGCTGAAAGATCCAAACATGCTGCATTTCCTTAAAAGTTCTGAAGCTGGGAGACAGCTAAGCCACTCCAAGGTTCTGAAGATCAGAAGTATCTTATCCAGCCTTCAGAAACTACTGAAAAAAATCTGTTCTTTTCCACCTGAACGAACGGAGGACCAGCATAGTCTCATAAAAGACCTCTGTGACCTGGTGCATTTGCGACAGAAAAGGACAGCTCAAGCTAAGCAAACGCAGTGAGAAGCCCCAGTCAAAGCTGGGGAGTCAGTTTCATAGAGGAATGATTAAAATTATATACAATCAATCTATGATTTATTGTACTGCCTGTAACTTGCACCAGGTTCTTGAACAGACATGACCAGAACCACAGAGACATATATGCTACAGAACACAATTATGCATTTTGGTATCCTCCCAGTTTGGATTCTGTGGGTAGAAAACATATTTTTACTTGAGTGGAGGAAATAAGTTTCAAAGAGAACAGATATCCAGTGCATTGATCACTAGATCTCCTGTTATCATGGAATTGTAGAATAGTAGAGTTGGAAGGGGCCACGAAGGCCATCAGGTCCAACCCCCTGCTGGTGCAGGACACCCATTTACACCCTCCCACTCAGAGCGCTGCCCAGTTTCTTTCTGAATGTCTCCGGTGTGGGAGAGCCCAGCACCTCTCTAGGCAGCTGGTTCCACTGTCGTATTGCTCTGGCAGTGAGGAAGCTTCTCGTGATGTCCAGCCTGAACCTGGGCTGTCACAACTTGATTATTCTGTGTCCTGTGCTCTGGCATCAGCAAGAAGAGATCTAGACGTTCCTCCTTGTGACAGCCTTTGAGGGACTTAGAGAGGGACATCTTGTCCCCCCTCAGTCTTCTCTGTTCAAGGCTGAACATGCCCAGTTCTCTCAGTCTCTTCTCACAGGGCAGCGTTTCCAAACCCTGAATCATTTTTGTTGCCCTCTGCTGGACCTTTTCTAATTTACCTGCATCTTTCTTAAATCTTGGTGCCCAGAACTGGACACAGGATTCCAGATGGGGTCTGACTGATGAGGCATATAGGGGAACTATTACTTCTCAAGATTTGGAAGTAATACTTCTAGTAACATACCCCAAAATAGCATTTGCCCTTTTTGCAGCTGCATCACAATGTTGGCTCATATTTAGCCTGCTGTCCACAATCGCTCCAATGTTGTTTTGCAGGGCACATGAGGGGGTGCCATGCAGATGTGGGACACAACCTTTTTTCCTCTGCAGTGGAGGGCAGGATGTGTTCCAACAGAGCAAAGCTCAGGGAACCAAGATTTAGGGTGGATGCCAGGAAATACTTCCTGACGGTGAGGACCCCGAGGGTGTGAAACTGTCTTCCGTAGGAGCTGTTTGAGGCCCTATCAGGGAGAGTGTTCAAGGATAAGCTAGGTATGCATATGGCAGGCATGTGTGAGTGGAGCCGGCCAGAGCCGGGGGTCAGACTAGATGGCCCGGGAGACCACTTCTGACTCGCTCTGTTCCTATGTTTTTCTTACTCAGTTCTGTTGTGCCACGTATTCCCCATCTTGTATTAATGCATTTGCTCTTTTTCCTAGGTGGAGGACTTGGCATTTGTCCCTATTGAATCTCATTCTGTTGCTTTCAGCCCAGTGTTCAAATTTATCAAGTCCGTGCTGGATCTTCACTGATTTTCTGTGTTTGATATGGAGATAACAATCTATTTCAAACACTGTAATTATGTTAAAATGCAACTAAACTGTGTTCCAAAGTGTTTTTTTTTAATGGAACATCTCTTCCAAAGACAGACTTAAATCTTTTCTGTGGTTATATGTTTTACTGGTGTACTATTAGGAAAACAAAACAAAACACAAGAAAGGATTCCGGGATTTTGTAAAATGCACAGAACAGCAGTACTAGCAAGCCAAGAACAGTATCAGCAACATTCGCTCTGCCAAGGTCGTGGTGTCTCCAAAGCTCTTCAGTAGTGATTGTTTGCCAGGTTTTGTCTGAAAGTGATGAAAGCAAACAGGAATGCAGATGGAGGAAAACTCCTGGTGGATGCAGTGGGGCCCTGGTGAGCAGACTCGGAGGCAGTGAGCACGTTAAAGAAACCCTATTTCACAGCCTCCAAATCCACGCATAGAATCTCTTTATTCAATTCTCTCTGTGCCACCCAACAGACTTCTCCAGGGCTGCCCTGGAACCGACTACCAATATTGAGACTATTTTTCCGTTTTTCACATTTCTAAGCTGAGTTATTTAAATTGACGTCACCTAACAGCCATTTTAAAGTGCAAAACTGCATTCAGGGCACAATCTCAGGGCTGCCCCGCATCAACGGAGAGGTCATAGGACTATTCCGAACACCAGCTCCAAGATTAACACATTACTCCTTGGTCCACACATACAGGCTGGATACTCATTTGCCACTCTTTCCAGAGGACCCTGTGAAAGTTGGAGACCAGGACTGTGGAAACCATGATCTTGGGTTCAGACAAGACAACAAGCCATGGTGGTACAGAGAACAAACCATTGTTACTTATTCTGGTTTCTAAAGGCCAAATTGACCATGGTGCAATACAAACAGCACAACATACCAGCAATGGTAAAAAGACACCATGACTTGTGTAGTTTGAACATAGTCCGTGTGAGGCATAGCGTGGAGTATCACCCCATGTCTCATTCCCTATGCCCCCCGCACAGGGTGAACATAAACCTTGAGTTTGGAGACTAGTGTATAGGCACGGGGCACTGGATTTTTACCTTAAAATGGGTACTATAGAAAACTAAAATATTCCCTTATCATACTGAAAATAAATCTGGGGGGGCCAGAGAAGGAAGGGGAACCAATTTACAAAGCAAATGATCAAGAGTTTATGTCTTCTTTTCAGTTTCTGTCTGAGTGGAATTCACCATCTTGAAATTGTGCAATGTTTCTTATTTTTGGTGTATTTCGTGTGATTCCAGTGTATGTCCTGTGTCAGGAGGTACTCCATGCAGTCTGTGTGGCATCTTTGGGTGAGAAGCCAGCTGCTTTCTAAGATGCTTCAGAAAGACAGGCCAAATATTGCATGGCAATCTCAGACAAAATCAACTGAAGTGGAAATTTAAAACGTGCTCTCTTGGGTTGAATGAATGCCTTTAGCAACCGTGTGCTTAAAATGCCGCCTGCTCCTTAACTGCAAGAGGCTCCGGCAGTGGTGTTCTGGCGATCGATTCACGAGAGATGCACATAAGGCATTTGTGTCAACTTCTTGATGTTCCACTTGCATATTCAACTAATTTAGCCAACTCCAATCAAGACTCTAGAAAAGAAAATAGGGCATCAATCATTCTCCTTGCATTTCAACAAGCAAAAAGCACAGATCAGAAACGAAGAATGCAAAGAATGAGCCATCTCATGTTTTTGTTTGCCCGCATGACTTCAGCTGTCCCAATGGGAGGGGACCAGGAGAAGCAGGGAGTAGCCGCTGCTGCAAGATCCAAATAAGTGCTTCTGTTTCAGGCGTGTCGCATCTTCCCAGCATGAAAAAGCACATTCCCAGACCTGGGAAGTGCACTGCTGCCTGGGAACTTTGCAATTCGAAGTGCACCGTTATTTTTCTCAAGCTGCAAAGTGGCCCACACGGAACCCAAACTGGCTGGTCCAGAGGCAAAGAGCGGGGGATTCTCATGTGCCCTACTTCAAACTGGTCTAATTTCAGACTTCACTTAAGAAACGTCCATGGATTTGCTATAAAGGAGTAATTTGTCTCAAGTTAAATGAGAATGTGTGACAAAATGCTCCTTCTCAAAATTTAGGGAGGAAATATATAATTTGAAGAGAAATCATTCAACTGGTACAAACAGACCAGGGGACAGGCCATGAAGAATTGTTTGCTCATACCAGATTTGGCTTCCATATCAACATCTCTTAAAAAGTAAGGAAGACGGTGGCTGCCAGGATTATGCAGGGCCTGTTAAAACTCTCCGGTTAAGCATTACTCAAGCTCTTGATAGCAACGGCAAAAAAGAGCAAGGAAAAACATGGCACGGGGAGAAATGCGAGGATAAGGAGGAATGGAGGGACAGCACCCGGCGCGACGGAAGCTCTGCACGTGCCTGCAGGACACTGGCCGCCCGTGAAACGAGAGAGCAGGAACCTTCCTGGAGAACGGAAGGAAGGGAGTGCAGCACACCAGAAGGATGAACAGTGGGAGGCAGTTTGGCTCCATCTCAACAACAGGACTACCTCTGAAAAATTCTCCGAACGTGAGATGTCCTGCAAACTCGCCCCCACATTTTATAAGCCTCGCAGCAAAATCTCAAAACTGAACTTTAAGACTAGGGGTAACAACGTGTACTTGTGAGGACTCCCCCAACCCCCGCGGCATCCCAGAGAATTCACCTCCACTGTAGATCGATGAATTACTCTCCCCTTTCCACAATAAGCTTCCTTCCGATTCAAGCCCTTCCTTACTCAAAATCAGCACCCAGCGGAGCTCTCAGACTCACCATCACGCTGTTATTCTGGTCATGCTTTGCTTCTTGGATGACAGTACTAAAACTGTCGAGGTAGCTTAGATTTTCTTCTAACAAATGTGCAAAAGGTATCCTGCCCAGAAAAAACAGAGGAAGCCCAGTTGAAATCCCACCGAATCTGACCTGGACTCCCCACAACACACTGTAGAACATGCAATTTCTTTGTCATTTGATATATATCTGAATATGGATGTACAATGTTGAGTGAATGTTAACATGGCTTTTATTGCTTTCTGGGGATACCAACAAAAGCATCGCTAATCATTATCTTCTAATATTCACGTTGCCCCCTTCACAGTGACAGTTCCTTCCTTCCACTTTTTACTGATAATGCCGTGTTTTCTGTTATAAAGAACAAGATACTGTTCCATCCACACATCACAACGTTTTTTCAAACACTGAAGGCTCTCCTACCCAAAATTTTTAGAAGTTGCCGCAGCACTACAGAGCTGAAGTGGGGGCACTCCAGTTCCAGCTGCAGAACAGGGGCTAAAGGCCGTGAGTGTTGTGTGTGTGTGCACTGCCAAAGCTCCGGCACACCTGTGGGAGGCAAACAGTGCTATTTTTAATGATTCAGATTCAGAGGATGAAACGGCTTGTGAGATTGCATGGCCACAAGCTGGGGCTCAAGCTCCTCGGACTCAGCTGGGGGAGGCAGTAGAAGGGGCCAGCCCAAAGGCAGACAGGGACACAGATCATCCTGACTATGGGAACAATGGGGGGTTACAGGGGCCGTTGAAATGGGAGAGCTTTCTAGTGGAGATCCACCTTCAATGGACCTTCAGAGATGGCCTTGGATGTGATTGTCTTACAGGCCCCCTTCCAACTCTACTTCTAGTCTAGTCTGGAATAGAATGTGCTGTTCATACTTTCTGAAAGGAAGATCAATGATTAAATGATGCTTGGCTACAGAGCGCAAACAAACTGTCATGTTTCTTTAGACTTACATATTTCTAGAGGCTTCCAGAGAAGAAAGAGGCTGAAGAATGCCTCCCGCCGAGGTCTGTGAGAGCCACATGGGCCCTGAAGATGCAACCGGGCCTTCGACACTGGAAGTAGCAGAAGATTTAGCAGAACTCTGAGTCTACAAAGAAAAAGGAAATGCTTCTTCTCATTGTTCAGATCTAGCCTCTGTTATTTTATTCAATCTTTGGAAACAATGGGAATGTAAAGCCCTGGGTGCACCTGTCTCAGTGTTGACATTTTACTGTTACAACTGAATTTAATTCCCCTGCACAGGATCCACTGAGGCTATGAAATGCAAACATGATTTGGGAAAACAGTCTACTCTTTTTCTGGTAATCACTCTGGACAGCAACTGTCATACTGCAACCAACCCACAGAAAACTGCCCACTGCCTCTACCTGTATCCTAGCAGTGAGGTTCGTCTTTAGATGTAAATGGTGCACTGGGAAGAAATCCATTGATGTGCTGGCACAATACAGGTACACATGCATCCATAACAGAACCTTGGCAGGTTCTTTTAAATCATGCAGTTGCTGCTGAAGGTAGAATACAAATCCTTACGCAAGCAATTTTCAGCAAATGCCAGATTTCCCTCTGCCTCTTCCCTTGCATCTGCATCACTGAATTGTCAGCCTCCTTGATTTTATTCAGTGCCACTTCGATCTTCGGAAGCAAATCAATTATCTTCTGCTTACAACCCAGCAGCTTGCTGTGACGCAAAAAGAAAACAAAGAAAGAAATCTGTTGGTTAGGCAGCCCCTTCTTCTTCTCTGAACAAAAGGGGCAAAACATACAGAAGCTTTCTGGAAATCAGAGGCACAGGAATGCCTCTCCAGAGGCCTGGGGCTAACAATATGATAAAGGCGTGTGCAAGCACGGATGCAAGGGCGGGAAACCACAGGGCAGCCATCCAGCTTCCTGGCCTCTGCAACTCCACTGCCAATTTGCTGGGGACAGTGACTCTTTGTCCGCTGCTGAGGGTGCTGCAGCATGCCCGCCTGCCCGCCCTCCTTGTGGGAATCCAGAAGTGCAGCGGGGGAGAGATCCGGCTTGGTGGAGAGAGGCCTCCCTCCCGTGCCCCGGGCCTCTCCGAATGTCCAGCTGGGCAGGCTGGGCTGACTTCCCCGCAGAGGAAGGTCCATGACCATCCGGTGCTCTTAAGGAGCCGAGATCAGCACACTGCAACTGCATTCTCGCAGAAGGAGAACCGAAGGCACGATACTTTATTGGGATTAACAGAACGCTTTTGTGCATTCTGCGCAGCCGTACGCCACGGTCCCACAACCTTCCAGAGGCAACAAAAGTCTGACGTGAGGTCTGCGTGAAGAGGCGCCTCCCCGTCCTGAAGACGGCCTCTTCCCCACCACGCTTTTTCCCCAGCACAAACACCGAGCGCGTTCAGGGGCAGGCTCGGAGTGCTGTCATTGCTAAACACTGGCAGTGCCTGTGGCGGTATCAGCAGAGGCAAGGAAGGAAAGTTTCACACACGAGATGGAGGCAACAGGAAATGGCACACCACGCGGACAGGTGCCGCGTGGGAGCAATGACGTGCACCTCTGCCGGATGGGGGCCGGCTCCGCACCTGAGGTGTCGAAAGAGCTCCTTAAGCACCCAGTCCTGGCTCTGCACGGTCTGGGCAATGATCTTCACCATCTCCGTGCTGTCGCTGTAGGAATGATCTGAAAGGGGAACCCGTCATGTGGTCAGAGCAGCGCTTCTCTTTAATACTTTAAAGAGTATTAAATACTAAGACTTTATGTATTAAAAATGGACAGGAATGGGTGAATTTAATTCAGATGACCATCAGGTATACTACGGCGGGCAAGAATCCCTCCGAAGAAATGGAGTAGCCTTCATAGTCAATAAAAGAGTAGGAAAAGCAGTACTGGGATACAGTCTCCAAAATGACAGAATGGTCTCAGTTCGAATCCAAGGCAAACCATTCAACATCACAGTGGTCCAAGTCTGTGCCCCAACCACTGGTGCTGGAGAGGCTGAAGTTGACCAGTCTTATGACAGCCTACAACACCTTCTAGAATTAACACCAAAAAATGATGTCCTTACCATCATGGGGGATTGGAATGCTAAAGTAGGAAGCCAAAAGATAACCAGAATAACAGGCAAGTTTGGCCTTGGAGTACAAAATGAAGCAGGGCACAGGCTGGTAGAATTTTGTCAAGAGAATACAATGGTCATAGCAAACACTCTTTTCCAACAACCCAAGAGACGACTCTACACATGGACATCACCAGATAGTCAACACAGAAATCAGATTGACTATGTGCTCTGCAGCCAAAGATGGAGAAGCTCTATATTTATGATGATTTAACCTATTGTTGTAAGCCGCCCCAAGGCTTCGGCGAATGGGGCGGCATAAAAGTGTTTAAATAAATAAATAAATAAATAAATAAATAAATAAATAAATAAATAAATAAATAAATATACAGTCAGTAAAAACTAGACCAGGAGCTGACTGTGGCTCAGATCATGAACTTCTTGTTGCAAAATTTAGGCTTAAATTGAAGAAAGTAAAGAAAAGCAGTAGGCCACTCAGGTATGACCTAAATCATATCCCTGATGAATATACAGCAGAGGTGACAAATAGATTTAAGGAATTAGATGTGATAGACAGAGTGCCTCAAGAACTATGGACGGAGTTTCGCAACATTGTACAAGAGGCAGCAACTAAAACCATCCCAAAGAAAAAGAAATGCAAGAAAGCAAAATGGCTGTCTGAGGAAGCTTTACAAATAGCCGAGGAAAGAAGGGAAGCAAAAGGCAAGGGAGAAAGAGAAAGATACACCCAGTTGAATGCAGAATTCCAGAGAATACCTAGAAGAGATAAGAATGCCTTCTTAAATGAACAGTGAAAAGAAATAGAAGAAAACAATAGAATAGAGAGGACCAGAGATCTCTTCATGAAAATTAGAGATATGAAGGGAACGTTTCATGCAAAGATGGGCATGATAAAGGACCAAAATGGCAGGGACTTAACAGAGGCAGAAGAGATTAAGAAGAGGTGGCAAGATTACACAGAGGAACTATACAAGAAAGAGCTTAATGTCCCTGCTAACCATGATGGGGTGGTCACTGACCTCGAGCCAGACATCCTTTAATGTGAGGTCAAATGGGTCTTAGGAAGTCTGAGCAACAACAAAACTAGTGGAGGTGACAATATTCCAGCTGAGCTATTCAAAATCTTAAAAGATGATGCAGTAAAAGTGCTACACTCAATATGCCAGCAAATTTGGAAAACTCAAGTGGCCACAGAATTGGAAAAGGTCAGTTTACATTCCCATCCCAAAGAAGGGTAAGGCCAAAGAATGTTCAAACTACTGCACCATTGCACTCATTTCACATGCTAGCTAAGTTATGCTCAAAATCCTACAAGCTAGGCTCCAGCAGTATGTGGACCGAGCACTACCAGAAGTACAGGCAGGATTTCAAAGAGGGAGAGGAACTAGAGATCAAATTGCCAACATACACTGGATCATGGAGAAAGCTAGGAAGTTCCAGAAAAACATCTACTTCTGCTTCATTGACTATGTTAAAGCCTTTGATTATGTGGATCACAACAAATTGTGGCAAGTTCTTAAAGAGATGGGAGTACCAGACCATCTTATTTGTCTCTTGAGAAAGCTATATGCAGGTCAAGAAGCAACAGTGAGAACTGGACACAGAACCACTGATTGGTTCAAAATTGAGAAAGGAGTTCGGCAAGGCTGTATACTGTTGCCCTGCCTATTTAACTTATATGCAGAGCACATCATGAGAAAGGCGGGGCTGGATGAATCACCAGTTGGAATTAAGATTGCTGGGAGAAATTACCACAAGCTCAGATATGCAGATGATACCACTCTAATGGCAGAAAGTGAAGTGGAACTGAAGAGCCTCTTGATGTGAATGAAGGAAGAGAGTGCAAAAATTGGCTTGAAACTCAACATTAAGAAAACTAAGATCATGGCATCTGGTCCTATCACTTCCTGGCAAATAGACGGGGAAGAAATGAAGGTAGTGGCAGATTTTATTTTCCTGGGCTCCAAGATCACCACAGACAGGGACTGCAGCCAAGAAATTAAAAGACGCTTGCTCCTGGGGAGGAAAGCTATGGCAAATCTAGACAGCATACTAAAAAGCAGAGACATCACCCTGCCAACAAAAGTGCATATAGTCAAGGCTATGGTTTTCCCAGTTGCAATGTATGGCTGTGAAAGCTGGACCATAAGGAAGGCTGAGCGCAAAAGGATTGAGGCCTTTGAATTGTGGTGCTGGAGGAGACCCCTGCGAGTCCTTGGACCGCAAGGCGATCAAACCGGTCAGTCCTAGAGGAGATCAACCCTGACTGCTCTTTAGAAGGCCAGATCCTGAAGATGAAACTCAAGTACTTTGGCCACCTAATGAGAAGGAAGGACTCCCTGGAGAAGAGTCTAATGCTGGGAACAATAGATGGCAAAAGAAGAAGGGGACGGCAGAGGATGAGGTAGCTGGACTGAGTCACGGAAGCAGTTGGTGTGAGCTTGAGTGGACTCCGGGGGAGGTGGAGGACAGGAAGGCCTGGAGGAGCGTTGTCCATGGGGTCACGATGGGTCAGACATGACTTTGCGACTAACAACAAATTAAAAAAAGTATTAAAGTGAGATAAAGTATTAAATAGCCTAGAGTCTAATTTTCCAGCCTCTAATTGGGATCTGCTCGAAATGCCCATATATACTTAAAAATACAATAAACATGAAGTTAACAACAACAATTTTGATATGTTTCAATTGCTCAGCAACTTTTAAATCAAAACCTGTCAGAAACCTGCTTAATCCCAAACCTGTTCAACATCTCCATGTCAATATTCATCTGCCATACTGTTCTTTGTGAAATTTCCAATTTTATACTGATGGTATTTTGGATTCAAGATAGATCAAAGAAGGAGTCTATTCCATACCTGGGGCTCGTGGTTTTAATCGCTTGTAGAGTTCGATGGCTCTTTGTTCACTGTAAAGAGATGATAAAACAGTAAAAGTGAAAACCTCTCCAATTCCCTTGACACTTTGCTGCCTGGTGTGAAAGGTTCCATAAGTTAAAATATAGTGAAATTTCCTCCTTTGTTAAATTAATCAGTTAGACCAGTAGTGTGAAAGAATGTCAATTAAATAAAAACATTCCATTTTGTACCTTTCAGAATCTAAAAGAAGTGACTTCTCAGCAACATCTTACTACTTCCACCATAACTAGGTAGTAAGGTTTGTATCTAGGAACTTTCCTATATGTAGGAAAACCAAATCTTGTCTCCTGTTTCCAAGGCCCACTGAATCAAATCCAACAATTTGATTTTTCTTATGTCACTGTGCGGGATTCCCACACCTTCACTCCCAAATTGTTGCATTCTGGAAAGCGAATTTTTGCTTTAAAATGTATTTACTTTATAAGATCTTTAGCCCAACATGGCACAATTTGTGAGAAATTAGGATGCACAGAGTCCACCAGACGCATACTGCCGGCCACTGGGAAGGTCAAAACCTCCTTGCTTTTAAAAAAACAGGCAAGCAGCAAACCACCAGCAGTGGAGCTGAGCTTGCTTCTGCCTTTGGGCGAGACGGATCACAAAGCCAACCAAACGTGTTAATCGAGTGTAAAGGGATAAGACAGTCATGCGTAATGGAAGCCTTAAGCCGCACTCCAGGAAGCACCGGCATCTGTATGAGGAGAGGGCTGCTTACAGGTTTTCCATGAGGTCCCCTTGCCGTCGCGCATGGGGGCTCCGCTGCAGCTCCACAATCTCGGTGTGCAAAGCCACAATCTGCTCGTCGAGGAAGCCGATGTCCCCTGTCTGGAAGGCAGGCAAGGAAGATTTTAACAGGATCTGGAGGGCAGGGCTGGGGAAATCCACCAGATTTACTTCCCACTGGATTCCTCGCACGTCCTCAGCAAGTGAAGCAGCAAAACATGATGAGGGGAACTGCCCCCTTCAGCTGCATCCCACCGGGTGTGCTCAAAGCAGGGGGCGAGGGGGGCGGGCTCTTGTTTGCTGCACATTTCAGGGTGCAACAGGAGTACAAAATGAGGGAAAAGTACTTTGGTTGCATTTCTATCTTCTCTTTGTACGTGGGAAGCTGTCTCACAATTTAAAAAATCCAGCTCCGCAATCAAACTTAAAGCCCAGCAGGCATGATCTTAAAGCACTCGCTTATTCTTCTGCGATATCTCCATACCTGTTCACACTGCAAGGCCTTTTCTTCCATCTCTTTCCAGGCTTTCAGCATTTTCTCTGAGGCTGAAAGAAACACGCCTGTATTAACTGAATGAAGCCATGTGCTGGATAAAAGCACCAATCTTTTTAAAACACCCACATTTTGAACTAGGGAGGCTTCTGAACCTGGGAATTCAGAAACAAACGTACTAATTAGAAGATTGGGTGCATCATAGGCTGAGCCACGTTCAGGCGTGGCATAAGGCAGGTTGATGGCTAGCCATCCCTCCTGCCAGTTCCTTCTCTTCTCAGACCCTGCGAAGGCCCTTGTGGTCAGTAGCCAGGGCCACCTGCCATGGATCATTCCCCCTTTACAAGAACCGATGGCGGACTCGCCACTGTGGTTCTTGGGACAGGCCCGGGCCAGAAGCAGGCAACTTCCTCTTCGTGGTCTCACGGACTCACAGCTGGGGGCTGGTCAGTGCTCACAGGAAGGGGGGAGAGGTGACAGGGAAGGGGGCGAGATCCACTAGGGTTAAGAATTTGCACAGCACTTTGGTTTTCCCAGCATTTCAACACTTTTACTTTTTACTTTTGTTTTCATGTATTGCGTTTTATTCTGTACTGCTGCTACGCTTCTCTGCTGAATCCATTGCAACTGCTATTGTGGTTCTGGCGTTTGGAATAACTTGTGTGTGTGTCTCTTTTAAAACTTTTGCTAACCACCCAGAAAGCCTGAGCTATAGGGAGGAATAAAAATGAAATAAATAAATATTAAGTTGCATCTGTGATCACAAGTCTCTTTGAGTGGCATTTTTTCCTAGCGGAAAGCATGGCACAAACAAAATAAATGCAATTTACCTGCTGGTTGAAAAAGGAGTGTGTAAGCGATAGTCACACGACTTAAAGTCATATTCCAGCCACACAGGGAGGGTAGGTGCAGGGATGGTGCACAACAGAAAATAAAGCAATAAAAAAAGCAGGAAAGTACTTCAGAAATAAAGTGAGTCATCTCAGTCCCACAGCGGGTGAGATGCGGAGGGCACACGCCAGGTCCAGACTCCGATGGCCACACACACTTACATATCCCGTAAGTCATCTGGTCGCTGTATCGCTCCAAGTCCAGACTGATGCTCTGATGGAAGAACTTCAGTTTCGCTTTCAGTTGCTGCGACGCTGACACCATGTTGTTTTTCATTTTGGTTAAATTGGCATTGTATCGCAGAAGGCTCAGCCTAGGCCATTGAGACAAACGCGTCTTAGCAGTTGCTCCATATAAATCGGGAGAATGCTAATTTCTTTAATGTCTGTATGGACTTTCCCTGTTAATTGTATCCCATGTGCTGTTTGCTGTTCAGTAATTAAAACAATCACAAATTATTAATTTTAAATCATTTTGGCTTAAATAAAAAGATGTCCAAGTAGTTAAACTTTGTGTCCTATGTGTCTTTCAGAAGATGGAATGTCCTTTTGTTTTGTATACTCCAAACATATAAGTAACTATTATTTTGTTACAATGAAAAAGTTCCTTATGTATCAGATTTGCTCAAACATTTTGCTCAAACACAATGGTTTTGCAATAACCATTCTAGCTCTGAACTCCTTTCCAATCTCTGACTAACGATAACATTTATGTGCAAATGCTTATATAGGCTAATTCTCACAGTTCCCTTTTGTTTCCCTATAACTTTAGACTGGGAATCCTTAAGACAGGCCCAGCTCACTTCTGGGATGTAGTCAGCACCGTGAACCTCTGAGGCAGGGTGTGGAACAACTTAAAATACATTATATGCATGTGCAGGATGCAGTTAAAGTTTCCAACAACAGGAATCATTGTCCGTTGGCCATATCTGCAGCCTCTTACTTGGTCTTCTGCTCACTCAGCTTTCTGAATTTGCTGACGGACTGGCTGCGGCCATCTGCGCTATACTGTCTCAAACATGAAATGTTATTTATTTATTTAAAGCTTTTGTGAACCATCCCCATATTTGTGTCTTGGGACAGTTTACAACAAACAACAAGCAACATAGAAATTAAAAATAGCACAGCATGCAGTATAACACACTAAGACCAATTAGACATTAAAATAACAAGAGAATACAAAACATAAAAGAGAAAAGTGCAAACATCGCTATAACTGCTTTGGTCAACCGACAAAGGTTGTGGGGGTTTTTTCAGTTGTGCATGTCAGCTCAAGCTCTGCTCAGCATCCCAACTGGGAGGCAGCGACACCAGGATGGGAAAGAACGGCATGTCTGCTCAGCACTTGCTCTCTGACTTCCACCGAGAAAAGATCAAAAGCAAATCAAACCCCTTCATGGGCCGCACACAAGTGCTAGTTCTGGGAAGTGTCCAAGCCGTAACCAAAGTAAAACATCTCCTGCAAACAGTCTTCCGCAATCAAAGAACTGGGCAGGAAGCCTTCCAGACTTGCAACACACACAACAGAAAGCGAAGAGAGGAGGAGGGTACAAACACACTCCACTCTTAGATCAGACCACAAGTGCGCCTGGGGTGGGGAAGGGGCCCACATGCACCGAGGGAACAACACCTTTTTCACTGCAGCACAAAGGATTGACCGGGCTGCAATGAACATTGCGTGGAGCCTCGCCACCTTCCGGAGCGGCTTGTGGACATTCCCCAAGTACTAAAGTGCTCCGTCCAGGCCGTAGCAAACCTTCCGAGAAAGCCAGCAACGTGTTGTAGGTAGTACGTTCCTCATGCTCGCCTCACCCCCCTTCCCTCCAAACAACGTTTGCTCAGCTAGTGACTTACATGGCCGCTCTCTGTCCCTGGAAGAGCCGGCTGTAGTCTTCTTTTAGCCCGATGACGTAATGCACAGCCTCAGCCCAGATCTTGCGAAGCTGCAAAATGGGCAACTGAATTTCGCTGTCCTGCACTGTGTGAGAGGAATGGGGACAGCCATCACCTTGGTATCTATTAAATGGCGCTGCGAAACAACTGGGCAGCATACACACGTTATAAATAAATAAATATTAAGACCTATAGCATCTTATAAGCTACCTCTGCAATCTCATTAGATGAGTTACAAACATTTTCTGTATTTTTCCTTTCCAGAACAGGTGTTTTCAAACCATCTTTTAAAATACAAAACTGAACTGAACTCTTAACGTAAGAGTGCTCGTGTAAGACAAGATAACAGAATGTGAGATTCAGCTCTTTTGGCACTGTCACTGGACTGATCAAATGGCATAATAAAATTGCTGTTGCAGAGTTTCTGGTGCCACCAAATGGTGTGGGAATTCACAGGATCTTAACGATCAAGTAATTGTGTTAGAAGAATAGTTGTGTGAAGGAAGAGGGCAGTGGAGGAAGATGGGAGAGCTGCCCCACTAGAAGAAGAGTCAGGACCAGCAGCTCTCCCCAGAGGAGGCACATGGTCCTTCCGAAGGGTTTGGCCTTCGTGGACATGTGTGTTTGCCAGGCATGCTGTCAGAGGCTCAGGCAAGGGAAGACTGCTGAGGGCGGAAGCACGTGCCCAGGCGGCACCACCAACATGCAGGCCTCACTCTCCCCTCCACCAGAGGCCAAAGCTCGCGAGTCCCCGGAGAGCCTCAGTCCAGCAAAGCACCTGCTGTCCCACGGAAAGTGCTCCGGCGGCCAGAGAGTCTCAGGGTGCCATGCTGGTGGCTTGGAGGAAGGCGCTTCCCACCTGCCACATCCGTGGCACAGGGGGCCATGGATGCTCTCGCTGGCCAGCCACCCTCCGTGGAGCACCGGGGGGGGGGGTGAAGGTCCCAAGCCGGGGGGCGGGGGCACTGGCAGGTTTCCTCACTCTGCACCTGGCTTAGCAGAAAGGGCAGGGAGCCCCCCTCGCAGCTGTATTGGTGCACGTTCCACTTGCTGTGCCTGTGTAATTCCATGTGCAAGAGGAGGCAAGCGTGTCAAGTGCGGCCACGGATGACAACTTTCTGGTGGGCCCCCCAAGGCCTTCCGATGGCTGGATTTGGCAAGGGATGATGGGGGTGCTGCCCTGAGCCCACCCACCACCTCTGCCCCAGAAGGCCTGGCCAGTGCCCCGCCTGAGCGGAGAATGACGAGGGACGTGCCCCCGGAGTCCTCTGCAACAGGCCGCCTGGTCTAAAACGCGGCTTCTGAGGGAAGGGACCGTCCACGCCCGCCTGAAGGATGGACGGGGCGTCTGAATGCGCTCCCTGTGCAACTGTAATGGATGGAGTTCATCAACAGCTCGCCTCTGAGCCCTCCGGATGTATGAAATACACTAGGCGGGTTGCAACACAGAAAGCAAAGAACATTACTCCTCCGAAATATCATTTGATCTGAAAGTCGCTCCTAAAGACAGCAAAAATTAATACATAATTTGGAAGAACTTACCAATATAATTCACACAGTCAGACAAGCTCCTAGATGCAAAAGGGCCGTCATATATAGTCTTGCTTTTATCAAACAGGTAAACCATGCAGCTATCCCAGCTTCTCTGATAAAAGTAAAGACAGGACAACATTTCAGATTCATAGAAACCTTGAAAAACGTGCAAATTACAGAGCCATTATCATATAATATAGTATAATCTCTGACATATATCCTAGCTGTGAAAAACTGTGTTACTAAAAAAGGAAGAGATTAATCTTAACAGACTTGCAAACTCTTAAAAGGACCAGCAGGGAAGGGAAGGGAGTGGCTGGACTTGAAAAGAGACGGCCCCCCACCCCTCAAGGTAAGTGAGCATGAAGGCAGGGATCAGAGAAGGGGAAAGTCCTATGAGACCTTCACCTTCCATGTTCAAAGCTTCTTTAGGTGACAGCTTCAGACTCCTTAAACCAGGCCAGACCTTCTTCTATGATCAAGCTGGAGCTGGGAATCTCTCCATGAAGACTTCTCAGCCTACTTCGCTCTGGGGCGGACACTGGGGGCCACCCTCAATTCACCCCGGCTAAGGAAAAGCCCTTCAACAGCTGTGGAAGCAAATCTTGCCCAAAGACTTTTTCCCTTAAACTAAGCCCTTGGTCAGTGGCACTGGAGGAGATAGGATGATGACAAGCTTCACACAAGCCGGAAATGTAAAGCTGGGTCAGTAATACTACCGGCCTCTCCCGGGCCACGTGGAAGAGGCTGTAAAAAGAATAAACCTTTAGCAGTACTAACACTAATAAGCACGAGGCCACTAAGCTGACAGGTTCATGCAGACTTGTAAATGTGCCATTTGAATGAAGAAAACGAGGCCACGCATTTTGCAGGATGCCAGATAAGGGAAAACGCCAAAGGTTGTGGGGAGGTTTGCTGCGAACCACTGAATACAGCGCTACTGTAGCACACAGATGTGAGCCCACTGGAATTAAGAGGAGCGCTTACGACGCCATCGATGACACACTGTGACGCTGGCTTTCGAGGGTCCAGGCAGATGCCCATCTCCAGGAGCAGCTCTTGGCTGCCGGCACTGGTGCCCGTCTCGGACTCGATGCGAGACTGCAGGGAGTGCACGCTTTCCTCAGGGTGCAGTGCGAGCGACAGGATCCTGGCAGACGTCATATTCAAGACGTGAACGATCTGAGAAAATCGGGCACACGCCAAGGCTGAACAAACCTTGATTGAGCCAGAGAATGATGAGGGCTCCTCTAGAAGCTTCTGCACTTGTACATTTTATTAATACATTTTATATATATTTTTGCCGATTGTATCAAAAAGTTGGTATGATGCTGGGAAAAATACATCACAATGGAAGCTGACGATGTAGAAAGCCAGTGTGGTGCGGTGGTGAAGAGCATGGGACTGGGACTCAGGCGATCCGGGTTCGAGCCCCCGCTCAGCCATGGAGCCAACTGGGTGACTTTGGGCCAGTCGCAGACTCTCAGCCCAACCTACCTCACAGGGTTGTTGTTGTGGGGGTAAGATGGAGGAGCAGGAGGAGGATGTAAGCTGCCTTGAGCCCTTTGTAGGAAAAAGGCAGGATATAAATTGGAAAATATTTATTTATTTATTTATTTATTTAGGAGACTTCTATGCCGCCCCATTTGCCGAAGCCTCAGGGCGGCTCACAACCATAAACGAATAAACAAATAAGAGAGATGTAATTTGGTTCTGAAATTCTTAAGAGTTTAAAAGAGTGCAGAAACTTTTTGAAGAACCCTCATATTTTCTTTTACAAGCAGAATCAATTCCCTGCTAACTTTTGCCTGAAGTCTCAGTCTCTCTCTCTCCCCATTAGAATAAATAAAACAAGAATACCCATTGTTTTGTCACCGCCCCACAGTTCATTTCTTAAAGATTACATTCATAACCCACCTAGAAGCTCAGAGAGTGACAGAATTATGTTTTAAATAAAGGGACCATTTAAGTTTACGCAGGGCCCCTGCCTCACAATCCGATGGCTGCTCTTTAGCTGCTCCCACTGCCATATCTAAAGCGACGTCCTTGTTACGGCTCTTTGGCAAATGCATCCACCAAGAAAATGCTAGTACTTTTCTTTCTTTTAGGCAAGAGAGAATGATGGGCTGCTGTGCCATTGCGTCATCTGTGTGCATCCGGTTCAGAGACACAACGGCAAGTAGTCCGCTGCTCCATAAACACTGCTCCGTCTTATGCGTCTCAATCACTGCTTTTAATCCCAGTGCACAGCATCAGAACTTACCTTCAGGCCCAATATCTGATCCATTAACTGGAAGCACCTGGCGCAGCCAGTTTCTGGGTCTGTACCACCCCCTCTCTGCTGAGGATCCCAGTCTAGCATCAGCTGTAGCCAGCTCTCCATGACTTCGACGATTATGCTAAGCCAGAAAGAGAATAAAAGAATCTGAGTACACTGGAAGACCTTGACAGCAGAGATCTGGGGAAAAGAACGTCACCTGCCAGTCTCACAATGCGCTTATGCACCACTGAATGAAACCCGTGCGGGAGCCCAGGGCGGGGTGGTGGTCCATGTCGGAGCTGCACTCAGGAGGCCCGGCCTCTGCCTCCCACCCTGTGATGAAGCTCACTGGGTCATTTTGGGCCAGTCGCAGATTTACTTGCTGGGCAGGTACAACGGAGAGCAGCAGGACTATGGACGCCTCCCTGGGCTCCACACGACAGGAGAAGGTGAGATAGAAACGAAAGGGAAGAACAACAACGTTTCTAGTGTATTGGGAATAGCACTGACATTTAAAAGTTAGCGGACATTTGTGCCCTGGAAACTACGTCCATGAAGGATTACGCCCCTTGAACTCCACACCACATGGTATTATGGCAGAAGATTCAAGGACTCTGACACAAAGAATTCCAGCAATTCCAGAATCAAGGAGGGAAGGAATGTTACCTGCATAAACTGTGGGGGTTTGGCAAATGAGCACTGAATCTAACTTCCCCAGTCATCTCTTCCCATGCAAAGATGAATTTTGGATCTTTCATCTTGATTTTATCATGCCTGCAAGAAAGACAGTTGGAGTCAAGATTGCTGATCTCAGTGGAATGGCAGAGCCCAGGGATGGATGCAGCAACCTCGCTGCTGTCCAGAAAAAGCAACCCCCCCTGCCCTGCCCTGCCCTGCCCTCCTCAGCACGGAAAACTGGGAAGCAGCTATGCAGATGCAGAGTGTGTGGCTCCCTGGAGGTCATGCTGACTACGGGGCAGGATGGACAAGCATTCCAAATCATATTAAGGGAGGGACTTCAGAGAAGGAACTGGGCCCTCCTTCAGCTTCATACAACACAACAGTTTCCTAGTGATGGTGGTATCTGGCACCACCTCCGATCCCAGTCCAGTGCTGGGCCCCCATGACTGACCCTGTTATAGGGCCGGTATCCATCCCATCCTGTCCTTTGCTGGGAGAGGTGCAGCGCACGACGGGTAACACAAAACAAATGACCAGCAAAAAAAGGGCACCTGCACGAGAAGTTCATGGAACTTTGCTGGGCAAGCAGGTGGACCCGCGTGGCTGCGGTCCAGAGTCTTCCTCCTGAAGGTTTCCATGAACTCACTGCAGGTGTGGAAGTCTGTACAGCAGGAGGGTGTCGTCTCTTGAGCGGGCAAGAGGAAATGTAAAAGTCCCAAGGGACACCATGGTGGCAGGATGGCGCCACGCACCAAAGTATGCACCTGCCAATGCGTGACAGCGAGCGACCCTGGACGCCTGGTGAAAGGATGCCGAGGAGCAAACACCCTCTCCCTGCAGGCAGCCCTCCTCATCTTTTGCAGTCTCTCCTGATCTTCTTCAGCCTGCCTGCAGCGCCAGGGAGGTGAAAACCCAGCCTCCCCCAAGCCCTCAGCCTTGCAGCCTCCCTCTGCTACCACGCCGCAGTCCAGATGGCGGCCCTTCAGCCTTGGGCTTGCCGTGGAGTGATATTCCCGATGCCGTCGACAAACACCCTCGCATTCCACACAGGACTCATGGTTCCCTCGCAACTCCATCGCCGGCACACGCCAGGCAACAGACGGTAGCCTCTGGTGCAAAAGACCCACCAGGGCTTCAGCGGTCACAACACCTGCAGCAAGCGCATCTCGCTCACGGCCAAACCACACTGACGGCTCAACCAAAGCAAAGCCTGGAGGAAGTCTGTCAGCGACTGGATGCCGGCATATCGGATCCGTGGAAGGAAAATGAGCAGAATGGCTTCCCTCTCCTCTCGAGTCTTCCTGGCCAGCTGGTCACAGTCTCAGGAGCACGTGGCCAAGAGCAGACTCGTGCCTGGAGCTTCCTTTCCGAGAACAAGGAGCCTGATCTCAGCTGTCCAGCAACCTCTCGCACATACATTGACTGAGGACACTAGTCTCCTTTCCCAGCTCTTATGTGGACAGGAAAGGTAAGCCGCGGCCTAACAGTCCAGCGCAGAAATAAATCTCTTACCAGGTAAAAGGCTGCTGGTCATGCAAAAACGGTCTAAATCCTGTAATGCACTCAAAGACCACTGTTCCAAAACTCCAGAAGTCCACAGAGGCTGTGTAAGGCTTATTATCAAAGAGTTCAGGTGCCTTAAACAAAACAGCAACACGATACAGTAAGAACCACAAAGCTCTCCTCTGGAACTGGGGGTAGGACATATGGAAATGAGAGCTGGGTCAGTTTCTGCCATAATGCTCTGAATTCTGCCCTTACACACTTACCAAATATTGTAAGGTCCCGACAAAAGATGTGCATAAACTTCCTTGATCCAGATCCTTGGCGTATCCCAGATCTATTATTTTGTGAATGATCTGGAAATAAAATCAAGTAAAGATGTTTTTGTATTGATGCTACTTGACATTCCAATTGAAAAATGATTGACGCTACTGAATTGTGACTGAACAGATTTTTTCCCACTCATTGGGCTCATTTAAATTTAGTCTGCAAAAAAATCTGCTTTTCACTTTTCAGCTACTGCTAGCAAAGTGGTATAGAGCCATTTTTACTTTCCTCACAGCCTTCTGAGCTCCTCTCTGTTCTCCTGATTCTTAATTTTGCCTGGTGCCTTTTGAAGCCTGACGCTACTGCTTCTCACCCAGCCCTTCCTGCATTTCCTGGTGGTATCCAGTTGCCACTTTTCACAAGCAGGTTCAGCTCCGATTCCTTCTTGCATTTGCTTCTCTTTCAGTATCACCTGATAGTGACGCTTATAGGTTATTACGGTTAATTCACCCATTTCCAGCTGCCCTAGTTTTTAAGAGGAAAAAGTACTGATCTGCATTTTCTGAACGTACAAAGAAAAGAATCTATATGCACTTTATGATTCTTATCAGTCATTCTTTCTGTTGACTAAACGTTTTACCGTTTTCCACAATTCCATTTTAGCTTTTGATTTCTGATTCAAAGGTCGGCTATAAAAAGCAACCAGCTCATTAACTGCTTTGAATGCAAGCACTTAAACTAGCAGCATTTATCCCATAGAACTCTTATTATTTGCTCCAGAATCTCTAGAACTGTGGTATGTGCGTTTATTCAGATTTTACAGTATCCTCCTTCTGGTCTGCACTCATGCCTTTATAAGAACAACAGAGCTAAAACACGGTCAACAAATCTCCTCCTCCTTCCTGCACAAGCTGCAAACAATCAGATATCAGACTCCATCAAGGGCCCAAGGGCACCGCTCCAGATCCAGGGTGGGAAGAACGTTGATTTCAGATTTTGGGGCTTCAGCTCCTACTGCTGCCCATACTGGCAGGTGCTTCCAAAAGTTAAAGTCCCAAACATCCTGAGAGCTACTGCCTGCCCATCCCATCCCAGAGGACTTTACAAAGGAAACCAGATAACGCTGCAGCAAAAAATGGAATTTACCAGGTCTGCTAGCAGAGAAATCCAAGACTAAAGCCATGAACACTTCCTCTTTACTCACAAACATGCCCCTCGGACCCTCTTCAAGTGTATCCAAGTTTGCGAGAAGGGTGCAAAAGGGTGGCAAGCAGCCGCCCAGAGAGAACCTCGCCGCTCTTCCCAACAGACTCGGTTCACCCCCATGGACTGCCCCCGTGGGAAGAGGATCCAGGAAGTGGCAAGTCCACACTCTCCCTAGCAATGTCTGGATCACACGTCACTCTGCACACGGCTCCTAGCACCTGTGTAGATCTGCTTGTGCGCAGGGAGCCAGAACGGGAATAGGCGTCATGCAAGTCAGTCCAAGGAGATTGGCAGCAAGGCGAATCTGGTGCAACCCACCCGTCCCGCAGAGCGTCCAAAGCAAAGCGGTCCTCCAAGTCCTGACCTTCTCCTGCCCTGTTTGACTCGACCCGACTCACTGCACTGCCCCTCCCTCAAGCAGAGAAGAATTGGGAAGAGGAACGGCCAGCAAGCGCACGTGCCTCGCCTCCCGTTAGCCGAGCTGTCGCAGCCTTCCATTTATCGCTTGCACCTCAGACATTTTGGTAAGGCTATTCAACGTATTCTTTGCATACTGAAGGTGGGTGTGACCACAGGAAGCAGGCCGTCCTTTCTCAATCATCCAGCCAAAGGAACCCCACAGAATTCTAGAGGGATTGTCCGATGCATTTCACTCACCTTCCCATTTTCATCCTGAAGAACGATATTTTCAGGTTTCAGATCTCTATGTATTATTCTGTTTTCATGCAAATACCGGATGCCACTCCCTGGGAGTGTGGTTCGGAGAAAAACACATGGAAGGGAAAAAAGAAATTTCAGAGAAATTCAAGCCCGGGCTTCCTCTTACCATTTAGAAAGTGTCTGAACAGCAGAACGTGGGAGGGGGAACACTGAAATGAAATTATTCTTATGCATTTTTTTCATTCTTTGTCGCTCTTCCTCTGTTTTGCATTATCTATGCTGTCTTAAAAGGGTACCCAGGATATCGGAGTTGAAAAACGTGACTTGTTACCTTGGTTATTTCTATATCCTTAACAAGACTGTACCTTAAATGTTTTTTGAGATTCTTGCTGCCTACTTTTTGGGACAGCTAAAATGTTGAACTTTCCTTCCTCTCCAGAAATGCCCTAAGTTAAATTGTATATTCTTTCGAGCATAAGAACTCAGAAACTGTACTTTTCCCTTTGGTAAAAGCGTAAGTGGTTCGGGGACAGCAGATGGAAGAAGAATGATGCCGAGCTGCTCACTTCAGTTTTCCAAACTCTCCGTGTGTTTTGGTTCCCCAATTACTTTAAGTGTAGCATGTTTGGGTGGGGGGGGGCAACATTCCCACAACCAAGGGGGTGCTCAACATAATATCCATCTTTACCCACCCAAGTATCAGGGATACTTTGACTTTTGTTAACTGGCCACTCACCTTGGAGACATTATAGGCATGAAATAAGGACTGCACACTATCGGGCAGAACCGGCTGAGCCGCGTGGACTGAGGCTAGACAATGCCCTCCCCACTAACCGATTTTCTTTCCCTGTACAACAAAACTTTCCCAATTCTTATGTGTTAGAGGGAACGTGCAAACACTGCCAGTGGCCTGGTGTGAAAGAGCAGCTGACGTACCAACATCATTCAGAAGGGAAAGTACTTGGCTCTCCTTGAGGCCGCAGCAATTTTCAGGTGAGTTCAACAGCTACCCAAAAAAAAAAAAAAAAGTTTCACTTTAAAATGTTAATGCTAATTAGGCGATTCCTATTCTGTAACCAATGCACATTTGTTAAAATGCTAAACATTTGAGGAACAAGGGGCTGCTTGAGGAACGCAAAAGCTATTTGAAGAAGGCCTCTATATATACAGTATGCGGATCCGCTTCAACAATCCAATTTTGCAGGTTGAACAAATCTGTTAATTAAAGGCATTCAAGTAAAGCAGAAAAATTGCTAATGTAACAACTTCACTAAAGTAGGTGTAACAACTTTCAAGCTTAGAATTATTTATTTTACCTTTGTATCTTTACACTGCCTGTACAACGTATCAGAGCAGCATATATACAAAGTTAAAACCATGATATAAACATCTAAGCATTCAATGCAGAAGACAAGCCCATAGCAAGTCTGCAACATGCCTCTGAACAGCAGAAGAGGGCCCATGTTTTCTTCCCGGGGGAGTCCAGAGGTGACACCAGCACAGGAAGCTGTGGCCAGGCACCCGCCGTGCAGGATCTGCTTGAGATCACAGCCGTCGGGCCAACATTCTCACCAGTGTCCTGTTCCCAGGCTGTTTGGGATAAGACCACAGCCTCAAACTTGACCTTGCAGTACACTGACAGTCTGTGCAGTTCTTCCAACAACGGGGCCCCACGGCAGTCGCCGGACAACGACCTGCCTCCTGCATTCCGCACCAGCTGCCACTTCCAGACCTCACAGCCCCTGCAGGGTGCCACAGAAGCCAAGGCACGGCTTCCCCAACGTGGCCCGTAAGTGGTACGCCAGCCAAAGCAGGTGAATGTCGCCCGTCACTGCAGCTGCTTGGATTTCTGGGGGAAAAGATGCTTCTAGGCGCATCTCAGTGTGTATACCTGTTCTTTCAGAGGGAGTGCAGGCCTATCCAGGGACAAGCATGGTGTACACATCCCAGAGCGGGCCTACCAACAGACCCCCATTTTATCAGGAGTTATCTCAGTTTATTGCTCCCCCACCCCTGCATTCAGGTGCTGCCTGGCCTCTCCTGGCTAAGATGGAACTGAGAAATGCAGCTGGAAGTTCCTCGTGAGCGCTCCCAGGGAGTCCAGCTAAGTGTTGAGCAGCGCTGGGAACAAGGTGGGCCTCGTGGCGCTCTGAGAAATGATTGTTGGGTGCCATTTGCTGCAACTGGCGCTGCAAGCCAAAGCAAAGCTTCTCTTCGAACAAAGCCACCTGTGCAGAAGGCGGTCCAACACGATGTCACGATCCGTGGCACCAAGCGCTGCTGAGAGATCCCGCGAAAGTGAATGGGTTGCACTCCCTCTACCCCACTCCTAAAGGTCCACCAGGACTGAAAACCAGCCCTTCCTCGTTCAATTGTCACGACTTTAAAACAAATATGTTGAGACGGACAAGAATTCAGCCAGGTTGTCTGCACCTATGGGAGGTGCATTGTATGGGCGCCACCAGAGGGATGGTGAAAAGGTCAGGAAATACCGTGCCCATGTTTCTCCCCATCCGAAGCAGACCTGGACAAGATCCGCCCTGTTCTGCACACTGGGCACACAGCAGAATCAGACGCGAGAGCCAAGCACAGAGCCAGCAACCCAGCCCCAGAGCTGAAGAAGGGAGCACTACCTTCCGGAGGTCTCCCCTGGAGCAATACTGCATGGCCAGAAGCGGAACGTTGTTGACCAGGAAATCCAACTCTTTAGGCACTTCGAAGGCTTTGACAACATTAGGGTGGTCCAACCTAAAAAGAATGAGCGGGGTGGGACATGCATCCAGAATCCTACATGGCAGGCTGAACATTCAGAAAACACACAGCAGCAACTTTTAATGGTTGAAATTAGAGAAAATAAGATCAAACAATCTTATACTAATTTAAGCAACAGCAACACCTTCAAGTAAACAATCAGATAAAAGGATAATCGCAGCCAACATCTTCATGCAAGCTTTTAAGACCAAGTTCCCTTAATGAAATATGCACAACTCTGTTTTTGGTTTGGTGGCACTTCAACCATTGATAAGCCGAATTTACTCATTTTTCTGAAGGTGTCAATATGCTGCTCAGTGGGGAGCCACAACATTTCCCACAATATTGCACGATATTGAACTGCCGCTGAATTGTCTCGCAGTATCGATAAGCTTTAGTTCCCACTGTCTCCATGGAGAAAGCAAGAATAGTACCAAAGACATGGGATAAAAATCTAATAAATAAATAAATTATTTATTATGAAACCTTTGCCCACACAGTGGAAAGGAGACTCCATGGGTATCAAGAGCAATGCAACTCCAGAAATACAGAGAAAGAAGGAAGAGAGGGAGATAAGGCCTCAGAAGAGTGCTGGAATGTATGAAGTTTCAGTTTGAAATATCAAATGCCTGGCATAATTCAGAGTACTCGGAAACAGAGTAATTTGGAGTCAGAGAACTTCAATGGGACAACATCGGTGGAAGTTTGTCCGTCTTTATCCTTTCATGACAGTGGGGAATCTACCGTCCGCCTGATATAGCACCTGCTTTGTGGTGCTTATTGATTGATATAAATCTGGGGTAGGCAACGTGGTGCCCCAGACACCTTTCTGCCCCCCCCTTCTCGAAACAAAAACCACTTCTACCAATCCCTGGGACGGCTGTGAAATAGCGAGAAACGTCCGCGCCGAACACGACGGCTGCAGCAGAGCGGTTCTGGCCGCGAGGGGCACGACCCCCTTCCTCACCCCAGTCTTCTGGGCAAGCTGATCGCCCTCTGCCCTGCCGCGGGAGGCGGGCCGCGCCGCAGGTTGCGGGACCTACCCGAACGCCGCCTCCCCATCGAACGCCGCGCGGGAGCACCGCAGCCGGGCGGAAACTTACTTCTTCATGATCTGGATCTCATGGCACCACCGGTCTTTGTTCTTCACGTTGAGCTCCAGGCGACAAGCCTTGATGGCGAGCTTGGTACCCGACACCTACCGCCGAGGAGCAGAGGGGAACTTGAGTCGGGCGGCCGCAGCAGCGACGGCTGCCTGCTCGGCACCGCCCGGGAAGCGCCGTCCGGGCGCTCCTGGCGCGGAGCCGTGGCCGTGGCCGTGGCCGTGCGGGGTGCGTCGGCGCCCCCGCCCGGGCCGCCGGCTCGTCCCTTCGGCCCCCGGACTCGTGCACGGGGCTCTGAGCCCCCGCGGGACCGCGCCAGGGCCTGCGCGCCGCCCCGGGACGCCGATTCCCGCAGGGGTCGCGCCCCCAGCCGCGGAGGCTCCGGGACGCGCCGGCGTGCGCTGCTTGGGCGAGCTGGTCCGAGAGCGACGCGGCGCGGCGCGGCGGCAGCTCCGGCCGGCTCCGCTCGCCCCGCGCCCCGACCGCGGCGAGGTGGGAGGCCCGGCCG